TAACAAAGAAGAACTGCACAGATGTTGTGCTCGTGAAAAGAAGGGTTAAATGTTCGAAAGGCCTCGTCCTTTAATCTGGCAAAGATATAAATCAGTGGTTTGAAGTGTTGAAACTCAGCCACCTGGCATGCAATTTCTCAGATTGCTTTGAAGTGTAATGAGTATACAAGTAAACAAGTGCGCTTTTATTAATAATAAACCCCAAATCTATCTCAACGGCATAATGCTCGAAACAGCACTGCACAACCCTGGTTGCAGCATTTAAATGAGTAGCCGTGTTTACACAGATGTTCCAAATTTGGAGCCAACCCAAATTAGACCTTGAATGCAATTAATCTGAATCATGTATTTTAGATTTTGCCCACCACATCTGTTCGCTTGTGTAGATCGTGTGTGATGGGCAGGTGGGAAACTAAAAAGAGGGTTAAAGATGGTATCCGTTTCTCTTCCCAACGGGGGAGTATTGTGGACCAGGGGCAGGTGGCACTTCAGTCAAATTCAGGTAACACCAAGAAATTGGATGTTTGAATCACCCATCAATGTGAAATAGGTCAGATTTTCTGCTGCATTTTTACAGATTAAGGGGGCAATGCTGCCACTCATTGGTTGCCATCGGTACTGCAAAGAGTGTCGCAACTAATTTGCACAGACTTTAATTTGCATAATCATAAAAAAATAACATTTGCATTTAATGAAGTGCCTTATCACGAAATGCCACAAAGGCTTCAAATTAATTACTTTGATGTGTTTTAATTCTTCTTTGGTTGCATGAATGAAGGAAACTTGTCTGAGCCAGTTACATCCCACATACAGTGTTGAGATAAATGATGAATTCATACATTTTTTTGTAAATTTGAATGAGGGCTGAATATGGCCAGGACAGAGGGACAACACCTTGTACTTTTTTCAAAATAATTCCATGGGATCTTTAATGTCCACCTGGATAACTATATTAATAATTCTTGCATTTGATCTAGCACCTTATCACATTGTTAAGACGTCTCAAAATGCTTCACAAAATATACTGTGAAGTGAACTAACTGTATAGTTTGTGGGAGAAATAAGAACAGAAAGATAGGCTTCGGTATAATGTTTTGTTCAAAGGATTCAGCTCCCACAATTCAACAATTTTTCTTAAAGTTCAATATCTGATCAGGCACTAAAAGGGAAATTTCCTGCTTTTCAAGGTGCTTGGTATTGATTATTTGTGCTTCAAACTGATTGATGACTTTACCTTCACCAATAGTGGGCAGCACAGAACTGTTGTAAGTCGATAGTAGAGCTTGTCTGTAATTCCATTGCCCTCTAACAATAATTGCTGGGTTTACAAGGGCCATATTTGACTCTCATATTTGTCCCCCTGTTATCTCAACTGCTCAGTGGCTAGTTTATCAACCATATCCTCTAACTCTTGGAAAACTATCAATACATTCTGCTTCCCTTGAAAACATTCACAGTAATAATTCACCTTGTAAGTGTCTTACATCTGGCTTGATTGGATCCTGAGCAGCAGCTAGATGTTTGCTGGGCCTAAGTATATAGTGCTTACACAGGGTAGCACTGTATTGTGTCAGACAGTCCTTGTTAATGTAGATCTTTGATCAGTTGAATATTCCCCCCACCTCACACTTATGTTTTTACTTTGTTCAACAGCAAAGCATTATCGAATACAGTACTCCCATTCCTATGCTCAACTATCAAAATCTGCAGTCATGAGCAGACACTTAAAATTGAGGTTAACAAAGTGCACTATTCCAATTAAATGCAGGGGCGATAGTACTGATAATTGCCATTGCCGTGATTCATATTTCTTTTGTTAATGTTTTGAATGAATTGGAAATGTTGAGTGGAAATGCATTGCATTGTACATTTTTTTCTCCCATGCAAACTGATTCAGTGCTAAACCGGTTATTCCAGCATACACAGGAGCGAATGTAATCATCGTTACTGCTATTATATTGCTGCATTGTTCTGAATGCTATTGCTTTCCAGAATATTTATAATTATGTCAAATGATGATATAGATTTAGATTTGCAAAATGGTTCAGATCAATCAGAACATTATATTCATATGTAAATGAATTCAGCACGTGCAGGTAAAGGATGCCCACATGAGACAAATATTCTCAAAGTTTTGAACAAAAATACCTCTTTCAGTGGCAAGTTTCAGTTGGTGAGTTGCAAGAAATGAGAAAGAAAAAAACCTCACTTCAAAGAACCTATAAACTATAGAAGAGTCCTTTTTTAAAAAAACTTCAACGAGCGGAGAAATTGTTTATGGTAGGTGGGAAATATTTTGCATTGGAAACAATGCGATAGCTTCCAAAACACATACAACAGATGCAAATCCCACGTTGAACATAGCTTGATTGATTGATTGATTGATTGAATGATTGATTGTTTGATTGACTGATTGATTGACTGATTGTTAAAATGAAATTGCAGCAACACCATGGACATTTCTCTGTTTACAGATTTCACACATCACAATCTGAGCCACGTTAGGAGGAATACTGCTGGAGATGCTCACCGCAAGCAGGACATCAGCCACACTGCCATTGTCTGATGCCCAACTTGCCGCCCTCGGAGGATGGGGGGAGGGGGTGTTCAGATTGTTCCATGGCAGTCTGCTGGTGTTGTGCTGGTTCAGTGAGGAGATTGATTGCAGGACTTTTACCATTGCGCACAACCGATTTACCAGAAAGATGACACTTCAGCGATATTGCCCTGTGATATTGCAAAACGAGTATTTGAGTAGCTGAATCCATATTGCACTGCATGCACATTACCCGTAGCCCCTGACCTATGGGCTAGGATACTTGTCTGTGCAGGTTGGGAAAATACTGAGAGATACTTGACAGCACCCGATCAACTAACAACGTTCACCTTGTGAAGGCACTCCACACAAGAGGTGGTTCCTGGTTCAGCTGTCGGAGAAGAAACCTGTTTCCCCCAAAAGGACTTGTTGCAAATATTCTTCTTTTCCACACCATCCACCAACTGTGATAGGTCCGTCACACTGGGTAGAATCTTGGGGTTAAAAAAATGTCCAAATTATTGTGAAGAAATAAGGAGGACAGTGCCTCCTTAATTCCTGTCTGAACACACAACGCACCTAATATGGGACCAACGTTGATTCAAAACAAGTTATTTGGATTTATGCAAACCAATAAATAAAAAAAATGGACATTTTCTATATTTTAATGGGCTGATATTACATATAACTTCAGTATATATTAAACATTATATAGTATTAGTCGAGATTGTTAACAGGAGCCTAGTTTAAATTTTCGAATTTGTTACCACACTCATTGCTACCTTCTTCTGCCTGTGTGAAGTGGGAAATAATTAATCTCCATTGAAGTGTCAGAAGTCCGAGAGTTCAGGTGGTTTGAGATTATTACAGGTGAATTTTGATTTGATATTTTTGGCAGAAACATCAGTCACTATCTAGAGTGCTATGATGAAAAACAGTAGTTTTTTTTTGAAAATCCACCTGTGCCACCTTCTGTCAGCAACATAAATGATGTATGTTGCACATTTTGTGTGAGTGATTGCTTTCGGAGAAGAGTCCGGGAGCGTGCGATAGAATTTGCAAAGGTCACTGCCGTGTGTTTTGAATAAAATATTGGTACAAAGTCACATTGAGGCATGCGTTTTCTTTTTGAGCTTCGCTTGCAGAGGATGTCTCGAATTGCGTCTCGATGCTTGTCTGGGTACCTAAACTCGGAGTGGGGGTTGGGGTGGGTGTGGTGGAAGGGGGGGGGTAGGGGAAAGAAGACCAAAAGCACGGTTCAAAGAGGTACATTTTTCTCTGCTTTACCCTGCTGTGGAATTGTCCTCCGAAAAGCAAGGAGACTGACACAACCCTGGGGATAGGAGGCTGTGCATTGAATCATTTCAGTATCACATGAAGAGAACCAGATGATTGAGGTCAAAAACAGGGCCCCCTCGTGGCGGCCCTGAAATGTGTACCTTCGGAAAGTTTTTCTGCAGTGACTTTTTTCAGGGTCCCGCCTTGGTCCCATTTATTCAATGCAATAAAATTCTAGATCCTAAATAGTGTCATTATTTGCCTCACAAGAATCTATCGGCAATTGTAATATGCATTCACAATGAGAGTCGGTAAATATTTTTGCAGCTCATCCCATTCTTATGGCAATGTTACAATTTAATAAAACATAAGATTTCACATTGTCGTCATGCTCTTTGAATACAACCATTATTTGGTTCAGTTGGTTAGATCCTATAAGTCAGCACAATGAATGCCAGCTCAGTCCGTCTGCTCTGGCGCCAATGGTATTTTTTAATGAATGTTTGAAATATGCAGTAACTCATGTCCAAAAGGGAAACATGACTAAAAGATCAGATGTTATAAATAATTCAGATAGAACTTGCAAAGTCAGTACATGTTCAGCGAGAAAGCTTTTCTGAGAGAGAGAGTGTGTGGGGATAATGTCAGCCCTGTTTCATACCAATATATTGATCTCTGAAAAGGCAGAAAGTGATTTAAAACCAACTCATTTATTAGTGTCGTTACTAAATGAGTCGGTGACGCTCTGGAAACAGTTTCCAGAAAAAAAGAAACTGTGGAATGAACTAATTGAACAAAGAACAGTTAAAAAAAACGATTTGGTTGAGTTTGGGGAATGAAACACATGCGGTATTTGTAATCTGAGAGAGTCGAATAATCCAGCACCATGTTTGGTTCTCAGATGGGGGCAGTGTTGTAAATATAAAAAGAACCGAAATTCATACTACAGTATAAAGAAGATGAGATTAATAATTAATTGTTATGACATGGATATAACGAGAGCATTCTCTAAGCAGAAATGGTTTTATACAATCTATTGACATAATTTTAAATTGAAATTGATTGTATATGTGGTTTACGATATAATATATTACAAACGTAAACTTAGTTTATCGGAATATTTTTACTGATAATTTAATGCATCAATATTAATAGTAATGATTTCTCTATCATTTATTTTATTCAGACCACATTGACCCGTCACTATCTCTAGGAGCTGGCGAACCAAGCATCTGACACCGAGATGTGGACCATGGTTCTATCCAGGCAAACTACTGAACACAAATGTATAGAGGAAACTTAGTCATACTTACCAGCGGAGACTCATCGATTAATTTACTGAACAGAATAAATCAACCTCCAGCAAAGGTGGGGGGAACAGCGAGAAGAGAAGGAATACAAGTTACATCAAAAGGAAGACGAGACTATAACTTCCTGTTGAGCATATTTAGAGGGAATCATACGTTATTAAAATGATCTGATTGTAAGGAGAATGTAAATGAAATTAGGAAGTCGAGTAGCTTGATTCATGAGGGTGGTGGTGTTGGGGGGGAGGGGGCTGGGAAGGGTGGGGGGATTGCGTGGCTGGCATGTTGGCTACTTATTGTAATCATTGTGCCAACAATTTTTAAAAAAACTCTACCTTAAACAATATTCCATGTTAAATTGCATTTCCCTACTTACCTGAATCGACAATGGTAAGATTAATTTAGTAATTTACCAAGAAACAGTTTAACAGATGAAAGGACAGCTGCATGTATTTGGAAGCTACTATTTTTGCCACTATTTCCTAAGAATGCTTTATGTTTGGAATTCCATCCAATAAAGGACACTTGGATTATTACTTTGTGATTGTCATACAACACTGGAAAACATTAACTATCTTAAAATCTGGAACTTTTAGACGTCATAGAACATCTACAAATGAATCGTTTTAAGACAATGGAATGTAGGGCAAATGAATAAATACTTGAAATAAATCATTTCTATCTATCTGCATTTGTGTGGGCACCAGTCAATATTGGAAAGGACAAGTGAGAATCATTGAGTCTACAAATTAAATATAAACAAAAGATAAATATAAAGGTTGACGTGATCTTCTGGAATGAACGTGCTGTATTAACATGTAAGGCATTACTTGTACGCTTCTTTATGGTTTCCATTACACAACCTGGAATGAAATGGAAACATGGTGATTGTTATTTTGTATGTAGGGTGCACTTTGATTTTGCTTTAATAAATATTCTTAATGTGAACATTTCAGTCTTAGGAAGTGTTCAGTGTAATTATTTGGAGGAAGCTTGTTATTTATCATTTAAATATTTATTACCACAAAATACACAGTCAACTTTGCAATATATAAAATATATATGAAAAATCAACTTTGCAATATATTCTGTGTAGCGCTTTAAGATGTCTCAACTACGTGATAAGACGCTATATCAAATGCAAGGATTATTATTATTATTATTTGTTCAATTTGGCCCCTGTTCTGTTACTCTTTTTTCGCACTAATACAGTTGATAAGATCACTAATTCATGCCCTTGTTGAATGTAAAATTAAAGTTCTTATTTAAAATTCAGCTTTAGTATTCCTACATTTTCAGACTCTTTTTCCAAATAAAAAAANGGTTTGTGGAGATAAACTGGACTAACGCGCAGCCATGATACTGAATGCATTAAAGTTATGTAAATGAACCTACAGATCTATTTTTAACAAAGTGTGCAGCTCAGCCAGACCAGTCTCGACCTTTCGGTGCCGAACGATCACTATCAGCAACCTTCAGCTGGATATCAATAATACCTCGGATAACAGTTAGAATATTCCACTTCCATAACACATCCACTCGGCCTAACTTGTAGTTTGATTTTACTCTAAACTCTAAATGTTTTGTGACAAAGACCACGACAGTGACACATACTTTGTTGGGACACAGTTAGTTTACAACCTGGATCCTGTTTTCCCTCTCAGTTTTCCACAGAAAAAACTGTACAATAAAGAGCTAAACAAAGCACCGTGTTTTTACACAGCAGTTTATGCAACCCGTATGATGTGAAACTCAGTTCCCGACCCTTCTAAATGATTTTCTTCTGTCAGAATCAATATGAGAATTGTACATTAATCAGAGAATAGCGTCATATTCGGAGAGGCACTCGTCTGGTCCCATCTACAACAAACAAGAGAATGTTTTAAATTACGCATTAGATGCCTCAACAGATGACAATGTTCTACACTGCTGCAAATATATTTCAATGGCGATTGTTAGGCACCAAAAGGTCAAGAATGGTCTGGCTGAGCTGCACACCTTGTTAAAAATAGTTTCCGGCCTTGATCAGACCAAAAAAACAAATTATCCTGAAACAGTTACAGACAAAAGGCAACATACAACTTTTCCTAAACCACTGCATTTATTTATCTCTTTGAAAAACCACACTGGCCCACAGAACATACAGTCAATCCACTTTGCAGTATATTCTGTGAAGGGCTTTGAGGCGTCTCAACTACGTAATAAGGTGCAAGGATTATTGTTGTCATACAGTGCAGTGAGGAAAATGGTAGCAGTGATTTGGAAGAGTTGGCGACAGGCTGTGTCAGTAAATGCTACTATTTTAAGCAACCGTTAAAATGACAATTTCATTAGTTTGAGGGTTCATTGTCTAATTCAACTGCAAAGCCCTCACCCAAGCTTTTGGAATCAGTGATATGGACCACAATCTTCTCTCGCTGTTCTGCGAATTCCATATATATATATGGTCAATGCCATCCAGCGGTCACTAGAATTCTGTTAATAAAGGGAGTAACCGATTAAGTATAAATTTCTCCCGGGGCGTGAATCGGAAGAGATTTCTGAACACTCTGTAATGATTGGCCTCTTCATTGCTCTCTTCTGTTTTCTAAAACAAACTAGATGGTACAATATAACTGTCGGTGTTATGGACGAAAATCCAAGGTAGCATTTCAAAGAATCGCAAAGATGCTAAATGTTAAAATACTTACTTTGCAAAAAGGGATAGCTATTGAGATACCGATCTGATACAATGGTCTGTATTCTCAGACTTAAAGTCACTTTCATCGTGTTTCTTATTAGTTCTGATCTGCTTCACTTTATTATATCCCTGTGTTCTGTGCGTAATATGGGACACTACTTTCGAAAGGGACATTGAGAAGCATGTATTCTATTGCTATTGCCTCCAGGGTTCAAAAGCTGAGCTAACATGTTCCTTCTGTAACCTGGCTTCCCAAAGGGTGCGCAAACTGTCCAGTTGCACCCGGAAACTGGAGAGATTTGAGATCAAGGGGATCTAGATTATGAAGAGGCAAACAGTTATTAAACGCAGTCTGCTGTTGCGCAACAGTGAATTCGGAGGATAATTTTAATTGTAGATCCAGAATAAGGGAACCATTGCAATACCCTGGTGTTGATCAGATAACTTCCATTGCAGAATCATATCATTAAAGGGTCTGTGAATGTGCCAAAGTTTTGTCCAATTAATGGATGTGAATGACAACAATCCCGAGGGAAAACAGACCCGAGTGACCAGTAGGATCTCTGAAGACACCGCTCCCGGGACTGTGGTGGTTGTGATCTTTGTAACCGATCGAGGTTCTGGGCAAAATGTACAGGTTCACTGTCAGGTTCCGGGGACCATGCAATTTAGAATTCAAAGCTCTTCCAGAAACCACTACAAGTTGATGGCTAGCGATAGACTGGATCGTGAAAGTACCTCTATGTACAATGTGTCTATTATGGCCTGGAACTCGGGGACTCCCCGTCTCTCTATGAATAAAATAATCTTGGGGATGGTATTGGATGCAAAAAATAATGTTCCACGGTTTTCACAATCCTTCTATGATGTGTATCTAATGGAGAATAACACTCGCTGTGCTTATATATCTTCTGTGTCTGCTTTGGATCCTGATTTGCACAAGAATGGCGAAATCTCCTTTTCTGTTCTTGAGGACCAAATGTTGGGCATGTCTGCGTCCGCTTATGTTACCATTAACTCCAAAAGTGGGAATGTTTACCGCTGAATTCCTTTGACTATGAGCACCTGAATTACTTCCAGATCAAGGTGGGAGCCCAAGATCCTGGATTTCCTTCTCCACTGACCAGCAGCAGCAGAGTGAAAGTGATAATTCTAGAACAGAATGACAACCGTCCTATGATTAATTCGCCATTGCCAAGGAAAGGATCACCAACGTGTCCCAGTCAATCAGCCCAGGTGACCTGATCGCCATGGTATTAGTGTCAGATGCTGATTCTGGTCAGAATGCATGTCTTTCCTACCAGTTCATTGACGCCACTGACCCAGTCTGTTCTTCGTCGAAACGTTGACATGAGAAATCAAAACCATCTGAGGCATTATAGACCAGGATCTCACAACAAACAATCTGGTCATCATGGTGAAGGACAATAGACAACCCAGGGTTTCCAGCACTGCCGCTATATTCTTTTCAATTTGGCAAATATCACTGAAGCATCCTCTGAAAGCAGTAACTTAGCTAAACATCCCCAACATTTCTCAGAGCTAAACCTTTATTTGACCATCACTTTAGGGTCAACGTCAATCACATTTTTCCGACTTGCTACTTTACCTTAAGTGTAATGCCAATGTTACAAACATGGATTTGAGAAGCAGTTAGTTGCGAAAATTAGCTTTGCTGATAATTTATATTGATATACTTGAAGGGGGCAAGAGGTGATTTCAATCAAAGAACGAAATTTTGACCCTATATTGATTGTGTAAATATTTATACATTCTCCCTCTGTTCTTTGCACACACAGATGTAGGTAGCCATTATCCAATAATGCAATTGGTCTATAAATTCTGTGTAGATTTAATGTTAGGTTTGTTTTTGATTGTCACTGTTGTTGACGTTAATATCTGGCTATTTACTATGTAAGGACTGAATTGATATCCTGAATTGAGAGGCGATCAAAATGCAACCACCAATCGAGTGAAAGTAAATCTAAATGAAACGTCTTAGTTGCTCGTAGTCAAAGGAGCGCAGTGCATAAATAGTCCCACTTTGGGAGTTGATAGTAACGTAACGAGATTCACTTTGTATCCGGTTGTCTTCCAGAACCGAATATGAGACTTTGCCATTCACATCGGATGGTAACAAGTTACTATACAAGCATTATATATTGTTAAAATTATATATTGCGCTACTAAAATATACTGCATAAATATAAAATATAAGGTTTGCTGGGATATAAAAAGAAATTCCGAACAGTCCAGCTTTAAGAGAAGCTCTGGGTATTTATTGGTCAGAGCTCTTTGTATCTCTCTCGGCCAATAAGGAGGGAAAACGCTGCCAGAAATCTACCCTTCCTCCCCCTTCACAAAGGGCAGAGCAGAACCACAGAGAAAGGCGAGCAGTGTTTGTCTCTCTGGCTTTGGTTGTGGAGCCATTTTTAGACAGAGTACTTAAGGTGAGACCTTTCATGTCTCGGATTAAGACGCGCATTTGGCTACCTGAATACATTTAGATAAAATATTCAATAAGATACTAAATTCAGCATTTAAGGATTGAGGTTAATCTTGGTGCACTTGCCTCATATTCGAACCCAGAACATGGAGATTGCGCTAAATAGAGGAGCTGTTTTCACGCTCCTGTTTCTACTCCCGGAGCTGGTAATCGGACAAATTCGCTACTCGATTCCCGAGGAACAGGAGCGGGGAGCCTTTGTTGGGAACATCGCTGAAGATTTGGGATTAAACGTTCGGCAATTGTTCGCTCGCAGGTTCCGCCTGGGCTCTGAACACGAGAAGCGATACTTGGAGGTAAATTTGGAAAATGGGATTTTATTTGTCAATGAAAGAATCGACCGGGAACAGCTCTGTGGACAGAGCCCGACCTGTTTCATTTCTTTGGAAGCAGCGGTCGAAAATCCTTTGGGAATGTATCGCATTGAAGTGGAGATCAGAGACATAAACGATAATTCTCCCAGTTTTCCGAAGAGTGTATTTTTCCTGCAAGTCTTTGAATTAACAGCGCCAGGGGCGCGGTTTCCCCTCAAGAGCGCACACGATCCGGATATAGGAACCAACGCAGTCAACACTTATCAAATCAGTTCAAACGATTACTTTGGTTTAAAAATGCAGAGCAGAAGCGACGGCGTAAAAATTGCCGAGTTACTGTTGGAGAAACCTTTAGACCGCGAAAAAGAGTCAACATTTCAGCTGGTGCTAACAGCCATTGATGGTGGAATACCACATAGATCTGGCACAGCTCAGACTATAATCACTGTACTTGACGCGAATGACAATGCGCCTGTATTTGGTCAGGATATATACAGAACTAACGTGGTAGAAAACGCACCGGAAGATACCCTGGTGATGCAAATTCACGCCGTTGATTCGGACGAAGGGCAGAATGCGGAGGTAAGATATTCTTTCAGTAATCATGCTTCCCAAAGAGTCAGCGAGTTGTTCAAATTGGACCCAGAAACCGGAGAGATTACAGTTAAAGGTCTGCTGGATTTTGAGGAATCCGATATTTATGAGCTCGATATACAAGCTGTGGATAATGGCCAACATTCCTTGGTAGGTCATGCCAAGGTTTTGGTCGGTATAACTGACGTGAATGACAATTTCCCCGAGATTAAATTGACCTCAGTGTCTCGCATGATCCCCGAAGACGCTGCGCTGGGGACTGTGGTGGCTGTGATTAGTATAGAGGATCGAGATTCTGGAGAAGATGGACACGTTTATTGCCAAGTCCCTATGAACATCCCATTTAAAATCCAAACATATTCCAAGAACCAATATAAATTGGTTACTAGTGATGCACTGGATCGTGAAACAAGTCCCTCGTTCAACATCTCAATTTCAGCTTGGGATTCGGGGACTCCCCCTCTCTCAACAAATAAGACAATCTCGGTGTCAGTTTCCGATATGAATGACAATGCTCCTCTCTTCACGCAGTCCTCCTACAATGTGTATGTGATGGAGAACAATGCTCCCGGAGCCTCTATATCGGCGGTTACAGCTGTAGACCCTGATCTGGATCAGAATGGCGAAGTCTCATATTCGGTTCTGGAAGACAACCGGATACAAAGTGAATCTCCTTACGTTACTATCAACTCCCAAAGTGGGACTATTTACGCACTGCGCTCCTTTGACTACGAGCAACTAAAACGTTTCCGGATCAACGTTCATGCCAAGGATGGAGGATTTCCGCCAATGAGCAGCAGCGCTATCGTGAATGTTATTATCCTGGATCAGAATGATAATGCGCCGCTTGTTGTCTCATCGGTAACATGGAACGCCTCAGCTGCCGTGAAAATTGCACCTCAGTCAACTTACCCGGGTGACTTGATCGCCAGGGTGATGGCCGCAGACGCAGATTCCGGTCAGAACGCACGTCTCTCCTACCAACTCATTGACGCCACCGATCGCAGTTTGTTCAGCCTGGAACGCCTCACTGGAGAAATCAGGACACTGCGAAAGATCACGGAACAGGATGACCCCACACAACATCTGATCATCATGGTGATGGACAATGGGCAACCCAGGCTGTCCAGCACCGCCACTGTACTGTTTTCAATCCTGCCCAATGTGACTGAAACGCTATCTGAACGCAGTGGCCGGCCCGGAAAGCCTCAGCATTTCTCAGAGCTAAATTTTTATTTAATCATTACGCTAGCTTCCACGTCCTTGATATTTCTCATAGCTATTATTTTTCTGGTTGCAGTGAAGTGTCACCAGGACAGAGGTATCTTGCAAAGCCAGAGCTACATGACTTGGTGCTTCGGGCGTCGATTTGCCAGGGATGTTGTGAATCGCAGACCTACACCAAAAGGACCTCCACACTTACCTGGAGTGAGTCAGGCAACCTCCCAACGCGAAGCTTATAATTTCAGGGTTTCTTTATCTCCAGAAGCATCAACTACGGAATTTCTCTTTCTGCAGCCATGTAATCCGACCCTGCCCTTCAATGATATCCGTGTTAATGACAGCAAATTGTCAAAATCCTTCACAGACTCAATCCGTACAAGTGGTGGGTATTAATTAATCTACGTGTGGAGTTACCTGAACCCTATTTCTAATGTGGAGGCCATGTGAAGTGAACAATTCATGTGGAAATTTCTAAATATTTAAGGCATTTCGAAAAGTTGAATACCGCATCTTTAAATGGCATATTTTGGTGCAAAAAATCCATTAACATCAGCATCAATGTTTTCAGTATATTTACTAGATATTTCACTGTATTCCACGCTTGTCCAAAACGGATGCTTTTACCAATGATTTTAAGTTCGCCTGCAAAATTCGAAGCAAGAAGTCCTTGGAAGAAGAAACTCTGCATTTAGTTCCTCATTTGGTGGTGGAGAATCTTGCTTTTTTCATTAATTTTCTCTGACAATGTGTTCCACGTGGATTTGTCACATTGCAATTATTTGCAATATAATTGTTGAAGAAAACTGTGCATGTGCAAAACATTTTGAATCCCATTTAAATGTTATACCTTTGCTCTGGACCTTAAATGCACGAGCAAACGTAAAACTGGCATGTAATTGTCTGCTGGATCGAGCGCGGAAATAGGGAAATCATTTTACTGTTAGTTGTAATAAGCTTTCAGTGAATAAGATGTGTTATACAACAGATATCCTAACTTAGGGAAACAAAATTCATGCGTAATAGGCATGCCCATTCCATTTTTTATATATTGACCTTCATTAAAACCCTTCCATGATTCCTTATCCACGATTATAATGGCAGCGAGACGAAAATGATCCCTGAAGATATTTTACGCACAATGATTATTTGTCAAGATGTTTTCCTATAATTCAAATGGATAATTATGAAAGGAAACGATATTTTAAAGCATGAGGGTAGTTTGGGTTGCACAGCAATACGTGGCGTGGGTTACATGGGAAACCATGACTTTTGGTAAACAGCCTCGCTTTAAGAAAACTCAATGCAGTTATTGGCGGACACTCCTTGTGTCGCTGTCCACCAATAAAGAGCTGAAACGCGCCCTGGAGATCTATCAGCCCTCCCTCTTCACCAGACGCAGGACAGAATCAAAGGAGAAGCTGAGCAGTAACTGCGTTTGCAGTTAGTTGTCCTGTTCAGGGGGGGGATCACGGTCGTATAATTCCAATATTCAGTTTAAATTCAGAAATTGATATATTTTAGACAGAATTTGTTGCTGGGCAAAAGCACTGACGTGAGACAGAGAAAAAAAACGCCCGTGTATTTGCATTGAGGTCGAATCCAGTATTAATGGCGACTCCAGGGAGAGGCAGGACATTGCCCTACAGGATCGAGCATTTTATTGTTCTGCTCTGTGTCTCGCACCTGGTTTCTGGACAAATCCGCTACTCTATCCCAGAGGAAATGAAGACCGGCGCCTTTGTCGGAAACATCGCTGAGGATTTGGGATTTGAGATAGGGAAACTGTCTGCTCGGAAATGCCGCCTCGTCTCCGATAACGGAAAACAGTACTTTGAGGTGAATCTCGAGAACGGAATTTTATTTGTGAATGAAAGAATGGACAGGGATCGGCTTTGTGGCGAGAGCTCGACCTGTTTCATCTCCTTTGAGGTCATGATGGAAAACCCTTTGGAAATGTATCGCGTTGAGGTGGAGATCTTAGACATCAATGACAATTCTCCTAGTTTTCCAGAAGGTGGGTTTGCCTTGCGCGTCGCCGAGTCCATTGCGCCGGGAGCGCGCTTCCCTCTCGAGAGCGCGCACGACCCAGACGTAGGCTCCAACACAGTCAGCACTTATCAGATAAGCGCGAACGATTTCTTTGGCCTAAAAGTGCAAACGAGAAGCAGCGGTATGAAGGTTATTGAGTTATTACTGGAGAAGCCCTTAGACCGGGAAGAGCAGTCAACAATTCAGCTGGTGCTGACGGCTGTTGACAATGGGAACCCTCAAAGAACTGGCAAAGCCACGATCACTATATCGGTATTGGATATCAATGACAATGTGCCAATCTTTGACCGCGAGGTTTACAAAGTGAGTTTGACAGAAAACGCGCCAGCTGGCACCTTTGTCATAAAAGTCAACGCTGTAGATTCAGACGAAGGAACAAACGCCGAGGTAACATATTCTTTCAGCAACCGTGCCTCACAACACGTCCGGGAATTGTACAGCTTGGATCCCAAAACGGGAGAGATGAGAGTTGAAGGCGTGTTGGATTTTGAAAGATCACCCGTGTATGAACTTGATGTACAAGCTGTGGATAAGGGCACCCCGCCAATGGCAGGACATTCCAGCATTCACATCCGATTGATTGATGTCAATGATAACCCTCCGAAGATACAGCTCACCTCAGTGTCCAGCAGCGTGCAGGAAGATGCTGCGCCAGGCACGATATAGCTGTAATCAGTGTAACAGACGCGGATTCTGGAAAAAACGCACAGGTTAATTGTCAAGTTCCCACGAATATCCCGTTTAAATTGCAAAAGATGTCAGAGAACCAGTTTAAATTAGTTACAACCGGCAGACTGGATCGTGAAAAGTTTCATGTATACAATATACCCATATTAGCCTGGGATTCGGGATCCCCCCCTCTTTCGTCCAATAAAACCCTCCTAGTGACTGTGTCTGATATCAATGATAACGCACCCAGGTTTGACCAGTCGTCATACACTGCATATGTGATGGAGAACAACGCTCCCGGTGATTCCATTCTATCAGTTACAGTTTTGGATCCTGATTTAGACCAGAATTCCCACGTGTCCTATTCCATCCTGGAGAATCCCATACAGGAATGACGTCCTTTCCTTACATCAGTGTCGACTCGAAAAGTGGGAACATTTACGCGCTGCGCTCTTTTGACTACGAGCGGCTAAAACACTTTCAGATCCAAGTTCAGGCGCGGGATTCCGGATCCCCGTCACTGAGCAGCAGCGCCGCAGTCAATGTGATTATCTTGGATCAAAATGACAACGCTCCCGCGGTGGTTTCCCCTGTAACACGGAACGGATCAGCAACCGTGGGTCCAGTGCCCCAGTCAGCACCAGCGGGATACTTGGTGACCAAAGTAATGGCGACTGATGCTGATTCTGGTCAGAACGCACGGCTTTCCTACCAGATGCTTAAAGCTACTGACCCCAGTTTGTTCAGCCTGGGACGCAATTCTGGAGAGATCAGAGTAAGTAGAAGTTTATTGGACAAAGATGGCACCAAACAAAGTCTGCTCGTCTTGATAAGGGACAACGGACAGCCCAGCCTTTCCGCCACAGTGACTGTCATTGTTCCCATCATGGCCAACCTCACCGGACCCGAGTTTGAACATAGCAACCTTCTCCAAACCTCTGAGGGTTTCTCTCATCTAAATCTGTATTTAATCATCACTTTTGCCACGACTTCATTCGTATTTCTTTTGACCATTATAGTCCTAATTGCTATCAAATGCCGCCAAGATCACAACTTTACTGATGGATACAAGTCCGAATTCTGCTGTTGCAGATGGAGAAATTCAAGGGAATCTTTCACTCGGAGATCCGCACCAAGAGAATCCCTGAATTACGATGGAGTTATGGACGGTGCCCCGATCCCAGGAAGTTACAGTTACAGATATTGTTTATCGCCCGAATCAGCCAAAAGCGACTTCCTGTTTCTAAAAGCCTACAATTCATCTTTGCCCCAGAGTACTCTCAGGATAACTGACCATAAAACGAATAAATAAAATGTTCATGCAGTCAATGCAGTGAATAGCGGGCGATATTTCACTCACAGAAGGTGAGACGTTTCACTTAAATGAAAAAAAATCATAGTCAGGTGCACAGGCATATTCAGTAAGGGTGGAATCTCACTCCCTGAGGTTAAAATTAAGACAAGATTATTTTGTGGCGAATTCAGTGCTCATGAGGTTGGCATTGCTAATGCGGAGAAGTTGATACGTGTCCAGTTTGGGCATTGAATGTCAACATCAAGGCTAAGAAAAGCACATCCGTCACGCACCTCATTTTATTGGATTCCACTTCAAAAATTGGACCTGAAGTTTGTATCAGCACTTCAACATTTCACACGTTTAATATTTTCATCTTCCCACCATATTCTTAGACTAACGTCAGAGTCCAGGCCTGAATCCCGTTGTGCTTATTCACTCGGCATGTATTTTGGTGTGAGCCATCCGTCCACGGTTCATTTGAGGTCATGACCTGCATGGCATTGTTCAGTCTGACTTCTTTGAGATAAATTATCTGACAAATAAAAAATGTAGGTGGTTGCTTTTATAATTGTTTGTGGGAGTAGGTACGTTGCACCAAAATGCCCTTTTGGTTTTCAGTGTTTTACACAAAATATTCCCCAAATTAACGCCAAAATATGCTTTTCAGTCCTAGCTAATTATTGAACATATTCGGATTTTTTTTCCGGTTTATTACCTTAGTGTCAAATGATTTCATATGTCTTGTAACCGTAATTTTGCATGTAAATTTCTTAGCTTTTTGAATAAATTGGAATGTAACAAAATGAATGTCTGATTTTGCGTAAACTTTACGTCTTGTTCCACCTCAATTATAGTGGTCGAATATTAAAAACATTCGCAATGACAAATTTAGTGGGGTGGGTGGCAGAACTCTGATGACTATAACAGTTTTTCAAGATAATTCGATAAATTGTTGAAAAAGAAAGATATGTAAGTGTATAGGGACTGAGCAGGAGAGCGCCCCTACACGTATTTCTTATCTTTATTCAAGAACCTGTACCGACACGATGGGTGAAATGGCTCCCCTTTGTGTTATCAAATTCGATAGTATTTAGTTGCAAAACATGCCATAAGCAATGCTAGAAACAGAATTACGCACGGGAATCAACCGCTTAGTTTCCAAATTTGGAGAATTATACAGATGCGTTTGAAAGCAGGTGATTATAAGTTAAACAAAGCTGTTGCTTTTTGCTTCAATATAATGGAATGAGAGCACTGTTAGTAATATAATACAACATTGAATCCATTCATTTTCCTGCAAGTTAAAGTAATAATAATAATCCTTACATTTGGTACAGCTCCTTCTACGTCAGGAGGACAACCCAAAACGCTTCATATGACGTACTATAAAGTGGAAATAACTATGTAGTTTTTTTGTTGGCAGTAACGAAAAAAATCGTACAGCTTTACATATCGAGAAGGTCAAGGAACAATACCCCAAAACAGATAAGAACTGTAAACTGAGCATAATGGCACTGAAGCAGGGAGTTCTGAAACTAATTCGGTAGGAGGACCGATACTATATTTGTCATTTGTATTATATATTTACGCGCTTGCAATAATGAAACAAACATGATACAGTCAACCAGATTTTGTTAGTGCCTTGGGATATTTTGGTTGCACAGCAATAAATAGCATAGCTCCTGTCGGAGATCAACACATTTGAAGCGGCTTCGCTTTAAGTAAAGCTCAGTGCAGTTATTGGACGAGACTCGTTGTGTCGCTGTCTACCAATAAGGAGCGAAAACACTGCAAGCGATCTCTCACTCCTCCCTCTTTACCAGGCAAAGCGCAGAATAAAAGAGAAAGCTGCGCAGTGCCTGTGTGTGCTGGACGGGGCCATGTTCACAAAGATCCGGGTGGCATATTTACATTTTTAGGTAAAAATCTTGCGTTTACAGCCACAATTTCTTGTTGATCAAACCAATTAACTGAAGAAGTGGTGGCGTTTTCTGTGAGTGGAATCAGTAATGGCGAATCCACGGAGCGGCGGGTTGTTAACGTGGAAGGTCGCGCGTTTCGTTATGTTGCTTTGTGTGACCGACCTAACATCTGGGCAGATTCGCTACTCTATTCCTGAAGAATTGGAACTGGGCGCTTTTGTTGGGAATGTGGCTGAAGATTTGGGGTTGAAGATTCAGGAGCTGTCTCGGCGGAAATGCCGTCTGGTCTCTGACAAAAGAAAGCAGTATTTGGAGGTGAAGATGGAGAATGGGATTTTGTTTGTGAATGAAAGGATCGACAGAGAGCAGCTCTGTGGGCAGGGCTCTGCCTGTTCTCTCTCCTTTGAGGTAATTGTTGAAAACCCTTTGGAAATGTTTCGTGTTGACGTGGAGATACTAGATATAAATGATAATTCCCCCAGCTTCCCCAGTAGCGTTTTTCCCTTGCAAATAGCGGAGTCAATGGCGCCGGGAGCTCGCTTCCCTCTTGAGAGCGCGCAAGACCCGGACACGGGCACAAACGCAGTCAGCACTTACCAGATCAGTGCAAACAACCATTTCAGTCTGAAAGTGCAGACAAGGAGCGGAGGTACTAAAGTTCCCGTGTTAGTGTTGGATAAACAATTGGACCGCGAACAGCAGTCAGTCTTTGAGTTGGTGCTGACAGCCTTTGACGGCGGCAATCCACAAAGATCGGGCAACGCTGAAATCACTATCTCTGTATTGGACAATAATGACAACGCGCCTGTCTTTGATCGCGAATCGTACAGAGCCAATTTATTAGAAAACTCGCCCGTTGGAACATTGGTAATAAAGGTAAACGCCGCTGATTTGGACGAAGGTGCAAATGGTGAAGTGAAATATTCTTTCAGCAAACGGGCCTCGCAACATGTGCGAGAATTGTTCAGTTTGGATGTGAACACTGGAGAGATTCGAGTTCAAGGAGATCTGGATTTTGAAGAAACAAACCTTTATGAACTTGATATACAAGCTATGGACAATGGCGCACCTGCAATGGCAGGACATTCAAGTGTTCTGGTAGCCCTAACTGATGTAAACGATAATGTGCCCAAGATACAACTGACCTCTGTGTCCAGCACCGTCCGTGAAGACATTGTACCCGGGACTGTGATAGCTGTGATCAGTGTAACGACGAAGATTCTGCAAAAAACGGACAGGTTAATTGTCAGATTCCCAAGAATATACCATTTAAACTCCAAAAATCTTCCGAAAACCAATACAAATTAGTTACGAGTGGTGTACTAGATCGTGAGAAGGTTCCTGTCTACGATATTTGTATATCGGCCTGGGATTCAGGCTCCCCACCTCTTTCAACTAATAAAACAATTCTGGTGTCAGTTTCTGATATCAATGACAACGCGCCCCGGTTTGACCAGTCCTCATACAATGCATATGTGATGGAAAACAACGCTCCCGGTGATTCCATTCTATCAATTACAGCTTTGGATCCTGATTTAGACCAGAATTCCTACGTGTCTATTCCATCCTGGAGAATTATATGTCGTCATTTCCTTACGTCAGTATTGACTCGAAAAGTGGGAACATTTACGCGCTGCGCTCTTTTGACTACGAGCGGCTAAAACACTTTCAGATCCAAGTTCAGGCGCGGGATTCCGGATCCCCGTCACTGAGCAGCAGCGCCGCAGTCAATGTGATTATCTTGGATCAAAATGACAACGCTCCCGCGGTGGTTTCCCCTGTAACACGGAACGGATCAGCAACCGTGGGTCCAGTGCCCCAGTCAGCACCAGCGGGATACTTGGTGACCAAAGTAATGGCGACTGATGCTGATTCTGGTCAGAACGCACGGCTTTCATATCAGCTGCTTAAAGCTACTGACCCCAATTTGTTCAGCCTGGGACGCAATTCTGGAGAAATCAGAGTAAGCAGAACTTTATTGGACAAAGATGGCACCAAACAAAGTCTGCTCGTCTTGATAAGGGACAACGGACAGCCCAGCCTTTCCGCCACAGTGACTGTCATTGTTCCCATCATGGCCAACCTCACCGGACCCGAGTTTGAACATAGCAACCTTCTCCAAACCTCTGAGGGTTTCTCTCATCTCAATCTGTATTTAATCATCACTTTTGCCACGACTTCATTCGTATTTCTTTTGACCATTATAGTCCTAATTGCTATCAAATGCCGCCAAGATCACAACTTTACTGATGGATACAAGTCCGAATTCTGCTGTTGCAGATGGAGAAATTCAAGGGAATCTTTCACTCGGAGATCCGCACCAAGAGAATCCCTGAATTACGATGGAGTTATGGAAGGTGCCCCCATTCCCGGAAGCTACAATTACAGATTTTGCCTTTCTCCGGAGGCATCTAAAAGCGACTTCCTGTTCTTGAAAACCTACAATTCGACTTTACAACCGAGTACACTCAGAATGACTGACACCCACGGGGCAAAGAATGTGGCCAGGAATTCACAGTAACCTGGTATAGGCAATGAATTTCATTCATAACGTGAGTTAGTACATATCTTTCTCTCTAACATATGACTTAATCATTATCATAATATCTTCCTCTCATCGTGTCTCTTATTATTACGTTGTGTCTTAAATGCTGGTCTGTTCTAATTTCTTACAAATAAATAAATGGATAGCATCAGTGTTTGGTGTCCTCGATCCATTCCGAAACATTTTTAGATTTTAATAGGTTTCTCCGTTTGTCAGGCTTCTTACATCAGACATATGTGAGAATTATAGCTGTGGCTGCACCTCAACACGTTCGTTGACTATCCTAGCACTCTTAGCAAGGTCATATTTGCGAGATATCTGCATTCTATTGTGGTGCCTGATTGAGATATTTCCTTGGATCAGAACTAAAACGTCTGAATGAAAGGAAACTCCACTAACCCACTGCGTCACCGAGAGTTTGGTGTGCTTAGTTCAGCAATATAAATGAATGGAATCAGCATGAATTCCATATCAGTAGCATTGGTATTAACGCTCCATTTGTTTTGTTTTTGTGTATTGCAACTTATATCTTTATTCTTGTTCAAAGGACAACGAGGTACTCGACTTTCCAACACAAGACACACCTGCCTGCACACATAGAATTGGACTACAGCCATGTGGCAAGAACAAGTCACTATTTTGGTCTGATGGGTTTGATAGTAAACCATGATGAGAAGTGAGGGGCAAAAATTTTGATTGTTAAATCGCATGAATGATTTAACGTCAATAAATACAAAATGCAAATCTCATCTAAAGAGACAGTTTGGCATTGCATGTTTTTTTTAAAAGTGAAGTTTCGTAGCAATTAGCTGTAGTTATACTTTTGCTGCTGATTTATATGCCTGTAAAGTATGAATAAAAAGTAGAAGGGACGACAAGAACTCTTGTAGATCTGCGTAGGTTTATCGGGGGGAAGTACAACATATTCCAGGCTGTGCGGACACCAAAATAATCGCTCCTGATGCAGATTCTGGCCAGAACGCACGTCGTTCCTAGAAGCTGATGGATACCATATACTAGCTCCCCCCTCACCCCAACCCCTTTCGGTGAGGGTGTCACTGGAGAAATCAGAACAGTGGGAAGTTTTGTGGAACAAAGATGCCAAGACACAAGGCCTGGTCATCTTGGTGAAGGACATTCAAAAACCCATCCTCTCCACCACTGCCATAATACTTTATTTCCTGCTACTGAAAATACCTTTGAGCAAATTGATCAATCCGGAAAGCCATTCCACCGGTTGCAACAAATTGTAAAAATCTGTAATAATATAATAATAATCCTTACAGTTGACATAGCGTCTTCCTTTTTGCAAGTTAAGACGTCTCATAGTGCTTCACTTAGTATATTGTAAAGTGGATTGACTGTTTATTTAGTGGGCAAACGTGGCAGCCAATTGCGCACAGCAGTATTCCCCCAAAACAGTCGTGGATAGAGTAACTAATTATTTTATGGATTATTACCCCTGGAAAGCGATTCGCCAATCGACTAACAACCGTAAATATTTGTAAACAATTAAGACAAAATAAAGATCCAATAAAGGTGAACTGAACCATTATTTCTATCCAAGGGCGTTAGGGTTTCACAACAGTGGTTGTTGTGGTTGTTGTGGTCCATCACTTTGGAAGCAGCCTCGCTTTAAGAAAAGCACAGTGCAGTTATTGGCCGGGACTCGTTGTGTCGCTGTCCACCAATAAGGGGTAGAAATGTTCTGAGAGAGATCTATCCACGCCTCCCACTTCACCAGACGCAGAACAGAATCGAAGAAGAAAGCTGCGCAGTGCCTCCGTTAGCAGTGAGTGTGGGGCCCTGATCAGGAAACAGCTCTGAGGGCGTATATTTGAATTATTCGGTTTAAAATCGAGATAAGGCGCATTTCTAAAGGCAATTTGCTCCCGGGACAATCACTGGGATAACACATTCTGTGTACGGTGTTAAATAAAACAATCAACGATGGCGAATTCACGGAGCGGCCGGACATCAACATGCAAGGTCGTGCGTTTTATTGTCCTGCTTTGTGTCTCGGACCTGACTTCTGCACAGATTCGCTACTCCATTCCCGAGGAACAGGAGCGCGGCGCCTTTGTTGGGAATATCGCCGAGGATTTGGGATTGAACAGCCCGAAATTGTCTGCTCGGAAATGTCGTCTCGTCTCTCAAGACGGGAAGCAATACTTCGGGATAAACATGGAGAATGGGATTTTATTTGTGAATGAAAGAGTCGACAGAGAACAGCTATGTGGCGAGAGCTCCACTTGTTCCCTTTCTTTTGAGGTAAGAATCGAAAATCCTTCGGAGACGCATCGTGTTGAAATAGAGATTTCAGACATCAATGATAATCCACCCGGTTTCCCAAAGAGCGAGTTAGCCTTGGAAATCGCCGAGTAACGGCACCTGGAACGCGCTTCCCTCTCGAGAGCGCGCACGATCCGGACGTGGGTATGAATACGGTCAATAATTATCAGCTCAGTTCAAATGAACACTTCTCGCTGAAAGTACAGACTAGAAGCAGTGGCAATAAAATTGTCGAGTTGCTCTTAGAGAAGCCATTGGACCGGGAACAGCAGTCAACCTTTCATCTTATGTTAACTGCCTTTGATGGCGGAAGCCCAAAGAGATCGGGCACAGTTGAGATCATCATCAGTGTAGGGGACCAAATGATAATGCGCCTGTGTTTGACCGTGAGGTGTACAGAACCGATTTATCGGAAAACGCACCCAAGGGTACCTTGGTGATCAAAGTCAATGCGGATGATTCAGACCAAGGCACAAATGCCGACCTGACATATTCTTTCAGTAAACACGCCTCACGACAAGTGCGAGAGTTGTTCAGTTTGGACCCAGAGACCGGGGAGATAAGAGTCCAAGGACCGCTGGATTTTGAAAAGTCAAACATTTACGAACTTGATGTACAAGCGGTGGATCACGGCGCACCCACGATGGCGGGACATTCCAGTGTTCTCGTCAGACTCACTGATGTGAATGATAACAGCCCCGACATACAACTAACGTCAGTCTCCAGCACGGTGGGTGAGGAGGCAGCCCCGGGGACTGTGATCGCTGTGATCAGTGTGACGGATCTCGATTCTGGCAAAAACGGGGAGGTTCATTGTCAGATTCCCAGAAATGTTCCTTTCCAGCTCCAAAAATCCCCAGAGAACAACTACAAGTTAGTCACAAGCGATAGACTGGATCGTGAGAAAGTTGACAGATACAACGTGAACATACTAGCCTGGGACTCCGGGTCTCCCCCTCTTTCTACCAATAAAACAATCGAAGTGTCAGTGTCGGATATCAATGACAACGCGCCCCGGTTTGACCAGTCCTCATACACTGCATATGTGATGGAGAACAACGCTCCCGGTGACTCCATTCTATCAGTGACAGCTTTGGATCCTGATTTAGACCAGAATTCCCACGTGTCCTATTCCATCCTGGAGAATCCCATACAGGATATGACGTCTTTTCCTTACGTCAGCGTCGACTCGAAAAGTGGGAACATTTACGCGCTGCGCTCTTTTGACTACGAGCGGCTAAAACACTTTCAGATCCAAGTTCAGGCGCGGGATTCCGGATCCCCGTCACTGAGCAGCAGCGCCGCAGTCAATGTGATTATCTTGGATCAAAATGACAACGCTCCCGCGGTGGTTTCCCCTGTAACACGGAACGGATCAGCAACCGTGGGTCCAGTGCCCCAGTCAGCACCAGCGGGATACTTGGTGACCAAAGTAATGGCGACTGATGCTGATTCTGGTCAGAACGCACGGCTTTCATATCAGCTGCGTAAAGCCACTGATCCCAGTTTGTTCACTGTGGGACTGCAGTCCGGAGAAATTCGGTTGTCCGAAATATACTTGACACTGACGCCCCCAAGGAAAGTTTAGTAATCCTGATTAAAGACAATGGACAGCCTCGATTCTCTGCTACAGTGACTATCGGTTTCTCAATCGTGGCTAATGTGACCGGAAACGATTTTAAACACAGCAACTTCCTAAAAAACTCTGAACGTTTCTCTGACCTGAATCTGTATTTGATCATTATTTTTGGCACCACTTCGTTTCTGTTTCTGCTGATTATCATGATGCTTGTTGCCCTAAAATGCCATCAAGATAGAAGCATTGGTCGTGGGTATGATTCAGGAATTTGCTGTTATAGCAGGAAGGAGTCAAGGGAAGGGTTTGCTCGGAGGTCAACTGCAAGAGAATCCATGCATTACCCTGGAATGAGAGAAAGTGGCGCCATTCCTGACGCGTACAATTACAGATTTTGTCTCTCCCCGGAATCAGCTAAAAGCGATTTTCTTTTTCTCAAAAGCTACAATTCCACCTTACCCCAGAGCACCCTCAAGATCACTGACACCAACGTGGTGAAGGAATTTGACCAGCAATTCAATTCGGCGATGAAAGGTCAATAATTTCCTTTGAGAAGGTGATGCACTTAATTTGTCCATTGGTGCTGAGAAGCACAGAGCTAATGTGACAGACACAGATAGAGTCGTGGAGCAGATCAGATAGACGTGTAAATACATACACAACTATTATTCTAAAGTGAATTTTATACTTAATAATGTGAATATCATGCAGCAATGACGTTTCTATTTTAAGCTGGCAACACAATCGACAAACACTCCAAGGTCAGGTCTAAAGACCAATTAGTTGCACTCCAGTTTAAATGATTTAAATGAACGAGGTGGATGGATTTTAAGTAACTTTTAACTTGTGAAACGTTAGAGAATAATATTGTGTAATATTCATCGGTAGAACTGCCCATGTAACAGATTTTGTGCTAGCTTTCATCACAGCATTTTAGCAGATTGAAGATTACAACAACAACAGCAAATTACACTTGTATGGCGCTCTTTACGTCGGAAAGACGCTCCAGGGTGCTGGACAATACACTCTAACGCATTAAGGAATAACACTGAGTTTTGTTTTCCTCCATATTTGGTATGTTCCTGCCAGCTTGTGGTCACTCTCAATTGGCTGGTCATCAAGTCATCGGTTCATATCCGCAATCTGATACTATTTATTAAGAATTGTAAATCTAACATTGAGTAATTGTATCTCAGATTTTATTTAGTCACATTTGTAGAGAGATTTCTGCCACCAAAGACGTGCCTTGTTGGTTGGTGAATATCACAGCAGTTTTGCAATAGACAATTTGTTAATTTCCACTAAACATTTGTTCTCCTCTTTCCCAACATTTTACTAATTACTTTATTTCCCTTTATTGCAGGAAAATAAACCATCTTGATCAAGAAAATCTTCTCTTATCTATTTCAGAGGAATTATGTGGACTTTATGTGTCTTTAAATGTTTTCTCAACCCTCGCATAACTTCACTAGGATTTAACTTAATATCTTTACAAAACGTTTTCTGATTTCTTATAGCATGAAGTGGATTGTTTATTGATGTCCTGAACTTTCTATGATATACACAAGGGAATATCAATATTTCCAATTAAATATTTACCAAATAATGCCATTTTGATAAATCCATTTTCTGTTCATATTCGCCGTATTGTTGTCTCTAACTGTCTTAAGAAGTATTAGGCGTAATTTGGAGACACCAGAGTGTGCGTTGGACGTACGTCTGGAGTTTAACCAGTTAAAAAAAAAGTAGCCTGCCATTGGGAATACTGTCTAGTCAGTTTGTTTCTGTTCTTCCAGATAAGACCATCCTACCCATTAGGCCTTTAGCTTTGCAAGGTTAACAAGAGTCGAGTGAGAAGCATCATGATCGCCAAATTTAGATACTTTTGCGCTCCCACTTACTACGGTGGACAATAAAGTCATCCAAATCATAAGATATCAACTTAATTCGAATATTAAGAACCAGTTAGATAGATTCCAACAGAAGTTAATAAAGAATAAGCCCACTATTAACATAAGCGTGCAGTTTCTGCTTTCCTCACACAGAGCAAGCACCTTGTTGGAGATACTTTCATTGGAGCCACAAACCAAGAATATGTATTGCTTCATTGGTAGGTATTAGGACTTTCCTGCAGTTCAGCTTTAAATAAAGCTGAATGCAGTTATTGGTTGAGGCTCTTCGTGTCGCTGTCTGCCAATAAGGAGCTCCTACGTTTAAGAGATCTACCCTTTCCCCCACCCCCATCACAAAAAGCAGATCAGACGCGCAGAGAAAGACACAGAGTGCGTGCCTGCGTTTGGGAAGCGTAGCCATGTTCAGAGAGGCAGAACTCGATTATTTCAATGCCAGGTTTTAATATCGATACATCCACACATTATGCTTACCCGTGTACTTGTCTGACAAAGAACTGGACGTAAGTAACACAGAAGATTTTGTTTAATATAACGGAGCACCAGGAAATTTAAAACCACAACAATGGCGAGCGCGCTCGGCTGCAGTCAGTCGTTCTTTCTCCAGCTCCTGCTCTGGGACCTTGCACTCGGCCAAATACGCTACTCTATTCCCGAGGAGATGGAGCACGGCGCCTTTGTTGGGAACCTTGTGGAAGATTTAGGGCTAAACGTGCGGATGTTGGCGGCTCGCAAATTCCGCCTGGTCTCCGGGGACAGAAAGCAGTATCTGAAGGTAAATTTTGACAACGGGGTTCTGTTTGTGAATGAGAGAATCGATAGAGAACAGCTGTGTGGACAGAGCTCCACCTGCTCGCTACCTTTTGAAGTCGCGGTTGAGAATCCCATGGAAATACATCGCGTCGAAGTGGAGATAGCGGACATTAACGATAATTCCCCCAGTTTTCCGAAAAGCGATTCTTATCTGCAAATCGGTGAATCGATCGCTCCAGGAGCGCGCTTCCCTCTCGAGAGCGCGCACGATCCCGACATCGGCGTCAACACTGTCAGCTCTTACCAAATCACTTCAAACGATCACTTCGGGTTGAACATCCAGGCGAGAAACGATGGCAGTAAAATTGTCGAGCTATTGTTGGAAAAGGCTTTGGATCGCGAGCAACAGCCATTTCTACTGCTCGTCCTGACGGCCATTGACGGTGGAGTCCCGCACAGATCTGGCACAACGGAGATTAGTATTGCTGTATTAGATGCCAATGATAATGCACCTTTATTCAACCATGAAATATATAGGGCAAGTGTACCAGAAAACGCACCAAAGGGGACATTAGTGACACAAATCAACGCTGCCGATTTAGACCAGGGTACAAACGCTGAGATAAAATATACATTCTCCAAACATTCAGCCGAAAGGGGGCGCGAGCTTTTCCAGTTGGATTCGGAAACTGGTGAGATAAAAGTTCAAGCAGGTCTCGATTTTGAAGAGGCAAATATTTATGAACTTTATGTACAAGCGACAGACAACGGCGCACCTCCGATGGCGGGTCATGCCAAAGTTGTTGTCAACCTAATCGATTTGAATGATAATGCTCCTGAGATAAAATTAACTTCAGTCACCAACGTGATCACTGAAGACGCCACACCTGGTACTATAGTGGCTGGTATAACTGTTACTGATGTAGATTCCGGTGAAAACGGACAGGTCCGATGCCAGATCCCTACTTCCATTCCATTTAAACTTCAAACGTCTCCAAACAATCAATATACGTTGATGGTGGGTGACATACTGGATCGTGAAAAGCAATCTTCGTACAACGTGTCCATTTCAGCCTGGGACGGTGGGACTCCTCCTCTTTCAACAAACCAAACCATCGTGGTGACGGTTTCTGATGTGAATGACAACGCTCCAGAGTTCACGCAATCTTCCTATAACGTTTACCTGATGGAGAACAACACTCCCGGGGCCTCCATATTTGCAGTGACCGCTTTAGATCCGGATGGGGACCAGAATGGGGAAATCTCCTATTCTGTTGTGGAGAACCAGATCCAAGACGTGTCTGCCACCGCTTACATCAGTATCAGCTCTAAGAGTGGTAACATTTACGCACTGCGCTCCTTTGACTATGAACAACTGAAGCATTTCCAGATCAAAGTTCAAGCTCAGGATGGTGGGTTTCCCCCATTGACCAGTGTTGCCCTCGTGAATGTTATAATCCTGGATCAAAACGACAATGCGCCATTTATTGTTTCAGCTATAACATGGAATAACTCCACAGCAGTGGAGATACCACTACGGTCAACATACCCAGGTTATTCAGTCACTAAGGTGTTGGGCACTGATGCAGATTCTGGTCAGAACGCACGGCTTTCCTATCAGCTGATGGATGCCACTGATCCCAGTCTGTTCAGTGTGGGGCTGCTCACTGGAGAGATCAGAACACTGCGAAGATTGTTGGAGGAAGACGCCACCACACAGAGTCTGGTCATTTTGGTGAAGGACAATGGGCAGCCCAGCCTGTCCAGCACGGCCACTCTCCTCTTCTCTCTCCTATCCAATGTCACTGATATTTTGCCTGAACCAAGTGACCTATCCAACAAACGGCATTATTTTTCGAATCTAAATCTTTATGCAATCGTGGGTTTAGGATCAACTTCCTTTATATTTCTTGTCACTATAATTCTGCTGGTCGCCATCAAATGCAAACAAGACCGAAATATCTCCACAGTTTGTTGCTGTTTGGGCCAGACAATTTCTGAAGATAATTTTAGTCGAAGGTCCGCACCACACCAAGCTGTAAATTATACTGGAGTTGGAGCTGAACCTTACCATTATAGCATTTGCTTATCCCCAGAGTCATCCAAGAGCGAATTTCTATACCTGAAGCCCTACACTGCCACATTGCCCTACAGTGATGTCAGTGTCAACAACACAACTGCCAGACACGAATTTAAACAGTAATTGTGTCATGGAAGTGACGTTTATTTACTCCCGTTAAGCAAAGATCGTGTTCATGGTGGCTTTGCATATGTTTTGGAGGTGCGTAAAAAGCAACTTGCTTTTTATGATAGTACGAGTTCGGTAAATATGATTCGAAGCAGTTATTGCTTAGCATTTCAATGTTTTCCATTCTTTGTCGATCATGTTGTAGCGTCTGAGAGATGTTAATATTGGAAAAGCAACAGTTTTATTATTTAAACATGCCATTATTTCGAGGTTGAATATCTAAGATGGGATAAGATGTACTAAGCAGTGAGCGCAGGAGGAGTAGCAATGACTCATAGTAACTTGACATAATGTGTCACTGTCGTTGCTGAGAAATTTATTTGATGGCCAAATTTATGTTACTAAATTCATGTTCAAATTGTAAAATAATTATGGTAATGTGTACCACTGACTGAATTTGGATAATATGTGAGAAAAATAACGTTTTGATGATATTATAAATTTCCGTCTGGCTTTAAGAAAAGTGTAATGTAGTTATTGGTTGGGACTCTTCGTGTCGCTGTGTACCAATGAGGAGCCGAGACGTTGGCGGCGATCTACCCCCTCCCCCACCACAAAAGGCTAAAGCGAATAACAGAGGAACAACACAACAGTCCCTGCGTTTGCGCCGCGGAGCCATCTTCAGGGAGCCAGATCTAGCGGAGTTCAAGGTTTCACATTAATGTCGGTACTTTTGATGGGTGGAAATATAAATTTCGAGTTGAGGAAGAAGCTCATCGCTGTTGGGAACAAAGAAAATCGCATCGCAGAAGAATGGCGAATGCGCTCAGCTGCGGGCCGGCTTTCATTTTGCTGTTGTTTGTGTCGGACCTGGTATCGGGGCTAATTCACTACTCGATTCCCGAGGAACTGGAGCAAGGCGCCTTTGTTGGGAATATCGTTAGAGATTTAGGATTAAACGTTGAGAGATTGCCGGCTCGCAAGTTCCAGCTCGTCTCTGATGACAGCCGTCAGTATCTGAAGGTAAATTTTGAAAACGGGATTTTATTTGTGAATGAAAGAATCGACAGAGAAGAGCTGTGTGGACAGAACCCGACCTGTTCCCTTTCCTTTGAAGCAGCGGTCGACAATCCTTTAGAAGTGCATCCTATTGAAGTAGAGATTGTGGATATTAATGATAATTCACCAAGATTTCCAAGAGATGCATTTTCCTTACAAATATATGAATCAAATGTGCCGGGAGCGAGCTTTCCTCTCGAGAGCGCCTATGATTCTGACGTGGGCGTGAATACAATCAACATTTACCAAATCAGTTCGAACGATTATTTCGGCCTAAAAGTGCAAACGAGAAGCGATGGCGGTAAAATTGTCCAGTTATTGCTGAAGAAGGCTTTGGATCGTGAACAGGAGTCAGCGTTTCAGCTTGTCCTGACGGCCATTGATGGCGGAAATCCGCACAGGTCTGGCACAGCTGAGATTATTATCAATGTTCAAGACACTAATGACAATTCTCCTGTTTTTGATCGTGAGATATACAGAGCAAACATTCCAGAAAATGCATCAAAGGGAACCTCAGTGATACAAATCAACGCTGTCGATTTGGACGCAGGTATAAATGCTGATTTAAACTACACCTTTTCCAGTTATTCTTCCATAAGGGGGCGCGAGATTTTCAAATTAGATTCCGAAAGTGGTGAGATAAAGCTTCAAGGTGTTCTCGATTTTGAGGAGACCAATGTTTATGAACTTTATGTACAAGCGACAGACAAGGGAACGCCTCCAATGGTGGGGCATGCGAGAGTTATTGTCAAAATAACCGACGTGAATGATAACGCTCCTGAGATAAAACTGAGCTCGATATCACGTGTGGTTCCAGAAGATGCTGCAACCGGGACTGTGGTGACTGTGATAAGTGTATCGGATCGAGATTCTGTTGAAAACGGACAAGTTCACTGCAAGGTTCCCATGAACATCCCATTTGGACTTCAAACGTCTGCCAACAACCAGTACAAATTGGTTGTGGGTGAGACATTGGATCGAGAGAAGCAATCTTCGTATAACATCTCCATTCTCGCCTGGGACGGAGGAACTCCGCCGCTTTTTGCAAACAGAACTATATTGGTGACGGTTTCTGATGTGAATGACAACACTCCAGAGTTCACGCAATCTTCCTATAACGTTTACCTGATGGAGAACAACACTCCCGGGGCCTCCATATTTGCAGTGACCGCTTTAGATCCGGATGTGGACCAGAATGGGGAAATCTCCTATTCTGTTGTGGAGAACCAGATCCAAGACGTGTCTGCCACCGCTTACATCAGTGTCAGCTCTAAGAGCGGTAACATTTACGCGCTGCGCTCCTTTGACTACGAACAACTGAAGCATTTCCAGATCAAAGTTCAAGCTCAGGATGGTGGGTTTCCCCCATTGAGCAGTGTTGCCTTCGTGAATGTTATAATCCTGGATCAAAATGACAATGCGCCATTCATTTTTTCACCTGTAACAAGGAAAAACTCCACAGCAGTGGAGATACCACTACGGTCAACATACCCAGGTTATTTAGTCACTAAGGTGTTGGGCACTGATGCAGATTCTGGTCAGAACGCACGGCTTTCCTATCAGCTGATGGACGCCACTGATCCCAGTCTGTTCAGTGTGGGGCTGCTCACTGGAGAGATCAGAACACTGCGAAGATTGTTGGAGGAAGACGCCACCACACAGAGTCTGGTCATTTTGGTGAAGGACAATGGACAGCCCAGCCTGTCCAGCACGGCCACTCTCCTCTTCTCACTGCTATCCAATGTCACTGATATTGTGCCTGAACCAAGTGACCGAATCAGCCCTCGGGGGATTTTTTCGCATCTAAATCTTTATGCAATCGTGGGTTTAGGATCAACTTCCTTTATATTTCTTGTCACTATAATTCTACTGGTTGCCATCAAGTGCAAACAAGACAGAAATATCACTAAAGGATACAACTCCAGAGTTTGTTGTTGTTTGGGTCCGAGCGTTTCTGAGGATAGTTTTAATCCAAGGGCTGCACCGCATCAAGGTGTAAGTTATACTGGAGTTGGAGCTGAACCTTATCATTATAGCATTTGCTTATCTCCAGAATCTTCCAAGAGCGAATTTCTGTACCTCAAGCCCTACACTGCCACATTGCCCTACAGTGATGTCAGTGTTAACCATACAATCGCCAGACACGAATTTAAACAGTAATTGGGTAATTCAAGTGATAGCTATTTATTGCTGTGAAACAAAAACATATCCATGGTAACTGGATATAAATTTTAGGCGTGCGTAATGACCAAGTTGATACTCATACCTGCTTTTATGGTAGTAAAATCTCTATTGTTCCTATGTTCATACATCTGCGACAAATATCATTCTTAACATATATTGCTTGATATTCTAAGTGTTTTCAATTTGGTGTAGACTCTATTAATGTCTGAGAGATGTTGGGGAATATTGTGAAGGCAACAATTTACTCGCATGCCATTATTTCCAAGTTGAATTGCTGGCATGGGATAAAATGTACCAAGCAGTGGACAGCAGTGTGTTTCAGGAATATCAGTGAATATATGTAACTGGTGAGAAATTGACATACTCTGTCCATTACAATGCTCATCAATGTCTTCTATCGTTAAATTGATGTCATTCGAATCATGATTCACATTGTAAAATAATTACGTCCATGTGTACCGCAGCATATATTTTGATAGAACATGAGAAAAAATAATGCTTGCAAAATATAATAAATTTCCGTCTGGCTTTAAGAAAAGTGTAATGTAGTTATTGGTTGGGACTCTTCGTGTCGCTGTGTACCAATGAGGAGCCGAGACGTTGGCGGCGATCTACCCCCTCCCCCACCACAAAAGGCTGAAGTGAATCACAGCGGAAACACCACAACAGTCCCTGCGTTTGCGCCGCGGAGCCATCTTCAGGGAGCCAGATCTAGGGGAGCTGAGGGTTTCACATTAATGTCGGTGTTTTAATGCGTGAAAACATACATTTTCTAGTTGAGGAAGAAGCTGAACGCTGTTGGGAACAAAGAAAATCGCAAGGCAGAAGAATGGCGAATGCGCTCAGCTGCGGGCCGGCTTTCATTTTGCTGTTGTTTGTGTCGGACCTGGTATCGGGGCAAATTCACTACTCGATTCCCGAGGAACTGGAGCAAGGCGCCTTTGTTGGGAATATCGTGAGAGATTTAGGATTAAACGTTGAGAAATTATCGACTCGCAAATTCCGACTGGTCTCTGATGACAGCCGTCAGTATCTGAAGGTAAATTTTGAAAATGGGATTTTATTTGTGAATGAAAGAATCGACAGAGAAGAGCTGTGTGGACAGAGCCCGACCTGTTCCCTTTCCTTTGAAGCTGCGGTTGTCAATCCTTTGGAGGTGCATCCTATTGAGGTAGAAATCGTGGATATTAATGATAATTCCCCGAATTTTCCGAAAGACAAATTTGCTTTGCACATTGGTGAATTAACTGCGCCAGGAGCGAGCTTCCCTCTCGAGAGCGCGCATGATTCTGACGTGGGCGCGAACACAATCAGTACCTATCAGATCAGTTCAAACGGGCATTTCGACTTGAAGGTGCAGACGAGAAGCGATGGTAGTAAAATTGTGGAGCTATTGTTAGAGACGGTTTTGGATCGCGAACAGGAGCCAGAGGTCCAGCTGGTCCTGACAGCCATTGATGATGGAATTCCACAGAGATCTGGTACAGCTGTGATTACTATCACTGTGCTGGATGCGAATGATAATACGCCTACATTTGATCATGAAATATACAGAATAAGTATACCAGAAAATGCACAGAAATGGACCTCAGTAACACAAATCAACGCTATCGATTTGGATGAAGGTATAAATGCTGAAGTAAAATATAGCTTTTCGAGTCATTCTTCCGAAAGGGGGCGCGAGCTTTTCCAGTTAGATTCGGAGACTGGTGAGATAAAAGTTCAAGGGGATCTCGATTTTGAGGAGGCAAATGTTTATGAACTTTATGTGCAATCGACAGACAAGGGAACACCTCCTTTGGCGGGGCATGCCAAAGTTATTGTCAAATTAATTGATGTGAATGACAACGCTCCAGAGATAAAATTACGTTCGATATTACGTGTGGTTCCAGAGGTTGTTAAACCCGGGACTGTGGTGGCTGTGATCAGTGTAACAGATCGAGATTCTGGAGAAAACGGTCATGTTCACTGCACCGTTCCTATGAACATCCCATTCAGACTTCAAAAGTCTACCAACAACCAGTACAAGATGGTTGTGGGTGAGGCAATGGATCGAGAGAAAGAATCCTCGTATAACATCTCCATTCTCGCCTGGGACGGAGGAACCCCACCGCTTTCAGCAAACAGAACTATGTTGGTTTCGGTTTCTGATGTGAATGACAACGCTCCAGAGTTCACGCAATCTTCCTATAACGTTTACCTGATGGAGAATAACACTCCCGGTGCCTCCATATTTGCGGTGGCAGCTTTAGACCCGGATTCGGAGCAGAATGGGGAGATCTCCTATTCTGTTGTGGAGAACCAGATCCAAGACGTGTCTGCCACCGCTTACATCAGTATCAGCTCCAAGAGCGGTAACATTTACGCACTGCGCTCCTTTGACTACGAACAACTGAAGCATTTCCAGATCAAAGTTCAAGCTCAGGATGGTGGGTTTCCCCCATTGAGCAGTGTTGCCCTCGTGAATGTTATAATCCTGGATCAAAACGACAATGCGCCATTTATTGTTTCACCTGTAACATGGAACAACTCCACAGCAGTGGGGATACCACTACGGGCAACATACCCAGGTTATTCAGTCACTAAGGTGTTGGGCACTGATGCAGATTCTGGTCAGAACGCACGGCTTTCCTATCAGCTGATGGACGCCACTGATCCCAGTCTGTTCAGTGTGGGGCTGCTCACTGGAGAGATCAGAACACTGCGAAGATTGTTGGAGGAAGACGCCACCACACAGAGTCTGGTCATTTTGGTGAAGGACAATGGACAGCCCAGCCTGTCCAGCACGGCCACTCTCCTCTTCTCTCTCCTATCCAATGTCACTGATATTGCTCCTGAACCAAATGATCGATTAAACAATCTGGAATATTTTTCGGATCTAAATATTTATTTAATTGCCGGTTTAGGTTCAACTTCCTTTATATTTCTTGTCACGATAATTCTGCTGGTTGCCATCAAGTGTAAACAAGATAGAAATATCACCGAAGGATACAGCTCCGCACTTTGTTGTTGTCTGGGTCAGGGGATTTCAGAGGATAATTTTAATCGAAGACCTGCACCACATCAAGCTGTAAATTATTCTGGGGTTGGAGCTGAACCTTACCATTACAGCATTTGCTTATCTCCAGAATCATCCAAGAGCGAATTCCTGTACCTCAAGCCCTACACTGCCACTTTGCCCTACAGTGAAGTCAGTGTTAACAACACAACCGCCAGACACGAATTTAAACATTGAAGGGGCGCGTATTTATTCCTGTTAAACAAAAAACATATTCATGGTAAGTTGGTATGCAATTTGGGCGTGCGTATAGACCAACTTGATAATCATACCTGTTTTTGTAGTAGTTGAATCTCTGTTGTGCCTACTCTATGTACGACAGCGGTAAATATGATTCTAAACATATATTACTTGACATTTTCAATCTTTCCTCTTCTATGTGGGCCGCATTGATATCTGAGTGATGTGTGGAAATATTGTGAAAGCAACAGTTTACTTGGATGCCATTATTTCAAAGTTGAATATCTGACATGGGATAAAACACATTAAGTAGTCGACAGCAGATTTTCCAGCAATATCAATGATTAATAGTGACAAATAGTTGATAACTTCACATATGCTGTGTCAGTGTCAATACTCATAAATGTCTCATTTGGCTAAATGTTTGTTATTAAGTGAGGTTTACATTGTTAACTAATTGGGGTCATCTGTGTTACACCATAAATTTCGACAGTACATGAGAAAAACAACGTTTCGATGATAGAATAAATTTCCGTCTGCCTTTAAGAAAAGTGTAATGTAGTTATTGGTTGGGACTCTTCGTGTCGCTGTGTACCAATGAGGACCCGAGACGTTGGCGGCGATCTACCCCCTCCCCCACCACAAAAGGCTGAAGTGAATCGCAGCGGAAACACCACAACAGTCCCTGCGTTTGCGCCGCGGAGCCATCTTCAGAAAAGCGGATCTTAGCGGAGTTCAAGGTTTCACGTTAACGTCTGTAATTTAGTGCGTAAAAACATACATTTTCTAGTAGAGGAAGAAGCCGAACGCTGTTGGAAACAAAGAAAATCGCAACGCAGAGGAATGGCGAATGCGCTCAGCTGCGGGCCGGCTTTCATTTTGCTGTTGTTTGTGTCGGACCTGGTATCGGGGCAAATTCACTACTCGATTCCCGAGGAACTGGAGCAAGGCGCCTTTGTTGGGAATATCGTGAGAGATTTAGGATTAAACGTTGAGAAATTATCGGCTCGCAAGTTCCGGCTGGTCTCTGATGACAGCCGTCAGTATCTGAAGGTAAATGTTGAAAATGGGATTTTATTTGTGAATGAAAGAATCGACAGAGAAGAGCTGTGTGGACAGAGCCCGACCTGTTCCCTTTCCTTTGAAGCAGCGGTTGACAATCCTTTAGAGGTGCATCCTATTGAGGTAGAGATCGTGGATATTAATGATAATTCCCCGAATTTTCCGAAAGAAAGAATTGCCTTGCAGATTGGTGAATGGATTACACCAGGGGCGAGCTTCCCTCTCGAGAGCGCGCATGATTTGGACGTGGGCGTGAACGCAATCAACACTTACGAGATCAGTTCTAACGATTATTTCGGGCTGAGTGTTCAGACGAGAAGCGATGGAAGTAAACATGCCGAGTTGTTGTTGGAGAAGGTTTTGGATCGCGAAGATGAATCAGAGTTTAAGCTTGTCCTGACGGCTATTGACGGGGGATATCCCCACCGATCTGGCACAGCCGAGATAAGTATCACTGTTGCAGACATTAATGACAACGCCCCTGTTTTCGATCACGATATATACAGGGCAAGTGTACCAGAAAATGCATCGAAGGGGAGATTAGTGACAAAAATCAACGCTGTCGATTTAGACGCAGGTATAAATGCTGAGGTAAAATATACCTTTTCCAGTTATTCTTCGGAAAGGGGGCGCGAGATTTTCAAGATGGATTCTAAAAGTGGTGAGATAAAGGTTGATGGACTTCTCGATTTTGAGGAGGCGAATGTTTATGAGCTTTACGTACAAGCTACAGACAAGGGAACCATTCCCATGGCGGGCCATGCTAAAGTTATTGTCAAAATAATTGATGTGAATGATAACGCTCCTGAGATAAAATTGCGTTCGATATCACGTGTCGTCCCAGAGGATGTTACACCTGGGACTGTGGTGGCTGTCATTAGTATAACTGATCGAGATTCTGGAGTAAACGGAGAAGTTCACTGCACGGTTCCTATGAACATCCCGTTTAGTCTTCAAAAGTCTCCCAACAACCAGTACAAGTTGATTGCGCGTGAAGTATTGGATCGAGAGAAAGAATCCTCGTATAACATCTCCATTCTCGCCTGGGACGGAGGAACGCCACCGCTTTCTGCAAACAGAACTATGTCGCTGTCGGTTTCTGATGTGAATGACAACGCTCCAGAGTTCACGCAATCTTCCTATAACGTTTACCTGATGGAGAACAACACTCCCGGGGCCTCCATATTTGCAGTGACCGCTTTAGATCCGGATGTGGACCAGAACGGGGAAATCTCCTATTCTGTTGTGGAGAACCAGATCCAAGACGTGTCTGCCACCGCTTACATCAGTGTCAGCTCCAAGAGCGGAAATATTTACGCGCTGCGCTCCTTTGACTATGAACAACTAAAGCATTTCCAGATCAAAGTTCAAGCTCAGGATGGTGGGTTTCCCCCATTCAGCAGTGTTGCCCTCGTGAATGTTATAATCCTGGATCAAAACGACAATGCGCCATTTATTGTTTCACCTGTAACTAGGAAAAACTCCACAGCAGTGGAGATACCACTGCGGTCAACATACCCAGGTTATTTAGTCACTAAGGTGTTGGGCACTGATGCAGATTCTGGTCAGAACGCACGGCTTTCCTATCAGCTGATGGACGCCACTGATCCCAATCTGTTCAGTGTGGGGCTGCTCACTGGAGAGATCAGAACACTGCGAAGATTGTTGGAGGAAGACGCCACCACACAGAGTCTGGTCATTTTGGTGAAGGACAATGGACAGCCCAGCCTGTCCAGCACGGCCACTCTCCTCTTCTCTCTCCTATCCAATGTCACTGATATTGCTCCTGAACCAAATGAGCGATTCAACAATCTGGAATATTTTTCGGATCTAAATCTTTATTTAATTGTCGGTTTAGGATCAACTTCCTTTATATTTCTTGTCACTATAATTCTGCTGGTTGCCATCAAGTGTAAACAAGATAGAAATATCACTGATGGATACAGCTCCGCACGTTGTTGTTGTCTGGATCAGGGGATTTCAGAGGATAATTTTAATCGAAGACCTGCACCACATCAAGCTGTAACTTATTCTGGAGTTGGAGCCGATCCCTATCATTACAGCATTTGCTTATCTCCAGAATCATCCAAGAGCGAATTCCTGTACCTCAAGCCCTACACTGCCACTTTGCCCTATAGTGAAGTCAGTGTTAACAACACAACCGCCAGACACGAATTTAAACATTGAAGTGGCGCGTAATTATTCCTGTTAAACAAAAAACTTATTCATGGTACCTTGGTATAAGTTTTGGGCGTGCGTATAGACCAATTTGATACTCATACCTGTTTTTGTGGTAGTGAAATCTCCGTTGTACCTACTGAACGTACGACTGCGGCAAATATCGCTCTAAACATATTTTACTTGACATTTTCAATGTTTCTGTTCTGTGTGGACTGTGTTAATATCTGAGAGATGTTCGGAAATACTGTGAAAGCAGCAGTTTACTTGCATGCTATTATTTCCAAGTTGAATATCTGACATGGGATAGAACACATTAAGTAGTCGACAGCAGATTATTTCAGGAATATCAACGACTAATAGTGACAAATAATTGATAACTTCACATATGCTTTGTCAATGTCAATGCTCATAAATGTCTTCTTTGGCTAAGTGTATGTTATTAAGTGAGGTTTACATTGTTAACTAATTGGGGTCATCTGTGTTACACCACAAATTTCGACAGTACATGAGAAAAATAACGTTTCGATGATAGAATAAATTTCAGTCTGCCTTTAAGAAAAGTGTAATGTAGTTATTGGTTGGGACTCTTCGTGTCGCTGTGTACCAATGAGGAGCCGAGACGTTGGCGGCGATCTACCCCCTCCCCCACCACAAAAGGCTGAAGTGAATCGCAGCGGAAACACCACAACAGTCCCTGCGTTTGCGCCGCGGAGCCATCTTCAGGGAGGCAGATCTAGGGGAGCTGAGGGTTTCACGTTAGCGTCTTTATTTTAATGCGTAAAAGCATTCATTTTCTAGTTGAGGAAGAAGCCGAACGCTGTTGGGAACAAAGAAAATCGCAAGGCAGAAGAATGGCGAATGCGCTCAGCTGCGGGCCGGCTTTCATTTTGCTGTTGTTTGTGTCGGACCTGGTATCGGGGCAAATTCACTACTCGATTCCCGAGGAACTGGAGCAAGGCGCCTTTGTTGGGAATATCGTGAGAGATTTAGGACTAAACGTTGAGAAATTATCGGCTCGCAAGTTCCGACTGGTCTCTGATGACAGCCGTCAGTATCTGAAGGTAAATTTTGAGAATGGGATTTTATTTGTGAATGAAAGAATCGACAGAGAAGAGCTGTGTGGACAGAGCCCGACCTGTTCCCTTTCCTTTGAAGCTGCGGTTGTCAATCCTTTGGAGGTGCATCCTATTGAGGTAGAAATCGTGGATATTAATGATAATTCCCCGAATTTTCCGAAAGACAAATTTGCTTTGCAGATTGGTGAATGGATTACACCAGGAGCGAGCTTCCCTCTCGAGAGCGCGCATGATTCTGACGTGGGCGCGAACACAATCAGTACCTATCAGATCAGTTCTAATGATTATTTCGGCCTGAAGATGCAGACGAGAAGCGATGGTAGCAAAATTGTGGAGTTACTGTTAGAGAAAGCTTTGGATCGCGAACAGCAGTCAGCGCTTCAGCTGGTCCTGACGGCTCTCGATGGCGGAAAACCCCACCGATCTGGCACAACTGATATTAGTATCACTGTACTGGACAACAATGATAATGCACCTATCTTTCAGCATGAAGTATACAGAAGTAGTATTCCAGAAAACACACCAGATGACACCTCAGTGGCACAAGTCAAAGCTACTGATTTGGACGCAGGTCCAAACGCTGAATTACAATATAGCTTTTCCAGCCATTCTTCCGATAGGGGGCGCGAGCTTTTCCAGTTGGATTCGAAAACCGGTGAAATAAAAGTTCGAGGTGTTCTCGATTTTGAGGAGGCAAATATTTATGAACTGTATGTACAAGCTACAGACAAGGGAGCCACTCCCATGGCGGGCCATGCTAAAGTTATTGTGAAACTAATTGATGTAAATGATAACGCTCCTGAGATAAAATTGCGTTCAATGTCACGTGTAGTTTCAGAGGATGTTAAACTCGGGACTGTGGTGGCTGTTATCAGCGTAATAGATCGAGATTCTGGAAAAAACGGACAAGTTCACTGCACAGTCCCCGTGAACATCCCATTTAGACTTCAACAATCTCCAAAAAAACAGTACAAGTTGGTTGTAGGTGAGGCATTGGATCGAGAGAAACAATCATCGTTCAACATCTCCATTCTCGCCTGGGACGGAGGAACGCCACCGCTTTCTGCAAACAGAACGATGTTGGTGTCGGTTTCTGATGTAAATGACAACGCTCCAGAGTTCACGCAATCTTCCTATAACGTTTACCTGATGGAGAACAACACTCCTGGGGCCTCCATATTTGCAGTGACCGCTTTAGATCCGGATGTGGACCAGAACGGGGAAATCTCCTATTCTGTTGTGGAGAACCAGATCCAAGACGTGTCTGCCACCGCTTACATCAGTGTCAGCTCTAAGAGCGGAAATATTTACGCGCTGCGCTCCTTTGACTATGAACAACTGAAGCATTTCCAGATCAAAGTTCAAGCTCAGGATGGTGGGTTTCCCCCATTGAGCAGTGTTGCCCTCGTGAATGTTATAATCCTGGATCAAAATGACAATGCGCCATTTATTGTTTCACCTATAACATGGAATAACTCCACAGCAGTGGAGATACCACTACGGTCAACATACCCAGGTTATTTAGTCACTAAGGTGTTGGGCACTGATGCAGATTCTGGTCAGAACGCACGGCTTTCCTATCAGCTGATGGACGCCACTGATCCCAGTCTGTTCAGTGTGGGGCTGCTCACTGGAGAGATCAGAACACTGCGAAGATTGTTGGAGGAAGACGCCACCACACAGAGTCTGGTCATTTTGGTGAAGGACAATGGGCAGCCCAGCCTGTCCAGCACGGCCACTCTCCTCTTCTCTCTCCTATCCAATGTCACTGATATTGTGCCTGAACCAAGTGAACGATCCAAAAATCGCTTTTATTTTTCGGATCTAAATCTTTATTTAATTGTCGGTTTAGGATCAACTTCCTTCATATTTCTTGTCACTATAATTCTGCTGCTTGGCATCAGGTGCAAACAAGGCAGAAATATCACTGAAGGATACATCTCCACAGTTTGTTGTTGTTTGGGTCAGGGCGTTTCTGATGATACGTTTAATCGAGGGTATGGGCCACATCAAGCTGTCAATTATTCTGGGGTTGGAGCTCAACCTTACAATTACAGCATTTGCTTGTCTCCAGAATCATCCAAGAGCGAATTTCTGTACCTGAAGCCCTACAGTGCCACATTGCCCTACAGTGATGTCAGTGTTAAAAACACAACCGCCAGACACGAATTTAAACAATAATTGTGTTACGGAAGTGACGCTTATTTACTCGTGTTGAACAAAAATCATATTCATGTTATCTTCGTAGAAGTTTTGGGGATGCGTAAAGAGCAGCCTATATTCATACCTGTTTTTGTTCTGGTAAAATCTATTATTCGTAGTGTGCGTAGGAGTACGATACATTTTTATTGTAAGCTGATATTGCTTGAGATTTTCAATGTTTTCCATTCTATATCGATTATGTTATTTTGTAAGAGAGATGTCGGGAAATATTTTACACGCATCAGTTTGCTCGCATGCAGTAATTTCGCGGTTGAATATCTGACATGGCAGAAAATGTACAAAGCTGTGCACAGCAGTTTTTTTTAAAGACTATGAATGACTCTTGTTTACGGGAGGACAAGTTCGCAGCGCTATGGGGAAGTGCGATTGGTTTAGACAGCTCTTTAAAAGAGCCGGCACAGACACGATAATAATAATAATAATAATCCTTGCATTTGATATAGCGCTTTTCACGTCAGGAGGACTTCCCAAAGCGCTTCACAGAACACAAGTGAATTGACAGTATATTTGTGGGAGAACGCGGCAGCCAATTGCGCACAGCAATGTCCCACAAACAGTCGTGGGTTGAAAATGACCAATTTATTATTGTTTTGGGTTTTGGAGGGATTATTATTAGGCTCTGTGTGGAGTAAGGAAACTTGCCCAAGGTTTGGCCCTCTGCCTGGAATTGAACTCAGGTCTCTCACTTGCAAAGCGAGTGCTCAACCACTGAGCTACAGGACTCCACGATGGGTCGAATGACCTCCTTCTGTGCTGTATATTTCTACGATTCTATGACTACAAGTAACTGTTGATAACTTAACCTATTGTGTTAATGTCCATGCTGAGAAATTTCTTTTTTGGTTAAACTTATGTTGCTAAATTTATACTTACATTGCAACGTAATTATGGCAATGTGAACCACAACATACATGTTGATAGTATATGAGAGAAACAAAGGTTTGTATGATATAATAAATTAACGTCTCGCTTTAAGAAGAGTGTAATGTAGTTATTGGTTGGGACTCTTCGTGTCGCTGTGTACCAATGAGGAACCGAGACGTTGGCGGCGATCTACCCCCTCCCCCACCACAAAAGGCTGAAGTGAATCGCAGCGGAAACACCACAACAGTCCCTGCGTTTGCGCCGCGGAGCCATCTTCAGAAACGCAGATCTAGCGGAGTTCAAGGTTTCACGTTAACGTCTGTATTTTAATGCGTAAAAGCATTCATTTTCTAGTTGAGGAAGAAGCCGAACGCTGTTGGGAACAAAGAAAATCGCATCGCAGAAGAATGGCGAATGCGCTCAGCTGCGGGCCGGCTTTCATTTTGCTGTTGTTTGTGTCGGACCTGGTATCGGGGCAAATTCACTACTCGATTCCCGAGGAACTGGAGCAAGGCGCCTTTGTTGGGAATATCGTGAGAGATTTAGGACTAAACGTTGAGAAATTATCGGCTCGCAAATTCCGACTGGTCTCTGATGACAGCGGTCAGTATCTGAAGGTAAATTTTGAAAATGGGATTTTATTTGTGAATGAAAGAATCGACAGAGAAGAGCTGTGTGGACAGAGCCCGACCTGTTCCCTTTCCTTTGAAGCAGCGGTTGATAATCCGTTGGAAATGCATCGAATTGAAGTAGAGATTGTGGATATTAATGACAATTCCCCCAAATTTCCAAAAAAAGAATTTTACTTACAGATTGGTGAATCGATTGCACCAGGAGCGAGCTTCCCTCTCGAGAGCGCGCATGATTCTGACGTGGGCGTGAATACAATCAGCACTTACCAGATCAGTTCTAACGATTATTTCGGCCTGAATGTGCAGACGAGAAGCGATGGTGGTAAAATTGTGGAGTTATTGTTAGAAAAAGCTTTGGATCGGGAAAAGGAGTCAATGTTTCAGCTTGTCCTGACGGCCATTGATGGTGGCAACCCGCACAGGTCTGGCACAGCTGAGATCAGTGTCACTGTGCTGGATGCCAATGATAATGCACCTATCTTCGACCATGACATATACAGGGCAAGTGTATCAGAAAATGCACCGAAGGGGACCTCAGTGACAAAAATAAACGCTGCTGATTTGGACACCGGCACAAATGCTGAGATAAAATATAGCTTTTCCAGTCATTCTTCCGAAAGGGGGCGCGAGATTTTCGTGTTGGATTCGGAAAATGGTGAGATAAAAGTTCAAGGAGTTCTCGATTTTGAGGAATCAACTGTTTTTGAACTCTATGTACAAGCGACAGACAATGGTGCATTACCAATGATGGGCCATGCCAAAGTTGTAGTCAAACTAATTGACATGAATGATAACGCTCCTGAGATAAAACTGAGTTCTATATCACGTGTAGTCCCAGAAAATTCTGTACCTGGAACTGTGGTGGCTTTAATAAGTGTATCGGATCGAGATTCTGTTCAAAACGGACAAGTTCACTGCAAGGTTCCTATGAATATCCCATTTCGACTTGAAAAGTCTCCCAACAACCAATACAAGTTGGTTGTGCGTGAGGCACTGGATCGAGAGAAAGAATCATCGTATAACATCTCCATTCTCGCCTGGGACGGAGGAACGCCACCGCTGTCTGCCAACAGAACTATATTAGTGTCACTTTCTGATGTGAATGACAACGCTCCAGAGTTCACGCAATCTTCCTATAACGTTTACCTGATGGAGAACAACACTCCCGGGGCCTCCATATTTGCAGTGACCGCTTTAGATCCGGATGTGGACCAGAACGGGGAAATCTCCTATTCAGTTGTGGAGAACCAGATCCAAGACGTGTCTGCCACCGCTTACATCAGTATCAGCTCCAAGAGCGGAAATATTTACGCACTGCGCTCCTTTGACTATGAACAACTGAAGCATTTCCAGATCAAAGTTCAAGCTCAGGATGGTGGGTTTCCCCCATTGACCAGTGTTGCCCTCGTGAATGTTATAATCCTGGATCAAAATGACAATGCGCCATTCATTGTTTCACCTGTAACATGGAACAACTCCACAGCAGTGGAGATACCACTACGGTCAACATACCCAGGTTATTTAGTCACTAAGGTGTTGGGTACTGATGCAGATTCTGGTCAGAACGCACGGCTTTCCTATCAGCTGATGGACGCCACTGATCCAAGTCTGTTCAGTGTGGGGCTGCTCACTGGAGAGATCAGAACACTGCGAAGATTGTTGGAGGAAGACGCCACCACACAGAGTCTGGTCATTTTGTTGAAGGACAATGGGCAGCCCAGCCTGTCCAGCACGGCCACTCTCCTCTTCTCACTGCTATCCAATGTCACTGATATTTTGCCTGAACCAAGTGACCGATCCAACAATCGGGAATATTTATCGAATCTAAATCTTTATGCTATCGTCGGTTTAGGATCAACTTCCCTTATATTTCTTGTCACTATAATTCTGCTGGTCGCCATCAAGTGTAAACAAGATAGAAGTTTTACAGAAGGATACAGCTCCACAGTTGGTTGTTGTTTGGGTCAGGGAATTTCTGAGGATAACATTAATCGAAGGGCTGCATCACGTCAAGCTGTAAATTATTCTGGGGTTGGAGCTGGACCTTACCATTACAGCATTTGCTTATCTCCAGAGTCATCCAAGAGCGAATTTCTATACCTCAAACCCTACACTGCCACGTTGCCATACAGTGAAGTCAGTGTTAATAATACAACTGCCAGGCACGAATTTAAACAATAACTGCGTCGTGGAAGTGACGGCTATTTACATGTATTGAACAAAAATCAGATTCATGGTAACTTGGTATAAGTTTTGGGCGTGCGTAAAGAGCAGCCTGATAATCATAACTGTTTTTGTGGTAGCAAACTCCCTATTATGTCTACTCTCCGCATCAGTGAAGTAAGTATGATTTTAAACAAATGTTGCCTGACATTTTCAATGATTTCCATTCTGTGTGGGCTCTATTAATATCCGAGAGATGTTGTGAAAGGAACAATTAATTTGCTTGCCATTATTTCCAAATTGAATATTTGACAGAAGATAAAATGTAATAAGCAATGGACAGCCGTTTGTTTCAGGAATATCGACCGGGAATAGTAACGCTCGATAAGTTCACAAAAACTGTAGCAGTGTCAATGCTCATAGGTGACTTCTATGGTTGCATTTATGTGATTGAAATAATGATCCCATTGTAAAATAACTATGGCCACGTGTCCTACACCATAACGTTTGATAGTACATGAGAAAAAAATTACGTTTCTAGGATAGAATGAATTTCCGTCTAGCTTTAAGAAAAGTGTAATGTAGTTATTGGTTGGGACTCTTCGTGTCGCTGTGTACCAATGAGGAGCCGAGACGTTGGGGGCGATCTACCCCCTCCCCCACCACAAAAGCCTGAAATGATTCTCAGCGGAAACACCACAACAGTCCCTGCGTTTGCGCCGCGGAGCCATCTTCAGAAACGCAGATCTAGCGGAGTTCAAGGTTTCACATTATTGTCGGTATTTTAATGCGTGAAAACATATATTTTCATATCGAGGAAGAAGCTGAACGCTTTGGGAACAAAGAAAATCGCAAGGCAGAAGAATGGCGAATGCGCTCAGCTGCGGGCCGGCTTTCATTTTGCTGTTGTTTGTGTCGGACCTGGTATCGGGGCAAATTCACTACTCGATTCCCGAGGAACTGGAGCAAGGCGCCTTTGTTGGGAATATCGTGAGAGATTTAGGATTAAACGTTGAAAAATTGCTGGTCCGCAAGTTCCGACTGGTCTCTGATGACAGCCGTCAGTATCTGAAGGTAAATTTTGAAAATGGGATTTTATTTGTGAATGAAAGAATCGACAGAGAAGAGCTGTGTGGACAGAGCCCGAGCTGTTCCCTTTCCTTTGAAGCAGCGGTCGACAATCCTTTGGAAATGCATTCTATTGAAGTGGAGGTTTTAGATATCAATGATAATTCACCCAGATTTCCGACTGATACATTTCCCTTGCAAATTTTCGAGTCAATTGCGCTGGGAGGAAGCTTTCCTCTGGAGAGTGCCCATGATTCTGATGTCGGCGTGAACACAATCAGCACTTACCAGATCAGTTCTAACGATTATTTCGGCCTCAATGTGCAGACGAGAAGCGACGGTAGTAAAATTGTGGAGTTATTGTTAGAGAAGGCTTTGGATCGCGAACTGGAGTCAGCGTTTCAGCTCACCCTGACAGCCATTGACGGTGGCAACCCTCAGAGATCTGGCACAGCTGAGATTAGTATTACTGTACTTGACACAAATGACAACGTACCTGTTTTTGATCATGACATATACAGAATAAACATTCCAGAAAACACGCTGAAGGGAACCTCAGTGACACAAATTAGCGCTGTCGATTTAGACGCAGGTACAAACGCTGAGGTAAAATATAGCTTTTCCAGGCATTCCTCCGAAAGGGGGCGCGAGCTTTTCAAGTTGGAGTCGGAAACTGGTAAGATAAAGGTTTATGGAGTCCTGGACTATGAGGAATCAATCGTTTATGATCTTTATGTACAAGCCACAGACAACGGTTCTCCTCCAATGGTGGGACATGCCAAAGTTGTTGTCAAGGTAACTGATGTGAACGACAATACTCCTGAGATAAAACTGAGTTCCATATCACGTGTAGTTCCAGAGAATGCTGCACCAGGTACGGTGGTTGCATTGATAAGTGTATCGGATCGAGATTCTAATGAAAACGGGCAAGTTCACTGCACGGTTCCTATGAACATCCCATTTAGACTTCAGAATTCCCCCAACAACCAGTACAAGTTGCTTGTGGGTGAGACATTGGATCGAGAGAAAGAATCCACGTATAACATCTCCATTCTCGCCTGGGACGGAGGAACGCCACCGCTTTCAGCAAACAGAACTATGTTGGTGTCGGTTTCTGATGTGAATGACAACGCTCCAGAGTTCACGCAATCTTCCTATAACGTTTACCTGATGGAGAACAACACTCCCGGGGCCTCCATATTTGCAGTGACCGCTTTAGATCCGGATGTGGGGCAGAACGGGGACATCTCCTATTTTGTTGTGGAGAACCAGATCCAAGACGTGTCTGCCACCGCTTACATCAGTGTCAGCTCCAAGAGCGGAAACATTTACGCGCTGCGCTCCTTTGACTACGAACAACTGAAGCATTTCCAGATCAAAGTTCAAGCTCAGGATGGTGGGTTTCCCCCATTGAGCAGTGTTGCCTCGTGAATGTTATAATCCTGGATCAAAACGACAATGCGCCATTTATTGTTTCACCTGTAACATGGAACAACTCCACAGCAGTGGAGATACCACTACGGTCAACATACCCAGGTTATTTAGTCACTAAGGTGTTGGGCACTGATGCAGATTCTGGTCAGAACGCACGTCTTTCCTATCAGCTGATGGACGCCACTGATCCCAGTCTGTTCAGTGTGGGGCTGCTCACTGGAGAGATCAGAACACTGCGAAGATTGTTGGAGGAAGACGCCACCACACAGAGTCTGGTCATTTTGGTGAAGGACAATGGGCAGCCCAGCCTGTCCAGCACGGCCACTCTCCTTTTTTCTCTCCTATCCAATGTCACTGATATTGTGCCTGAACCAAGTGACCGATCCAACAATCTGGAATATTTTTCGAAACTAAATCTTTATGCAGTCGTCGGTTTAGGATCAACTTCCCTTATATTTCTTGTAACTATAATTCTGCTGGTTGCCATCAAGTGTAAGCAAGACAGAAATATTACAGAAGGTTACAGCTCCACAGTTTGTTGTTGTTTGGTTCAGGGATATTCTAATGATAACTTTAATCGAAGGCCTGCACCACATCAAGCTGTAAATTATTCTGGGGTTGGAGCTGAACCTTACCATTATAGCATTTCCTTATCCCCAGAGTCATCCAAGAGCGAATTTCTATACCTCAAACCCTACACTGCCACATTGCCCTACAGTGATGTCAGTGTCAACAACACAACCGTCAGACACGAATTTAAACAATAGTTGGTAAAAATGAGTGATGCTTATTTACTCCTGTTGAACGAGAATCGCCTACAAATATATGGTCAATTCACTTTACAGTCTATTCTGTGAAGAGCTTTGAGACGTCGAGAAGACATGAAAATCGCTATATCAAATGCAAGGTTTATTGTTATTCTTATTCATGGTAAGTTGGTATAGATTTGGGGGTGCGTAAAAAACAACTTGTTATTCATACCTGTGCGTGTCAGTAACATCCCCATTGTACCGCCTTGAAGTTGCATTTCGGTAAATTTCATCCTAAACAGATATTGCTTCACACTTTTCATGTTTTCCAACTATGTCGATTCTGTTCATGTTTGAGAGACTTACAGAAATATTGTAAATGGAACAGTTTATTTGCATGTCATTATTTCAATGTTAAAATTCTGACATTGGCATAAAATGCATTTAGCAGTTGACAGCTGTATGTTTCAGGAATATCAACAAGTTATGACAACTATTGATAGATTCACATATACTATGTCAGTGTCAATGGTCATAAATGTCTTCTCTGGTTATATTTACTGTATGACAATTAAGCTCAAATTATAAAATAATTATAGCCAGGTGTACCCCAACATGTATTTTGATAGTACGTGAGAAGAATACATTTTCGATGATATAATAAATTTTAGTTCAGCTTTAAGAAGAGTGTAATGTAGTTATTGGTTGGGACTCTTCGTGTCGCTGTGTACCAATGAGGAGCCGAGACGTTGGGGGCGATCTACCCCCTCCCCCACCACAAAAGGCTGAAGTGAATCGCAGCGGAAACACCACAACAGTCCCTGCGTTTGCGCCGCGGAGCCATCTTCAGAAAGGCAGATCTAGCGGAGTTCAAGGTTCCACATTAATGTCGGTATTTAAACGCGTGAAAACATACATTTTGCAATGTAACAGGAAGCTCATCGCTGTTGGGAACAAAGAAAATCGCATCGCAGAAGAATGGCGAATGCGCTCAGCTGCGGGCCGGCTTTCATTTTGCTGTTGTTTGTGTCGGACCTGGTATCGGGGCAAATTCACTACTCGATTCCCGAGGAACTGGAGCAAGGCGCCTTTGTTGGGAATATCGTGAGAGATTTAGGATTAAACGTTGAAAAATTGCTGGTCCGCAAGTTCCGACTGGTCTCTGATGACAGCCGTCAGTATCTGAAGGTAAATTTTGAAAATGGGATTTTATTTGTGAATGAAAGAATCGACAGAGAAGAGCTGTGTGGACAGAGCCCGACCTGTTCCCTTTCCTTTGAAGCAGCGGTTGACAATCCTTTAGAGGTGCATCCTATTGAGGTAGAGATCGTGGATATTAATGACAATTCCCCCAGATTTCCAAGGGCTATATATTCCTTACACATGTTTGAGTCAATTTTGCCAGGCGGAAGCTTCTCTCTCGAGAGCGCGCATGATTCTGACGTCGGTGTGAACACCATCATTAATTACCGGATCAGTTCCGATGAGCATTTCAGCTTGAAGGTGCAAACGAGAAATGATGGCAGTAAAATTGTGGAGTTGCTGCTGGAGAAGGTATTGGATCGCGAACGGGAATCAGCGTTTCAGCTCGTCCTGACGGCCATTGATGGTGGAAATCCCCAGCGGTCTGGCACAGCAGAGATTAGTATTACTGTAGTAGACATGAATGACAATGCACCTGTTTTCGACCATGAAACATACACAACGAGCATTCAGGAAAACACACCGAAGGGGACCGTAGTGATACAAATCAATGCTGTCGATTTAGACTCGGGTGCAAATGCTGAGGTAAAATATAGCTTTTCCAGTCATTCTTCCGATAGAGGGCGAAAGCTTTTCCAGTTGGATTCTGAAACTGGTGAGATAAAAGTTCAAAGTGTTCTGAATTTTGAGGTTGCGAATGTATATGAGCTTTATGTACAAGCGACAGACAAGGGAACGACTCCCATGGCGGGTCATGCCAAAGTTGTTGTCAAACTGATTGACGTGAATGATAACGCTCCTGAGATAAAATTGCGTTCGATATCTCGTGTAGTTCCAGAGGATGTTACACTCGGGACTGTGGTGGCTGTGATCAGTGTAACAGATCGAGATTCTGGAGAAAACGGAGAAGTTCACTGCACCGTTCCTATGAACATCCCATTTGGACTTCAAAAGTCTCCGAACAACCAGTACAAGTTGGTTGTGGGTGAGACATTGGATCGAGAGAAAGAATCATCGTATAACATCTCCATTCTCGCCTGGGACGGAGGAACCCCACCGCTTTCAGCAAACAGAACAATATTGGTGACGGTTTCTGATGTGAATGACAACGCTCCAGAGTTCACGCAATCTTCCTATAACGTTTACCTGATGGAGAACAACACTCCCGGGGCCTCCATGTTTGCAATGACCGCTTTAGATCCGGATGTGGAGCAGAACGGGGAAATCTCCTATTCTGTTGTGGAGAGTCAGATCCAAGACGTGTCTGCCACCGCTTACATCAGTGTCAGCTCCAAGAGCGGTAACATTTACGCACTGCGCTCCTTTGACTATGAACAACTGAAGCATTTCCAGATCAAAGTTCAAGCTCAGGATGGTGGGTTTCCCCCATTGAGTAATGTTGCATTCGTGAATGTTATAATCCTGGATCAAAATGACAATGCGCCATTTATTGTTTCACCTGTAACAAGGAACAACTCCACAGCAGTGGAGATACCACTACGGTCAACATACCCAGGTTATTTAGTCACTAAGGTGTTGGGCACTGATGCAGATTCTGGTCAGAACGCACGGCTTTCCTATCAGCTGATGGACGCCACTGATCCCAGTCTGTTCAGTGTGGGGCTGCTCACTGGAGAGATCAGAACACTGCGAAGATTGTTGGAGGAAGACGCCACCACACAGAGTCTGGTCATTTTGTTGAAGGACAATGGACAGCCCAGCCTGTCCAGCACGGCCACTCTCCTCTTCTCTCTCCTATCCAATGTCACTGATATTGTGCTGAACTAAGTGACCGAATCAAAACTCGGGACCGTTTTTCGCATCTAAATCTTTATGCAATCGTGGGTTTAGGATCGACGTCCTTGATATTCCTTGTCACTATAATTCTACTGGTTGCCATCAAGTGTAAACAAGACAGAAATATTACTGGAGGATACAGATGCACAGTTTGTTGTTGTTTGGGACAGGAGATTTCTAAAGATAACTTTAGTCGAAAGCCTGCATCACATCAATCTGTAAATTATTCTGGAGTTGGAGCTGAACCTTACCATTACCGCATTTGCCTATCTCCAGAGTCATCCAAGAGCGAATTTCTGTACCTCAAGCCCTACACTGCCACTTTGCCCTACAGCGATGTCAGTGTCAACAACACAACCGCCAGACACGAATTAAGCAGTAGTTTCATAATGTGGGCGATAATTTTTGGAAAGCTTTGTCACATTTTGCGTAATATGCGAAAGATTTATTTGTTTGAATTCATCTCTACTTTTGTGTAACCTGTCTTTAATGCCAATGTGATTTGCTTTGATATTCTCCGAATACAGAGTTGGTTCTGGACTTGTTGACCAATACCACATTACTTTGTCTACCCGTGAGTGGCTAACAGACATCCGAAGGACCATCAAGCCCAAATTCAATGCTGACAATATAAAAGTAAACCATCGTATGCATTCCAAGTAGCAGTGGGGGAGTTTTGAAAAAAAATCTACAGTTAATGACTTTGTGATACTGTTGAAATATCTCTGGGAACTGTAAAATGTATCCAACGTTCTCTTGTATATGGGTAAACGTATCGAAGTATTGAGGTGCAGTTGGAGTGTTGGATTTCCTAATGACGATTGTCGAATGACTAATTTTTAACTTTAATGCAATCTGATACTTTTGTCAAAAACGTCATTGCCTTTGGGACTCCTTCTTCATACTTGAGACCAACAGTAACATACAAAATCAAGCGCAATACGTATCCAGAACCATCAACTGGAACATTTTTTGTTTCAGTGGTAGTATCATTCTTCACCAACAAACTCTTTGTCGTGAAATTTAGTTATGTAAATAATATAGGAGCGCATTTATATGCTGGGAAGGATCGTTGCTCTTTGTTATTGCCTAATTTGTTTTTCTATTGGGAAACATGGAAGCAATTTACATTGTTGCCCAAGCTTATATTTGATATAAATGACATAGCACCTTGTTTTAAGCAGAACTCCTAATGTTCATATGTTAGAAATGTTAGTAATATTGTTCTTAGTTATTTCTTCAGTCTGTTCCTGCTCTGAGCAGATGTCAAATGGTTATTCCAGTGCCCCCATCATACAAGTGCATGTTTTATTCACAGAATACAGCTGTTCTTAGAGGAACTTTGCAATATATTCTCAAATCATTTGACGCACAATTAATGTTACCGTTGATAAATATTAGGCAATGTCGACCTTTCTAATGTGCAGAACAGTTTATTTCTGGTGTTGTTTTTTCTTCTGGTTTGAAAAAAAGATATTTATGAATGTAGCTCACTGTTTTTTGCATTCCTAATGCTATGCGTTATTCGTTTGCGTGGTGGTAAAACGTTTATAAACATTTCAAAAGAAAGTTAATAAAGAAAGTAAATTATTACATATTGGCTCTTAGTATTTTTGGCTCCAGAGTATAACAATCGAGCGACTCACTGTGGTCGCTTTAAGCAACGAACGATGCAGTTATTGGGCGAGACTCATTGTGTCGCCAATAAGTTACTGAAACGCTGCCAGAGATCTCTCGAATTTCAATTGTTTTTCCTCAAACAAGATTCCTACCACTCCAGACAACACCGAATTTTTTAAAAAAAATGTTTAACGTCAACGCACCTTGACCCTATTTTGAAGCGAGGCTCCGGTTTGCAAACGTCCACTAAATACCATCAGAGCATTCCGAATTAATTGAGACCTGTTGTCCTTTGAGGTCCATGAATGCATCCAGTCTTCATCCAGTGTAAAGCGCATGTGACAAAGAACAAATACTCCAATTGCCTCATTATGTACAATTACCACCTTGCACCCTAATGTGGACAAGAATGGGGAAATGCCCTTTTCAGTTTTGGATAACCAGATCCAAGACATGTCTGTAACCTTTATTAGATGAAAGAGAATATTACAACCGTATTCCCCGAATTTGGATGGTCGCCTTATTTGTCGGAAGAGGGTGGAATCTTTGCGCATTTAAAGCATCATTCATGGTCAAATAGACTGATGATAGGCTTATTAATATGGTTCCATACTTTCTTTATTTAACATAATTTAAAACGACATTGAACAGAGAAGCGTTTTTTTGTCTGAAATATGGTTGAGTTTCAGTGGCCAATCGCTGGATTATAACGCCACCAGTTTCTTTCCAACAGGACACCAGAGAAGATTAGCAGCGTGACGTACATTAGAATGCAATATGTTCTACCAATTGTCAAAACAATATTAAAGAATCAAGCTTATTAATGTCTAAGTGTACTTGTCAATACTTTAATTGGGCAGTACCAAAATATCATGGTTTGTTGATGTGATGTTGGCGCAGTACAGCTTTAAGAAAAGCTTAGTGCAATTATTGGTCAAGGCTGTTCGTGTCGCTGTCTGCCAATAAGGAGCTTGGAGACTGCAAGAGATCTACCCCCTTTTCCAACCTCACAAAAGACCGACCACAATCACAGAGGGAAGACAAACGTTTCCGCCGTGGAGCAGTGTTCAGGACGATTCAGTTCGATTGTTTCCAAGTGCTGCGGTCTCATGTGGGTATTTTGAATCATTAACAAATGTGCTTTGTAAATCAGCAAAATTGTTTTGGTGCTTACGCATCTTTTTTGTATAAAAATCCAGCCAAAATGGCGCATGGACTCGGCTGCTGGGCGTCTTTCATTTTCCTGATAATATTCTCAGATTTGCTTTCCGCACAAATTCGGTATTCGATTGTGGAAGAATTGAAACACGGCGCCTTCGTGGGGAATATTGCAGAAGATTTGGGATTGAAGGTACAGAAACTGAGGACTCGCAAATGCCGGCTGCTCTCCGATAACAACAAACAGTATTTGGCCATGAATCTGGATAATGGGATTTTATTTGTGAACGAAAGAATAGACAGAGAACAGCTCTGTGGGCAGAGTTCCGTGTGTTCAATTGCCTTCGAGGTAAGGGTAGAATATCCTTTGGAAATGTTTGGTTTTGAAGTGGAGGTTTTAGATTTAAATGACAATTCTCCCAGGTTTCCGCAGAGCTCTTTCTCCATACAAGTCGCAGAGTCCATTGTACCAGGAGCGCGCTTCCCTCTCGAGAGGGCGCAAGATCCCGATGTGGGGACTAACACAGTCAGTACCTATCAGATCAGTTCAAACGAGAATTTCGGCCTGAAAATGCAGACCAGGAGGGATGGGAAAAAAGTGGCCGAGTTGTTCTTAGAGAAGCCATTGGACCGCGAAAGAAGGTCTGTTTTTCAGCTTGTGCTAACGGCCTTTGACGGCGGAAGCCCAGCACTATCTGGCACAGCTCAGATTGTAATCAATGTATTGGACATAAATGACAACGTACCTAAATTTGACCGTGAGGAATACAGAGTCAGTATGGTAGAAAACGCGCCCCGGGGTACGTTTGTGACAAAAGTTCAAGCTAAGATTTGGACGAGGGGGCCAATGCTGAGATAAGATACTCGTTCAGTGAACACGCCGCACAGGAAGAGCAAGAATTATTTACGTTGGACCCGAAAACTGGAGATATCAGGGTTCAAGGCATATTGGACTATGAAAAATCAAACGTGTTTGAACTTGATGTGCAAGCTGTGGATAATGGTGCATTCGCCATGACAGGGCGCTCCAAAGTTGTTGTCACTCTAATTGATGTGAACGATAACGCTCCTGAGATCAGATTAACCTCAGTATCCAGCACTGTGCGGGAGGATGCGGTGCCAGGGACTGTGATTGCTGCGATCAGCGTAGCAGACAGGGATTCGGGGAAAAATGGAGAGGTTCAATGTCAGATTCCTCAACATCTACCGATTAAACTGCAGAAATCTCCAACGAACCAATATAAATTGGTAACGAACAATATGTTGGACCGCGAAAAAGTCGAATTCTACAATGTATCTATAACAGCCTGGGACTCGGGGTCTCCCCCTCTCTCCACAAATAAAACAATTCTGGTGTCAGTTTCTGATATCAATGACAACGAGCCCCGGTTTGACCAGTCCTCATACACTGCATATGTGATGGAGAACAACGCTCCCGGTGACTCCATTCTATCAGTGACAGCTTTGGATCCTGATTTAGACCAGAATTCCCACTTGTCCTATTCCATCCTGGAGAATCCCATACAGGGAATGACGTCCTTTCCTTACGTCAGCGTCGACTCGAAAAGTGGGAACATTTACGCGCTGCGCTCTTTTGACTACGAGCGGCTAAAACACTTTCAGATCCAAGTTCAGGCGCGGGATTCCGGATCCCCGTCACTGAGCAGCAGCGCCGCAGTCAATGTGATTATCTTGGATCAAAATGACAACGCTCCCGCGGTGGTTTCCCCTGTAACACGGAACGGATCAGCAACCGTGGGTCCAGTGCCCCAGTCAGCACCAGCGGGATACTTGGTGACCAAAGTAATGGCGACTGATGCTGATTCTGGTCAGAACGCACGGCTTTCATATCAGCTGCGTAAAGCCACTGATCCCAGTCTAATCAGCGTGGGACTCAAAACTGGAGAAATCAAGTTAATCCGCAGTGTATCGAGCCATGATGCCACCACCCAAGATCTCCTTATCTCGGTAAATGACAACGGGCAGCCAACTCTCTCTGCCACAGTGACTATCGCATTTTCAATAGTGGCCAATGTAACAGAAAAATACTTTGAACGTAGTAACGTTCTGGAAAACGCTAACAATTTTTCTGATTTAAATCTGTATTTAATTATCACCTTGGGCTCAACTTCCTTTATATTTCTTTTGACTATCATGGTGCTTATTGCCATCAAGTGCCACCAAGATAGTGACAACGGAGACGACTGTAGTTTCTGTTGTTGTAGAATGAGAGATTCAGGGAATAGCTTTATGCGGAGATCTGCACCTAAAGAATGTCTGAACTATACCGGGGTTAGAGACAGTGTCCCCATCCCCGGATCTTACAATTACAGATTCAGTGTTTCTCCAGATTCATCCAAAACAGATTTTCTGTTTCTAAAAACATATGCTCCGACCCTACCCCATAGCACCCTCAAAATGTCTGATAATAATATGGCAAAAGAACGTGGCCAGGAAGACAATGGATATTGATTCATTTGCAGTGGTTCAAGTATTTGTTTTAAAAATGAAACTCTATTCATATAGTAACAGATAGAAACATTAGATGTTGATTTATCAATGCTAGTAGCGTTGATAATTGAGTGCATGTTCTTCTTTTGGATGCCTAGAGACTGCAAAGCGTATGCTGAGGTCAGGGAACAGGAGAGCTAGAATAAAACTATATCTTTCTTCTTGCCAGAAGGTTATTTCAGCGTATTTCAGGAGTAACACCTTCTTCTAAATCTGTATAAGATTTTTGGCTTTCTATGTGAGTTTTTCTTTAATTTCTAAGCGTATATACATTTGGTGGAAGATTAATGGCCGTTTTGCTCACACCAATTTGGAAACATTGCATTCAGTTAGAAATAAGTGATCTGGGGAAGGACAATTCCTAATTTCCTAATACGATTCCTAATAGGCCACCATCTTTGCATATTTCCCATAGCAAATGGTGCCGTTGGCTTAAATTATTACCTTAAATTGACTGTATTTTGGACCCAAATTGACAAAAAATTACAATCCCGGAGAAAACGTTCCTCCAAAGCGTGAATGGTATCAATTGCTCAATAATGGCGCATTGAGAAAGTGCAAGAACAAAATCATTTGTTGTCTGGTGCTTCAAATGATAGCACTATTTGACGTCATATTCCTGGATCCATTACCTTATTATTTATTTGGGAATAAGGAAGATACCTTTAAATAAGACCTAAAAGGAAATGGAAAATGTTTGTTTGTCGCACTAGAATATGAAGAGGAAAATGCTACTGGTTGAAGTGGGGAAAAATTATGGAAACCACAGGATTTTACCATCAGGATCGATGTACCTTACATGGCAACAAGTTGCTCCCCCCACCCCCACCACCACGTTTAAAAGTAAGAAAGTAATACTAAATGTAAATTTGATTAAATTCTACTTATACCTTGAGAATTTTGAGCGTGGTCGATAATATAATATATCCCTGGGTAGGATTTTCATGCAAACCAGCTTTAAGAAAACCTTAGTGCAGTTATTGGTCGGGGCTCTTCGTGTCGCTGTGCGCCAATAAGGAGCTGAAACGTTGCGAGAGATCTACCCCCTTCCCTTCACAAAGAACAGACCATAATCAGAGAGGGAGAGAGAGAGAGAGACGAACGGTGCCTGCGTTTGCATTACGGAGCCATGCCCAGAATGACTGAAGCCGAGTGATTTTGGTGTCCAAGTTCAACGGCATTTGCATTCATCAACAAAGCGGTTTTGCAGTGAAAAAGAAAACAGCATTGGTGGAAACTGTGTTACGGAACTCCGCCAAAGATGGCGAATGTACACAGCCGTTGGGCGTCTTTCGCTCTCCTCATAATGGTCTCAGATTTAACGACTGGACACGTTCAGTACTCAATTCCCGAGGAACTGAAACTCGGCGCCTTTGTAGGGAATATTGCTGAAGATTTGGGATTGAAGATCCGGGAACTGGCCATTCGAAAATGCCGTCTGCTCTCTGACAATAAAAGGCGATATTTGGAGGTGAACCTGGACGATGGGATTTTATTCGTGAACGAAAGAATCGACAGAGAACAGCTCTGTGGACCCAGCTCGACCTGTTTCCTTTCCTTTGAGGTAATGATGGAAAACCCTTTACAAGTGCATGATTTCGAAGTCGAAATATTAGACATAAACGACAATTCCCCGTCCTTTCCGAAGAGCTCATTTTCCATACAGATTGCGGAGTCGGTCGCACCAGGCGCCCGTTTTCCTCTGGAGATGGCGCAAGATCCCGACGTGGGGACGAACACAGTAAGCACTTACCAGATAAACTCAAATGAGCACTTCGGCCTGAAATTATACACAAGAGGCGATGGAAGAAACGTCCCCGAGTTGTTGTTAGAGAAATCTTTAGACCGCGAAAGACAGTCAAGCGTTCAGCTGGTGTTGACAGCCTTTGACGGTGGCCGACCACAGAGATTGGGCACAGTTCAGATCTCGATTAATGTACTGGACGCAAATGACAACGCACCCGTATTTGATAGCGAGTTATACAAAGTCAGCTTGGTAGAAGATGCGCCATTGGGTACTTTAGTGACGAAAGTTAAAGCTGGTGATTTGGACGAAGGAGCAAATGCTGAGGTAAGATATTCTTTCAGCAATTATGTCTCACAAACAGAGCGAGAATTGTTCGCTATTGACGGAAACACTGGAGAGATCCGACTTCAAAGGGCACTGGATTTTGAAGAATCCAAGGTTTACGAACTGACTGTGCAAGCTGTAGACAACGGCGCTCCGGCAATGGCGGGACACTCCAAAGTTGTTGTCACGCTGATTGATGTGAATGATAACAGTCCTGAGATAAAACTCACCTCAGTGTCCGGTAAGGTACCCGAAAATGCTGCGCCCGGGACTGTGATCGCTGTGATCGGTGTGACAGACCGCGATTCGGGTAAAAACGGTGACGTTGTTTGTCAGATTCCTGCGAATATTCCATTTAAGCTGCAGAAAGGTCGAGCGAACCACTACAAATTAGTCACGAGCCAAATGTTGGATCGTGAAAAGGTCCACGTTTATAACATCTCTATCTTAGCCTGGGACTCGGGATCGCCCCCTCTTTCGTCCAATAAAACCCTCCTAGTGACTGTGTCGGATATCAATGACAACGCGCCCCGGTTTGACCAGTCCTCATACACTGCATATGTGATGGAGAACAACGCTCCCGGTGACTCCATTCTATCAGTTACAGCTTTGGATCCGGATTTAGACCAGAATTCCCACGTGTCCTATTCCATCCTGGAGAATCCCATACAGGGAATGACGTCCTTTCCTTACGTCAGTATTGACTCGAAAAGTGGGAACATTTACGCGCTGCGCTCTTTTGACTACGAGCGGCTAAAACACTTTCAGATCCAAGTTCAGGCGCGGGATTCCGGATCCCCGTCACTGAGCAGCAGCGCCGCAGTCAATGTGATTATCTTGGATCAAAATGACAACGCTCCCGCGGTGGTTTCCCCTGTAACACGGAACGGATCAGCAACCGTGGGTCCAGTGCCCCAGTCAGCACCAGCGGGATACTTGGTGACCAAAGTAATGGCGACTGATGCTGATTCTGGTCAGAACGCACGGCTTTCATATCAGCTGCGTAAAGCCACTGATCCCAGTCTAATCAGCGTGGGACTCAAAACTGGAGAAATCAAGTTAATCCGCAGTGTATCGAGCCATGATGCCACCACCCAAGATCTCCTTATCTCGGTAAATGACAACGGGCAGCCAAGTCTCTCTGCCACAGTGACTATCGCATTTTCAATAGTGGCCAATGTAACAGAAAAATACTTTGAACGTAGTAACGTTCTGGAAAACGCTAATAATTTTTCTGATCTGAATCTGTATTTAATTATCACTTTGGGCTCAACTTCCTTTATATTTCTTTTGACTATCATGGTGCTTATTGCCATCAAATGCCACCAAGATAGTGACAACGGAGACGACTGTAGTTTCTGCTGTTGCACAATGAGAGATTCAAGCAATGGTTTTATGCGGAGATCTGCACCTAAAGATTGTCTGAACTATACCGGGGTTAGAGACAGTGTCCCCATCCCTGGGTCTTACAATTACAGATTCAGTGTTTCTCCAGATTCATCCAAAACAGATTTTCTGTTTCTAAAAACATATGCTCCAACCCTACCCCATAGCACCCTCAAAATGTCTGATACCAATATGGGAAAAGAAATCGGCCAGGAAATACATACCACCGGAAATAGGTATTGATTCACTTAGATTAACATGTTAAATTCCATCCACGCGTCAACCTACGGAAACAACCTTTGAACGGTGGATATAGAATTATTTTAAGATAAAAACTGAAGGAGCATTTTTTTTCAGAATTTCTGTGTTTGAACGGGTTACTGATTGGGATGGTAACAAAAATGCTATTGGGTAAACTTTTCTAGTCCCATTTCCACGTGCGCAATAAAACAGCGGAAGACACTTTTAGTGATGGGGGTTCAGCATGAGGCACATTTTCTCTCATGACGGAAAAACTTTGTGAAATGTTTTGAGACATATGGATATCAAACATAAAGGATTGTCTTTACGAAATTCTAGTTCAGACTCTATCATGTTAGAAACAAAGGGTAATTATTTCATTTAGATTGGATTGATATTTAGGTCCCAAGTTGAAAAGCTTATGTCCTAACCCAATAGCACATAGGTTTTAATTGCTGATACATACCCCATGTAGGATTGAAGCAGGTATGATGATTAAATGAGGAACATATTTAACTGCTTAAAGATGCATGTGTTGCTTTTGTAGTAGATCAAATAATTTAAGAATTTTGGTTATTCACTTGCTTCCCGCTTGCACCCAAATTGAGAAAGATGCTTTATAAAATGTAAGGAGAAATTTGGATTCCTAACTTAATCCCTTTATAACTATCAGCCAGGGTTTGCTGAACTTCTTTCCCCAACCGGGTCAGGTGTTGGCTTCACATTTTCTTTTATGATTAAAGTTGGGTATTGTCTATAACATTCATATTTGGAGACTACTTTGTTAAGTTTACATTATCTACTGTTAAGTGAACAAAACGTGACCCATGACCTCGTATGGATAGATGCATTCTACATTAAGTACAAATTCTCGAACTGTGAAAGTAGTTGATTACTTGAATTGCTGAACTTATGCCACATTATGATACATTCAGTGTTTCTTAAAAAAAATCATAACGACACATATGAGATTTGGTTCATAGAATGCTAACAATAGTTCGTTGGCATTACACTTCCATGTATTCTCGCTTTAAGAAATGCTCAGTGCAGTTGTTGGTCGGGACTCTTTGTGTCGCTGTCTCCCAATAAGAAGCTGAGACGCTGCGAGAGATCTACCCCACACCCCCTTTACAAAAACGCAGAACAGTCCTGTGACAGAGACAGTCGAATGGTGCCTGCGTTTGCGTTGTGCAGCCATGTTCGGGAAAAAAATGAGCTGGAAGCCTTGGAATGTTCAGTTTAACATCGATTTCACCACTTATTAAATAACAGAATGTGTGGTTTGAAAATATAGTGAATTTGAAAGATTCGAGGAAACATAGCTGTACTTGAACCAAATTTAAACGGAGACGAAAATGGCGAGTGTTTTGAACAACAGGGCGTCTTTCATTCTCTTCTGGTCTCTTTATTCTCTCATGGTCTCCGACTTGGTTTCCGGACAAATTCGGTACTCGATTCCCGAGGAATTGGAGCAGGATGCTTTTATTGGAAATATCGCTGAGGATTTGGGACTGGACGTTCATCGGTTGTCAGCTCGCAAGCTCAGAATGGTATCCGACGATCGGAAGCGCTATCTGGAGGTAAATATGCCGAATGGGATTTTGTTTGTGAATGAGAGAATCGACAGAGAAAAGCTTTGTGGACAGAGCTCTACCTGCTTCATTTCCTTCGACGTGTCGGTCGAAAATCCTTTGGAAATGTACCGCGTCGAAGTGGAGATATTAGACATAAACGATAATTCACCGAGTTTTCCTAAGGGTCGCTTTACCTTGCAAATATTTGAGTTGGTTGCACCGGGAACATCCTTCCCTCTTGAGAGCGCGCACGATCCGGACGTGGGGATAAACACAATAAGCACTTACCAAATAAGCCCAAATGAGCATTTTGGCCTAAAAATCGAGACGAGGAGTGATGGTGCTAAAACCGCCGAGTTAGTCTTGCAGAAGACCTTGGATCGCGAACAGCAATCAACCTTCCAGCTGGCGCTGACGGCCATTGATGGCGGCATCCCGCACAGATCTGGCACAGCTCAGGTTTTTATCACTGTCCTGGATGCGAACGACAACGCGCCCGTTTTCAGTGAAAAGATATACAGGGCGAACTTGCTCGAAAATACACCCAAGGATACGTTAGTGATCAGAATACAAGCTGACGATTTAGATGAAAGGCAAAACGGTGAGGTGACATATTCTTTCAGTGATCGCGTCTCGGCGAAAGTCCGCAAATTATTTAATGTGGATCCGGTAACGGGAGAGGTTAGAGTTCAAGGCGTACTGGATTACGAGGAATCAAATATGTATGAACTTGATGTACAAGCGGTGGACAATGCCCCGCAAGCTATGGCACTGGTAGGATATGCCAAAGTTTTTGTCGGAATAATTGATATCAATGATAACGCTCCCGATGTAAAACTAACATCGTTGTCTGGCATGGTCGCAGAAGATGCTATTCCAGGAACTGTAATTGCCCTGATCACGGTAAGCGATCGAGATTCCGGCAAAAACGGACAGATTGACTGCCAGTTGGCGAGGAACGTTCCATTCAAACTTTTAACATCTTCTAAATACCGTTATAAATTGGTTACCAGTGACACATTGGATCGCGAAACGGTTGCTCTATACAACGTGTCCATCTTAGCCTGGGACGAAGGCTCTCCCCCGCTTTCAACAACCAAAATTATTTCGGTGACGGTTTCCGATGTAAACGACAACGCTCCACAATTTACTCAATCGTCATACAACGTGTACCTGACAGAGAACAACTCTCCCGGTGCTTCTATATTTACGGTGGAGGCTGTTGATCGTGATTTGAACCAGAATGGCGAGGTCTCCTATTTTGTCCAAGAGAGCAATTGGCACAACACGTCTGCTTACGTTAGCATCAACTCGAAAAGTGGGAACCTTTACGCGCTGCGTTCCTTTGACTACGAAAAACTGAAACACTTTCAGATCCATATTCAAGCTCGGGATGGTGGGGTTCTCTCGCTGAACAGCATTGCCACCCTGAATGCTATCATTCTGGATCAAAATGATAACGCGCCGGTTGTTGTTTCGCCTATAACGTGGAATAATTCAGCAAACGTGGAGATAGCGCCTCAGTCAACCTATCCGGGCTACACAGTCACAAAGGTAATAACTACAGATGCAGATTCAGGTCAGAACGCACGGCTTTCCTACAAGTTAATGGACTGCACCGACCCCAGTCTCTTCAAATTGGACCCTCTCACAGGAGAAATCACAACAACTCGAAGTATTTTTGATGTGGATGTCGCTTTCCAAAGAGTGGTCCTCTTGGTAAAGGACAATGGACAACCCAGCCTGTCCACCACACTCACAATACTCTTTCAGATTCTGGACAACGTGACTGAACAATTCTTTGAACGAAATGAACAGCCGGTAACCGTTGAATATTTTTCGCATTTAAATCTGTATTTAATAATTGGTTTGGGAACGACGTCCTTGATATTTCTCGTCATAATAACTTGCCTGGTGACCATTAAATGCAAACAAGACAGCACTATAATCCGAGACTACAACACCTCGGCTTGTTGCTGTCTCAGACCTCAGAGTTCAGACAGTGCTGTTTACAGGAGACCGACGGCAAAAGAATATTTAAATTATACTGGGGGTGGGGAGACGCTTCCGGTTCCTGATAAGTATAATTTTAGGGTCTGTTTATCTCCAGAGTCATCTAAGAGTGAATTCCTGTTTCTGAAAGCCTGTAATCCAACTCTACCTCTTGGTGATGTCAATGTTGGTGACACCAGCAACTACCAATGACGGGCACTGATGTAGTTTTGTGATGGATCCATGTAACAGCAGTATATTTGACGTGTTGACACAGTGACATATGCATGGTGAGGGTGAAACATTGTCTATAAATGCGAAGTTTCATATAGTCCGTGGTTGCATTTTTACTAGCTGTAGTGTGATATTTCGATTGTCAATAATAAGAAATATTCTAAAAAAAATAAAAGACGGGAAGCAAGATCCTTCGAAATACTTGTGGGTGTTCTGGGCCTATTTAGAAGTTCCTCCTAAACTCCCTGTTAGATCTGTTACTGACTATCTTATCACCCACATAAAAAATATGGCCACTTATTCAACGACTATTTTGGGACACTGCTGTGCGCAACTGGCTGCCGTCTTTCGCCCACAAAAGGTGCAGTCAATTTACTTCGTAGTATTTTTTTAGAAGCGCTTTAAGACGTCTCAACAACGCGATAAGACGCTGTATCAAATGTAATGATGATTTGTATTATTATTTTGGGTGTGGAGGGCTCATCGTTACGCTCGTTGTAATTATCCATATTTTGGGAAGATGCAGCCTTGCTTTAAGAACCGCAGATTGTAATTATTGGGTGAGGCTGCTTGTGTCGCTGTCTACCAATCAAGAAGGGAAACGTCGCTAGAGATCCATCGCCTTCCCTCCTCCTCCATCATCCGGCACAAAAAACGCAGGGAAGAGCGCAGTTGTTCCTTTCTTTATATCTCGCTGCAATGCTCAGAGCTCCGGGGATCTTCCATTTTCCTCATTGTGTGGACTAAATACCAATATTCATCAGAAATATATATTGGCAATGTTAGCAAAATCGCCGAATCACAAGAGATTTGCGTTCTGATTTATTTTCAACTCGGATTCAGAAAGTAAGTAAGATGGCGAACCTACACAGCAGAAGGGTATTTAAACGCTGGGCGTTTCATTTAATTTTCCTGTTGTGTTTCTCGGACGTGGCTGACGGTCAGATTCGCTACTCGATTCCCGAGGAACTGGAGCGCGGAGCCTTTGTGGGGAATATCGCTGAGTATTTAGGAACGGATGCTCGGACGATGTCAGCTCGGGACTTGCGGCTGGTCTTTGAAGGCAACAAACGCCATTTCGAGGTAAATTTGGACACTGGAATTTTATGTGTTAATGAGCGAATCGACAGAGAGCAGCTTTGTGCTCAGAGCCCCACCTGCTCCCTTTCTTTTGAGGTTACCATCCAAAATCCTTTGGAAATATATCGGGTGGAGGTAGAGATATTGGACGTGAATGACAATTCGCCCAGTTTTCCAAAGCGTGATTTTATCTTGGAGGTCGGCGAGTCCATCGCCCCGGGAGCTCGCTTCCCTCTGGAGAGCGCGTACGATCCTGATGTGGGCACCAACACTATTAAAAATTACGAGATCAGTTCAAACGAGTGCTTCGGCCTCAATATGCAGACAACGAGTGATGGAAATAAAGTTGCCGAGTTATTGTTGGAGAAATCTTTGGACCGGGAAACGGAGGCAACCTTTCAGTTAATACTGAAAGCGATTGATGGAGGTTTCCCCGAGAAATCAGGCACCGCTCGCATTATTATCACAGTGTTAGATGCAAATGACAACGCGCCTGCGTTTGATCAACAACTGTATAAAGCAAGATTGTCAGAAAACTCGCCAACGGGTACCTCAGTGGCCACAGTTAATGCTGATGATTTGGATGAAGGTGCAAACGCCGAGATGACATATTCCTTCAGTAATCACGCTTCCCAAAGAGTTCGTGAACTGTTCAGTTTGGACTCAGAAACGGAGAAATTACAGTACAAGGAAGATTGGATTTTGAAGAGGCAAAGGTTTATGAACTCGCTATACAAGCCACAGATAATGGTCAACTCGCCATGAAGGGGCATTGCAAAGTTTTGGTGGAAATAATTGACGTGAATGATAATCCTCCTGAAATAAAACTGACATCAGCTTTCGGCACTGTGCCCGAGAACGTGGCCCCGGGGACAGTGATAACGCTCATCAGTGTTTCGGATAGAGACTCTGGAGAAAACGGACAGGTGCATTGCCGGATCTCAAACACCGTTCCTTTTAAACTTCAATCATCTTCGGAAAACCAATATAAATTCGTCACTAACGGGCCTTTGGATCGCGAGTCCACCCCTACGTATAACGTAACAGTCCTGGCCTGGGACACAGGGTCTCCGCCTCTTTACGCAAACAAAACTATTTGCGTGTCCTTGTCAGACGTCAATGATAACGCGCCACGGTTTGAGCAGCCCTCATACACAGTCTACCTGACAGAAAATATCACTCCCGGCGCTTCTATTTTTTCACTCACCGCCCTCGACCCCGATTTGGATGCGAATTCTTATGTCACATATACTTTGTTGGATAGTTTTATTCAGGGCGAATCGACATCTGCTTATATCAGTGTGAACTCGAACAATGGGGACGTTTACGCGCTGCGCTCTTTTGATTACGAAGCACTGAAGAGCTTCCACATCCAGGTTCAAGCCCGCGATGCCGGAGTCCCTCCACTGAGCAGCAGCACGACAATCAACGTCATTATTTTGGATCAAAACGATAACGTGCCGGTGGTCATCTCGCCTTTAACCCGGAACGGATCGGTCGCAGTGGAAACTGTGCCCAGATCAGCGCCGACGGGTTACTTGGTCACGAGGGTAGTCGCGGCTGATGCCGATTCTGGGCAAAATTCGAGGCTATCCTACAAGTTGCTCAAAGCTACTGATCCCAGTTTATTCAGTGTGGGGCTTTACTCTGGGGAAATCAGAACGACTCGCAGCTTTTCATACCAAGACTTCACGACTCAAAGTCTGATCATAACGATAAAAGACAATGGCCAACCAATGCTCTCCGCCTCTGTCACCATTTCCTTTTCCATTGTGGAGAATGTTACTGAAAATCACCTTGGGCGTAATGATTTGTATACAAAGCCAGATAACTTCTCTGATCTAAATGTGTATTTGATCATCACTTTAGCATCAACTTCATTTATATTTTTAGTGGCAATAGTTGCCCTTGTTGCTGTCAAATGTCATCAGGACAGAAAAACCAACTACGGTTGCGATACTGCAATATGCTGCTGGGGATACAGGAGTTCGAGAAATGTTTCTGATCACGGATCCGCACCAAACGAATGTCTGAATTACACTGGATATAATCCTGGAGTTTATAATTATCAGGTGTGTCTCTCTCCAGAGTCAGCGAAGAGTGATTTTCTGTTTTTAAGAAGTTACAATTCAACCCTTCCCAAGAGTAATATCGAGGTCACTGACCACCAAAGTCGACAAAGCAATATGCCAGAAAACTAGTGCTGCCGATTATAGACGTTGATTCACTCAAGAGGGTATTCAAATTCCAAATTTAGATAAATGTATTTATACGACTGTTTATTTCGCAGACTGCAAACATATGATACTTAGGTGTGCATGTGCAGACATTTTCATCCCACCATATGTGTGTGAATCTGTAGTAAATATACAATCATAAAGTGATATTCAGAAAAGCTATTTTAGTACAATGGACAACCTTAAACAAGTTATGATAATCACATCGACTAGGGAATACAAAATATTCGTATTACAAAACATAGAAAGCATATCATTCCTCTATATTCGGGGTGGTGGGGGATAAATTAGAATACAGTTCTGGTACAAAGTAGTTACTTGTTTTTCTGTTAATTGTAGGATAGTTAATATCATTTCTAACCAGGTCACATGTTGCACAAACATGAACAGATAGTTTACGCCATATAGATGCAGGAAGATAAATGAATAAAACAACCTTTCCAAAGCAGAACACGTTTTTACTGAAACTATTATACAGCGTTAATTATAGTTTGTTGGAGTGGAACATCTTGATGATTAGGTTTTCCTGATAAACCTGCGAACTTCTCTCTTGCGAATTGTGCCATCTCGTGTGGGTACCTACTCCACACTGAGCCAGAACTACAGCACAGTGGAGATTATTGTACAGTCTTCTTTGTCTCTCCTGTACTGATTTTTCCGTAGAATGTTCGCCAAACGCCTGAAATAAAACGCATTTCTTTTGAAACGTATCTATCTGCAATCATAAAACATATTGGTAACACGAGAAAACCGTAAATATTTAGATACAGAAATCAATATTGCAGCATTATAGAAAATATCACGAAAAATAATGCAGTTTAAGAGTTCAGATCAGCTTTTTGTGTCTGTTCAGTTCGGCGAGTTTCGTCTGATTTTTCACCGTGTTTATTATAGAAGTGTTATGCTAAGTTAAAAAAATGCATAGGGCCGAATATCTTCACTCTTCAAAGTCCAATATTGCTGTAATTAAACTGAACCAGAACACGCAAGTCATGTTAATCGACTAAGAATTGATGATTTGATTCAAGACTGCTTGGGGGAAAGATTCGCAATATGTTATTTGCAGAAAAAATACAAAATTACACTTTAAAATGTTAGTGCTGTTTTTTTGAAAAATGCAACAGTATAAAGGCTGTATTTTTACGCAATGGAATATTGGTTTGTAACAGAATATGAATGCGAATAAAACCAAGCCAGCTTTAAATAACACTTGATGCAGTTATTGGATGTGACTCTTTGTGTCGCTGTCTACCAATAAGAAGCTGAAACGTTCTTGGAGATCCATCGGCCCTCCCCCATCGCCATAACGCAGGACAGACTCAGAGAGACAGACTGCATTTGCGCGTTGGAACTCTGATCGGACAGACAAAGGCCGAGTCTTTGTATTTCTGGATTTACATTCAATATTTCCACTTTAAGAGTCGGATTTTGGTAATATAACGGACTAAGTTATATTTCAGACTATTCGTTTTAAACTGGAATGCATGGAATGGCAGAGCCAAGCAGTAAAAGGATGTTAAACCGCTTGGCAACGTATTTTATCTTCTTGCTTTATGCCCCGGACTTGGTTTGTGGAGAGATTCGGTACACAATCCCCGAGGAACTGGAGCACGGCGCCTTTGTGGGGAATATCGCCGAAGATTTGGGATTAAACCTTCGAGAATTATCGGCTCGGAAATTCAGACTGGTCTCCGAAGAAAGAACACAATACCTTGAGGTAAATTCGGAGAATGGGATTGTTTTTGTCAATGAAAGAATTGACAGGGAGCAGCTTTGTCAGAGCTCCACCTGTTCTCTTTCTTTCGAGGTAATAGTCAAAAATCCTTTGGAAGTGCACCGTGTGGCTGTCGAGATACTAGACATTAATGATAATTCACCTAGTTTCCCGAAGAGTGATTTTTTCTTGGAAATCGCTGAGTTTATAGCACCAGGAGCTCGCTTCCTTCTCGCAAGCGCATACGACCCGGATGTCGGTAAAAACGCAATCAGAACGTATCAAATCAGTTCAAATGAATATTTTAATCTAAACGTACAGGTTACAAGTGATGGTAAGATAATATGCGAGTTATTATTGGAAAAACCATTGGATCGCGAACGGCAGTCAGAATTTAAACTAACCCTGACAGCGATTGATGGTGGGATACCAGAGAGATCTGGCACAGCTAAAATTATTATTAATGTGGTGGACGCCAATGATAACGTACCTGTATTTGATCATGAACTGTACAAAACGAGTTTACCGGAAAATGCAGCTGAGGACACATTGGTGATCAAAATCAATGCCATCGATGTGGACGAAGGTAGCAACGGCGCAGTAAAATATTATTTCAGTAATCATGCTTCTCAAAGAGTGCGCGAGTTGTTTAGTCTGGAGCCAGAAACCGGCGAGATTCGAGTGAAAGGAGTCCTGGATTTTGAAGAATCAAACGGTTACGAACTTGCTGTACAAGCTATGGACAGTGGCGCACCAACTATGACCGGACATACCAAGGTGATGGTGAGCATATTGGACATGAATGATAACGCCCCTGAGATAAAAGTTACCTTATTGTCCAACACAATCCCTGAAAACGCTGAATCCGGAACACTGATAGCTTTGATCAGTGTCACAGACAGGGATTCTGGGAAAAATGGGGAAGTTCACTGTCAGATTCCCACGAACATACCTTTCAAATTACATTTGACTTCCAAGAACCACTGCAGGCTGGTGAGCAGTGGCGTACTGGATCGTGAAACCATTTCCACCTACAACATATTGGTATCAACCTGGGATGCTGGATCTCCGCCTCTTTTGACAAACAAAACAATAATGGTGTCAGTTTCTGATATAAACGACAACGCCCCCCGATTTACACAACCCTCATATACAGTTTATGTGTCAGAGAACAACGCACCCGGGGCTTCTATTTTCACAGTTACTGCATTGGATCCCGATTTAGACCAGAATGCACATGTATCGTATTCTGTATTACCAACCCGGGTTATGGAGATTCCTGTGTCTACTTACATCAGCATCAACTCAAACACTGGGAATATCCACGCGCTACAATCGTTCGATTACGAGCAGCAAAAGACATTTCAGTTCCAAGTTCAAGCCAAGGATTCTGGAGTTCCTCCTCTCTGGAGCAAATGCGCAGTGAAAGTGATTATCTTGGATCAAAATGACAATGCTCCAGTGATTATCTCACCCTTAGCTTGGAATGGATCGATATCAATTGGGTTAAAGTCCCAATCTATTTATCCAGGCTATTTGGTGACCAAGATAATCGCAACAGATGCAGATTCGGGGCAGAACGCACGGCTTTCTTACCGTCTGGTGAAAGCCACTGACTCCAGCTTATTCAGCGTGGGACTCTTTTCTGGAGAAGTCAAAACAATCCGCAGATATTTGGATAAAGATGCGGCAGCACAGGTTCTGTCCATTCGGGTGAATGACAATGGACAACCTTCCCTCTCAGTCTCCGTAACTGTTTCCTTTTCAGTAGCCACCAATGCGACTGAAAAACATTTGGAACGCGTTGACTTGGTTCACAGTCCAGCTAATCCTTTTTCCGATCTGAACCTTTATTTGATAATTGCTTTCGGGTCAACGACATTGATATTTCTACTGACCATAATTTTGCTGGTTGCTATCAAATGCCATCAGGATAGAAACGGCATTTACGGGTACAATTCCATATATTGTTGTTGGACTCACAGGAATTTAAGAAGTACCAGAGATGCATCCATTCGGAATCGAGCACCGGCAGAATCTCTAAATTACACTGGAGCTCGGGAAAGAGTTTCCATGCCCGGGGCCTACAATTATAACGTCTGTTTGTCTCCGGAATCAGCCAAAAGCGACTTTCTCTTTTTAAGTACTTGCAATTCCAATGCACTCACAAGTACTATCAAAGTGACTGACACCAACTTTACTAAAGAATTTGAGCAGGAAAGAGGTGTCGGCAACAACAGATATTGATTGGCATAGGTGAGACATTCATTAGCTCGTGGCAACCCGATTATAGTAATTTCAATTGATATCATGAAATTGCATTTATCCCCTCGCAGGCATACATACGATGAGGGTATCAGGTAACCAATTTTGTAAAGCGCTAAATATCTTTAAAACCAGAGGTTTCATTATACATTAATAGAAAAGTGCTAGAGGTAATATTGATTAACGTTCAGGGACAATCTATTGCCAATTCATGCTACATTAGCCGAATAGTCTGTTCTATGCTGAAAAAGCGATTCTAAAACATTTGAATGTTCACAAAAAATATACTATAGAAGATTATATCCGTGGCCTCCGAATTACTGTAATCTAAAAGTAAGATGCGCTAAAGAATTGCTTTCATTGGTTTATAGCCCCGAAAAATTCAGCTGGTGTCCCCCCCCCCCCCCCCCCCCCCCGTCCCATGTGACAGCACAGCAATGAAAAGTTGTTTATTCCCAGGTATGCTTCTCCATGTCGTTGTGTTCTTGGACAAAATGCTTGAACGAGCATTCCTGGAGAACCGCCAATACGATGTCACGAATTCTGCTTTCCAGGGTTATGTTCACAGTCTGCGTTACTACAGTGGAATAATGCAAGGCTTTATGTCAGATAATTTAGGAAAATTATTTATTATTATGATTGTATCATACAATCGCGTTGATCATTGGGCAAAACAGAATTACGTACAGAAATGCAAAACATTCTACAGCCTGTTGTTATCATTGAATAAATAATAAGGGTTCCCAATGAACCATTGAAATGACACCATCCCCAAATACAGTGGTTAGTAATTTTTATTACAACCATTGGCAAGGATGATATTCTTTTCTTGAGGTAATGCAAACGGTTTTAGAATGACCATGTTGGGGAAGTGGGTATGATTATGGAGATAGACACATGTCGCATATAAATATATGGAGAACTTCACAATTCCAATCATACGGGCCAAACCAAGTGACAAGACATTTGTTAATTCATAGGAGCCTATTGAAGCAGGGCATTTTGGTTGCATGATCGAAATATACATTATTCATTGGTATTAACCTTAAAGCAGTTCGCCTTTAAGGGGTGCACATTGCAATTATTGGCCAAGACTCTTTGTGTCGCTGTCTACCAATAAGGAGAGAAAACGTTCCTGGAGATCCATCGCCCCTCCCACACAGGAGAAGCACAGCAGACGGTCGCCGAGGAAGCTGACATTCACGTCAGGCAGTCAGACAAGCGCCGAGAGGGAACAGCCTCCTTTTTGCCTTTTCGCCTACCCCACCCCCACCTATTTTGATTCAGCATTTTTGCGCACTCATGGATGTATTGTTACCTGGACCTTTCATTGGACATCCAGTAATTGGTTAGTGATTTGTTGCGTTTGCTCATAACGAAAACTGGATGCAGCAAAAATGGCGAATTCGTGCGGCAGGAGTCTAACATCCACAGTGCTTTCCCTGGTTTTCCTGCTTTGTCTCTCGGACGTATGTATTGGACAAATTCGCTACTCGATTCCGGAGGAACAGGAACGCGGTACGTTTGTTGGAAATATCGTCCTTGATACAGGACTTAACGTTCGCATATTAGCAGCTCGGGAATTCCGTCTGGTTTCTGATGAGCCAAAACAATATTTCAAAGTGAATTTGGAAAGCGGCGTTTTGTTTGTGAATGAAAGGATCGACAGAGAAGAGCTGTGCGGGCAAACCGATGCCTGTTTCCTTTCTTTTAAGGTAATCGTCAAAAACCCGTTGGAAATATTTCGCGTTGAAGTGGAGATAAATGACATAAACGACAATTCGCCCAGTTTTCCGAAGAGCGAAATCTCCCTGCGGATCGGGGAATCGATTGCTCCGGGAGCGCGATTCCCTCTTGAAAGCGCGCACGATCCGGATGTGGGCACAAACGCAATCAAATCTTATCGTATCAGTTCGAATCAATACTTTGGCCTAAAAATGCAGGTCGGAAGCGATGGCAGTAAAAGTGCGGATTTGTTGTTGGAGAGGGCTTTGGATCGCGAACTGAAATCAGCCTTTAAACTGGTGCTATCAGCCATTGACGGTGGAGTTCCCGAGCGTTCGGGCACAGCTCACATTACAATTAATGTAGTGGACGCCAATGATAACGCTCCTTTGTTTGATATGCAAGTTTATAGGGCAAGCTTGGTAGAAAACTCACCCACAGGAGCTTTTGTGATCAGAATCCATGCCACTGATTTGGACCAAGGTGCCAATGCTGAGATACGATATTTCTTCAGCAACCGCGCTTCCAAGAGAGTCCGTGAACTGTTCAGCGTGAACTCAGAAACTGGAGAAATTAACGTTAAAGGTTCACTGGATTTTGAAGAATCAAATGCCTACGAACTTAACGTAGAAGCTACGGACAACGGCATCCCATCTATGAGAGGATACTCCAAGGTCCTGGTGGAATTGATTGATGTAAACGATAACGCTCCCGAAGTGAAACCAACCTTAGTCTCCAGCGTGCTCTCGGAGAACACTGCAATCGGGACCGTTGTAGCCCTGGTTAGTGTAACGGACTCGGATTCCGGGAAAAACGGTAACGTACAATGTCAAATTCCTTCTGACATCCCTTTTAAGCTTCAACCAGTTTTGAAGAACCACTATGAAATAATTACAACCAGTGGATTGGACCGTGAAATAAAATCAATGTACAACATCTCTGTCATAGCCAGGGATGAAGGATCACCGCCACTGACTACAAACAAAACAATACTGGTCACCCTTTCAGACGTAAATGATAACTCACCACGGTTTACGCAATCCTTATACACCGTTTATGTGACAGAAAACAACACCCCTGGTACTTCTATATTTCGCGTCAGGGCTGTAGATGTTGATGCTGAACAGAATGCACATGTGACCTATTCTGTTACGGAGAATCGGGTAGAGGACATGACGGCCTCTGCTTATATCAGTCTCAGCTCCAACAATGGAGACATTTACGCACTGCAGTCGTTTGACTACGAACAATTGAAGAGTTTTCAATTCGAAGTTCGAGCTCAGGATTCCGGAGATCCTCCGCTGAGCAGTGGAGCTCGAGTGAAAGTTATTGTTTTGGATCAAAACGACAACCCTCCGCTCATTGTTTCTCCTCCTACGTGGAATGGCTCCGCCTCTGTGGACCTTGTGCCTCAATCAGTCTATCCCGGTTACCTGGTCACCAAAGTGATTGCAACCGACGCCGATTCTGGTCAGAACGCACGGCTTTCCTACCTGACAACAACTGATTCCGGTTTATTCAGTGTGGGACTCCACTCTGGGGAGGTCAGAACAACCCGCAGAATTCTAGATGAAGACGTAACAACGCAACGCTTGACTATTCTGGTAAAGGACAATGGACAACCCACTCTCTCCACCTTGGTCACCATTTCCTTCTCAATTGGAGTCAATGTTACTGAAAAACCACTTGAGCGCACCAACTTGAAAAGAAAGCCAGCCCCATTCTCCGAACTAAATCTGTACTTGATAATTACTTTGGGTTCAACCTCCTTGATATTTCTCGTGACCATAATTATCCTTTTCGCGATAAAATGCCATCAGGATGGGAATGATATTTACGGGTACGGTTCTACAATTTGCTGTTGGAGGCACAGGAATTTGAGGAGTTCACGGGAAGTGTCCAATAGGCATTCTGCACAGAGCGAATTTCACAATTATCCTGGGGAAAGGGTTCCCATTCCTGGGACTTACAATTACAATGTGTGTCTGTCTCCCGAATCAGCGAAGTCTGACTTTCTGTTTTTAAGTACCTGCAACCCAACCATACCAATGAGCAGTGTGAAGGCCAACCAAAGCAACTTCAGTCAAGAAGTTGGAGCAGGAACGTTTCCAGCCAATAATGGGCATTGATTGTATTGGGTCAGACATTAGTTTAGTTGCATTTTAGCTTAAGTTCAATTAACATTAAGTCTCTTTCCACTTTTGTAATATATTCATATGTTGATAGCCAATTTGCAATGGGAGATATTCCAGTGATATTACAATCCAACCCCTATTGTTGGTTTAGGCACAAGTGAAGGACTCAGTTCGGAATTCTATTTGATGATTTATGTTTGACCTTATTTCTTTATTCTGTTAAATTACAAATTATAGGAGAACAAGGGACAAGTCCATGATGTAAGATGCTTTTATTTTGTTTCTTAACCGCTTATCTTTACTTCATTTTACTTGTTCTTGTCACATGCAAGGAGTTATCTAATTTACTGGAATTATGTTATTTGGCTATTGTGTTAACACATGTGGAAATACAGTAGAAATCATGACAGAATATTACAAATTTAGTTTTGTTTCAGGCATGCTATGCATTCTGTCCTGAATAGATCTATAACTTTCGAGTCAAAGAGGTATAAGTGATGGTTGAGGTGTGGGAACCCTGATTGAATGTTATGTAATTACCCCAGGACTCAAAGGAAACTTATTACATTCCAAATAACCTCCAATCTTCGGTCAGCTAAAAGAGAATGGAACCCATGATTCTGCTTATCCTGGTTCTTTTGAGGCCACCTCTAAGGTCATTACAGGAAATAATTTTAAACGATTGTGATTCCTAAATGAGAAATTGAAATGTTAACTCCCATTAACTAAATAAGACAACAGGTAGCCATGATTTACCAAAGGGTAGGTTGGGTACATGACAATATGTGATGGCTGATTGAGAATATAGACGGTCTAGCTTTAAATAACTTTCAGTGCAATTTTGGGGCGTAACAGTTTGTGTCGCTGTCTACCAGTAAGAAGCTGAAACGTTCTTGGAGATCCATCAGCCCTCCTCCATCGCCATAACGCAGGGCAGAATCAGAGACAGCCTGCATTTACGCCTTGGAGTCTTGATCGGACAGACAAAGGCCCAGCCTTGGTACTTGACGAGCTGAATTCGGTTTTTCTGTGTGTTACTATTCGCAGTTTACGGTAACAAACCGCTCGTGGTGTGATCCGCATCCGTGTTTTAAAATAGAATCAGAAGGAAGGGCGAATTCACGCAGCCGAGAGATGTTAACCGGCATGGCGATGCAGCTTATTTTTCTGCTGTCTACCTCGGATTTAATATCTGGACAAATTCGGTATTCGATTCCCGAGGAGATGGAGCGCGGGGCTTTAGTGGGAAATATTGCTGAAGATTTGGGCCTCAAGGTTTGGGAATTGTCTGCTCGGAAATTCCGATTGGTGTCTGATGAGAGGAAGCAATATTTCCAGGTAAATTCCGCAAATGGGATTTTGTTTGTGAATGAAAGAATCGACAGAGAGCAGCTGTGTGGACAACGCAATGTGTGTTCCCTTTCTTGCCAAGCCATGATGGAAAATCCTTTGGAAATATATCGCGTTGAAGTGGAGATCTTAGATATAAACGATAATTCACCCAGCTTCCCGAAAAGCCGATATTCATTGCAAGTGCTTGAGTCAGTTACGCCAGGAACGCGCTTCCCTCTCGAGAGCGCGCACGACCCCGACGTGGGCACAAATACAATCAGAATTTACGAGATCAGTTCAAATGATCATTTCGTCCTGAACATACAGACTGCAAGGGATGGGAAGAAGGTGGCTGAATTGGTGTTAGAAAAGTCTTTGGACCGGGAGCAGCAATCTAATATTCATCTTACTCTGAAAGCCATTGACGGAGGTTTGCCCGAGAGGTTTGGTGTAGCAGAAGTAATAATTGATGTGGTGGATGTCAATGATAACGCCCCTATATTTGATAATGATTTATATAGGACACGCTTGAAAGAAAGCTCGCCCAGAGGTACTTTGGTGATTAAAATTCACGCTGCTGATGTGGACGAAGGTTCACATGGCGAAGTGGCATATTTTTTCAGTAACCAGGCTTCGGAAAAAGTACGTGAAATATTTACTTTGGATCAAGAATCTGGAGAGATTAGAGTTCGAGGAACAATAGATTTCGAGGAATCAGAGGAGTATGAGTTTGCTGTAGAAGCTATGGATAATGGCGCAGTGGGTTTGGTAGGGCATTCCAAGGTTTTGGTGGAAATAATTGACGTGAACGACAACGCTCCTGAGATACAAATCACCATCTTCTCCAGCACGGTTCCCGAGGACGCTGCTCCAGAGACACTGGTAGCTTTAATCAGCGTTACAGACCGCGATTCTGGGCGAAACGGAGACGTCCAATGTCAGATTTCCACTAACGTTCCTTTCAAACTTCAAAAGAATTCCGAGAACCACTACAAATTGGTTTCGAGTAAAAAATTGGATCGTGAAACCAACCCGATGTACAATATATCAATATCGGCTTGGGACAACGGGTCTCCTCCTTTGTCTACAAACAAATCCATAGTGATATTAGTTTCTGATACAAATGACAACGCACCACGGTTTGAGAAACCCTCCTACAATATATATGTGGCAGAAAACAATTCCCCCGGGGCCTCCATTTATGCCATTACCGCTACGGACCCTGATCTGAATCAAAATTCTGACGTCTCATATTCTATCCTGACTCGGGATTCCGCTGTGTCTTCCTACATTAGCATCAACTCAAACAATGGGAATATTCACGCTTTGCGCTCGTTTGACTATGAAGAGCAAAAGAAGTTTGAGTTTCAAGTTGAGGCGCGTGATGCTGGGGTCCCCTCGCTGAGTGGCACCACCAGACTCCATGTGATTATTCTGGATCAAAACGACAACGCCCCAGTCATTGTTTCGCCTTTAACGTGGAATGGCTCGGCTGTTGTGGAAGATGTGCCCCAATCAGCGTATCCGGGACACTTGGTCACTAAGGTGGTGGCAAAGGATGCCGATTCCGGTCAAAACGCACGACTTTCATACCAGGTGCTCAAAGCTACAGTTCCCAGTTTATTCAGTGTGGGACAATACTCTGGAGAAATTAGAACCGCCCGCAGCTTTTCAGACCAAAACCCAATCACCCAACGTCTCGTCATCTTGGTAAAGGACAATGGGCAACCAACCCTCTCGGCCTCTGTGACCATTTTGTTTTCAATGATCGCCAACTTGACAGAAAGACTCTCTGAGCGCGCAAACTTATACCACGAAAATCCCACCTCTTTCTCCGATCTGAATATTTATTTGATTATCACTTTGGGTTCCACTTCGTTTATATTTCTGATGACCATAATTATCCTCATCGCAATCAAATGCCACCAAGCCAGAACTGTGACTTATGGCTACAAATCGACTATTTGCTGTTGGAGACTTAGGAGTTCACAGGACAGGTTTAATCGTCGACCGATGCGAAACGATTGTCTGAATTACACAGGAGTTGGAGACAGGGTCGCCATTCCAGGGGCTTATAATTACAGGGTTTCGCTGTCTCCAGAATCAGCAAAAAGTGACTTCCTGTTTCTGGGTTCCTGCAATTCAACCATACCCATGAGTACTATCAAAGTCACTGACACGAACGCGACAAAAGAGTTTTAACAGGAAACGAGTACATGGAACAACGGGCACCGATTAACGTTGGTGAGGCATTGCTTTAAGAAATGGAATATAATTATTGCGTATTTGCTTTGGTCCAAGGACACATTTTTTTTATTGTTAATTTTTCTCTCTTTCCAAACGAACATATGTTTTCGAGGGTATATAAGTGACCCGTTTTGTGATTATGACAATTATCTTCCGAACCTAGGCTAGTAGTGTGACATTGTAATCAACAGCTATGATAATTACCAATGAAGTGAAGCAATCGCAGGATCCGTTTTAAAGGTGCCTCAATTATGGCTTCCATTCTTACACTACAGAGCTTATATGCAGAGCTATCGTTTGTGTTTTCCACTTCATCATTTTAAAGTTTTCATCTCTTTAACCCATATTACTCTACTTGACCAATATATGTGTTTTGTGATAAATTGTATGCAATTGATTAATGCTGCAATATATATTTCTCTCTCCAATGAAAACAATCAGGCTCTGCAACTCCAAGAGATGACGTCTGTGAATGGACATTTTTGGGAAAATAAGGTCCTGTCAAGAACAAACACATATTTTTTTTCGAAGATTGTAAAAGGTTTGAACCAATAACTAGCTGACTATTTCATTGTTTAAATATTATAAATGTCTACCTTCTCAAAATCTTTCAAGATCCTAAATAGATCCAAAAAGTCGAACACCACTGGCGTATTTTGCAAGATTCGTAAACTCCTAAAGAAAAGGAGATCATGATAACTTCTAAATCACATTGTATGGTAAGAATATTAGTTGTTTTTGCTTACTGGACATTTGTTTGAAAAAGTAAAACGCTTTAAAGTTGTGAATAATAATTAATTACCCCCACTGTTCAGTTTATATCTGGATAACAATATGCTCAGTTAGATCGTGTAAAAGTCAAATATACAAAGCCAAAAATAACAGACAACATTAGAGATTTTGAAAAATATGTTTATGGAATTACTTGTATATTATATTAAGTTTTTAATGCCTGTAAGAGATTTATCTGCATTAAGCTAACATTATATGGATGCTTCTACTTTTGTTAGTACACATTTACAAGAATTATGTATTGTTTCTCTGCTAACAATGAGTTCACAGCAAAAAATGTCATCCTTGTTCAAGACAAGCCATTGAGCCCAGAAAAATGTTTTGCATTTAATGATATAAGTGACTTTGATAGTGTGGTTGCTTTGTACAATATCTGTGTTCAACTAACCATATATCATCGCATGAAATACAATAGAATACATATACTGTTGACCAAATCATTATCTTCAAATTATATTATTAAATAATGTTTCTGCTAGCAAGAGTCACCAGACTTGAGGACATTTTTGAAAGAAAACGTAAGTGTGGCAATATCATTTGCAACACAATTTCCTATGTTGTCTGGAAAAAATACAAAATTGTGACTTGAGATTTAATTGCTAGTTAAACTCTCATAACTTTGTATCACATATATCGTTTCCAACCTGATATTAATTATTATGTTTAAACTCGAAAAACAAATAGTAAACATGCAACATTATATCCACAATATAAATATTTTCTGATGATAATTGCAACTATACAAGGCCAAACATATAAACTAGAAGGCCACTTTCTTTCCAGATGCAGTAGAATTACTGCTCAGATTGTTTTCAAAGTCCTTTTTTATTTGGCCTCAGAATTATTTGGGTTCAAACTGATCTCAATAAATATATTGAAACCTATAGTGTTCCAGCAAAGGACGCCATCGTGTCTGATGCACTAATATTGGGACTTAGATTTTTTTGTTTAGAATTGCAAAGGCACAGGTAAAGAAGCATATTTGGTGGAACCCACGAACATTTCAAACTAATTTTTAGAGTTGTGTTATGCACGGAAATTCACTTCAATGTCATAAATTGAGGCAATTTCCTTATTATTGTGTGTCAATAAACAATTCTATTTGTATGTTGTATTGATCGTTTTCAATAAGATGTTGTACAAAATGCAATCTTATTTATGTCTAGTTCTGTAGGGAGCAATGTCAAAATGAATTGGATAATGCATTATAACAGTAGTAGCATTTTGACAAAGCAGCAGTACAGTATCTTAAAGCATGTAGGTGTCAATCCACAAGTGTTAAAAATGTTTCAATTTTGTTGTTCAATTGTTAACATTTCATACTATTAGTTTCAGAGAATTATCTGAAAGTAATCAGATGCAACACTCACCGGTATTCTCAATCTAGTTTGAATTTAAATAATGTAGTAAACACCCGCAGTTACGTGTGGCTAACACTGTTTATTTGTTTTCTTCATGTAAATATATTTCAGGATATTAAAGAACATCTTACTAATATCTTTATGTTGCCTCTTCATTTGCATTTAATTTAGGTAACTCTTTGTATCTTGGCGATTGTGCATCACCAAGATGATTAAAATATTTATGAACCGAATGTATTATGACATAATCACTTGAAGAACTCTCCCATTTTATTACTATACAGATGTTTGAAGAGTGGATCCAATTGTTAATTTTGATGAAGCAGTGACAAAGTAACTGGTACAATAATTACATAAAAATACAAGAAATCTAAACATGTCACTACTGGGATTGTAAAAGTTATGCCTATTCAAAATGTCATACCGGAAATAGATCTACACATTTTATTATACTAATATGATGTAATGCGTTTTGAAGTTCACATCCACATTTTTTTCATTGTAGTATTATTTGATTTTTTTTAACTGTGAATTTTATTTTCTAGGGTCTCGAGCTGATTGTTTTCATAATTACAATTTCACGTAAAGGGTTAGAAAGGAATCATTGCCTGTCACTCATCCCACATATTTTGATTGGATACTCCAAATTACTGTGACTACAGTCTACCTTTAAGAAATGCTGATTGTGGTTATTGGTCAGTACTCTTTGTGTCGCCGTCTTCCAATCAGAAGCTAAAACGTCGTGGGGGGATCCATCAGCCCTCCCCCATCGCCATACGCAGAGCGGAGTCAAAGAGAAGGGCGAATCATTCCTGCGTTTAAGCCGCGGTGCAATGGTCGGTGCGAGATGGTTCGCCTTTTTGTTAAGTCATAGGACTCATTTCCGTACAGTTTTTCCATAACCGCATTTCCCGTTAGAATCAACCAGCGATTGCGAACAGCCAGCGATGTCTTGCGGGTTTGCACCGAGAGCGAATTCGGGAACAATGGCGAAATCAGGCGGCCAGGCGGCTCTTTATATTTTCCTCCTGTGTGTCTTGCACCCCGTCACGGGTCAAATCCGCTACACCATTCCCGAGGAAGCGGAGCAGGGTACCTTTGTTGGGAATATCGCTGAGGATTTGCGACTGAACACTCGGACGCTGTCAGCTCGCGAGTTGCGGCTGGTCTCTTACGACAGCGAAGAGTACCTGGAGGTAAATTTGGACACTGGGATTTTATTTGTTCACCAAAGAATTAACAGGGAGGAAATCTGCGGCCAAAGCGTTCCCTGCTCCCTTTCGTTTGAAGTGATGGTTGAAAGCCCTTTGGAAATACATCGCGTTGAAGTGGAGGTACTTGATATAAATGATAATTCTCCCAGTTTTCCTAAGAATGAATTGGCCTTGCAGATCGGTGAATCGATTGCTCCCGGGGCGCGATTTCCTTTGGAGAGCGCACACGATCCCGATGTGGGCACAAATGCAATCAAAACATATCAGATTAGTTCAAATGATTATTTCGGCATCAATGTTCAGAGCAGAAGCGACGGTAGTAAACGGGCTGAATTGCTACTGGAAAAGCCTCTGGACCGGGAACAAGAGTCAACCCTCAAGCTGGTTCTTACAGCCGTTGATGGGGGTGTCCCACCCAGATCTGGAACCACTCGGGTTATCATTACTGTACTGGATGCAAATGACAACACGCCTGTGTTTGATCATGAAATATACAGAGTGAGTTTGGCAGAAAACGCTTCGAAGAATGCATTTGTTATCCGCGTCAAGGCTACCGATTCAGACGAAGGTTTAAATGCTGAGGTAAAATATTCTTTCATCAATCACCTTCCTTACGGTGTTAATGATCTGTTCAGTTTGGACTCGCAAACGGGAGAGATTCGAGTTCAAGGATCACTGGATTTTGAGCAGTCACACGTTTATGAACTTGAGGTACAAGCTGTGGACAAAGGTACATCTGCTCTGGCGGGACATTGCAAAGTTTTGGTCGCCATAGTGGACGTGAACGACAATGCTCCTGAGGTTAAACTGACCTCAGTGTCCAGTACTGTCCGAGAAAATGCATCGCCCGGGACTGTGATATGCCTGATCAGCGTGACAGATAGGGATTCCGGGAAAAACGGTCAAGTACACTGTCAGATCCCCAATAACATCCCCTTCAAACTTCAAAAATCTTTGGCTGACCAATATAAATTGATTACCAGCGATAAACTGGACCGTGAGACTAACCCTACATATAATATATCGCTGTCTGCCTGGGATTCAGGGACTCCGCAGCTTTCCACACACAGAACCATTTGGGTGTCGGTCTCTGATGTAAATGACAACGCACCGCGGTTTGCTCAGTCGGTATATACCGTCTATCTAAAGGAAAACAACGCTCCCGGTGCCTCTATCTTTGCGGTAACTGCCGTGGACCTTGATCTGGATCAGAACTCTTACATAAGCTACTCCATGCTGGAGAACCAAATCCAAGGTAAATATGCGTCCTTTCACGTCAGTGTGAACTCCAACAACGGGAATATTTACGCACTGCATTCCTTTGACTATGAAGAGCTCAAACGGTTTCAGATTCAGATTCAGGCCCGGGATTCCGGAGTCCCGCCCCTCACCAGCAGCGTCGCAATCAATGTGATTATTCTGGATCAAAACGACAACAAACCCGTCGTTATTTCACCTCTAACGTGGAATGGGTCAGCAGCGGTGGAGGTGCTACCTGGAGCTGCATCATCCGACTACCTGGTGACCAAGATACTTGCGACTGATGCGGATTCTGGTCAGAATGCGCGGCTATCGTACCATTTACTTCAAGCTACTGACGCCAGTTTGTTCAGGGTGGGGCTGCATTCCGGGGAAATAAGAACAACGCGCAGTTTTCTTGGCCCAGATTCCAACCCACAAAGTTTGGTGATTGAAGTCACCGACAATGGACAGCCATCTCTCTCCACAAGCGTCACAGTACTTGTTTCTACGGGGCCTAATGTGACTGAAAAATACTCTGACAAGCGCCAGGTGGACCCAAAGCCTGATACCACTTTCCATTTGAATCTATATTTAATTGTTATTTTGGGTTCTACGTCATTCATATTTCTAATCATCATAGTTTTGCTGATTGTCATAAAATGCCACCAAGACAGACACACTGGTTATGGTTGCAATTCAACATTTTGCTGCTGGGAAAAGAGAAATTTGAGGAATGTTTCTCATGGAAGAGCTACACCAAAAGAATCGTTGCATTACACTGAGGTTGGTGAAAGGCTTCCCATTCCCGCAGCGTATAATTATAGGGTGTCCCTTTCTCCTGAATCGGCGAAGAGTGATTTTCTGTTTCTAAGAACATACAATCAAGACATCCACAGTAGTAGTGTCACTGACACCAACGTTACCAAACAATATTGTCAATAAACCTGCAACATGAATAATTGACAGTGATAGCTTGTGAGATTTTAGGTCCTACAGTATTGTTCAAATAGCTGATCTCTCTTTGTCTTCCGAAATACAATACATATACACCTGGAGAAATGACCCTGTATAAATATATAACCATTTGGCAAGTGGATATGATAAAGGTTGTGAATTAGACATTCCAAACCATTTTTTGAACTATACCACTGCAATAGTGTTCTACGAGGGACTGTGATTGCTTTTAACATCACATAAATACTTTGGGAAGTGACTTATAAATGTAATTGTTTTGTAAGTTATCTCAATCGAAATAGCACTTGTTTTGTGTTTCGAGACAAATAGTTGAATATTGCTACTGTTGATGTTACATTAACTTTATATCCTATCATTTTCTGAGCTAATTCTCCAGGCAGGTGTGGCTCGATTGATTGTTTGGTAAAATATAAACGTGACAAAGATGGTTTCCATCCATCAAACCATAAAAAACGCTTCATTGAATCTCGTGTGAGAAATCCACAGTTGCATTCTTTCTGATGCTCAGTCATCTGCGCTGAACTCGATTCAACTCCTGAACATGAAGTTTCCATTGACTGTTGATGTTCTCAAATTGCATGCGTTAAAATAATATACATGCATAATAAAATGAAACATGCACAATTTATGAAACAGCTTTTGCATATTTATGTTGTTTGCCAATCGCTTTTTAAGATTCAAATGAAACCATTTACCTTTGGGTTTGTTATTTTGGAGAGCTTTTGTGCTGACGTGCGTTCTTATGATCATAATTACACTTGTTTGAAAATAGTTTTGAAAATGCCTTCATGATGTGCTCACCTTCAATAAAATTCAATAATGATGACCCTCTTTGTATATTTATTTTTCTTCTCTGTAGCAGGACACTGATGACAATAAATTGATTGGAATATTTCAGAGGTTTCAAAACTACGATCGAAATTACGCAATTTGGCCCACAAAACACACAGTCAATTCAGTTTACAGTATATCCTGTGAAGCACTTTGAGACTTCTCAAGTACGTGATAAGTCGCTATATCAATGGCAAGGATGATTATTATTTCATTATTATCGGGACCATTGAGGGAAAGCTGGCACCGACAAAGCCACTGGCAAAAATTGTGTCCAAAGGATGACGCAACTAAAGAAAGCACGTAATCACAAGCTCACTAAATAAAATTTGCACAACTCCGCACTGGTTGCTTCTTGAAAGAAAATATCCAAAATGCATACACACAGAGTTCAATACTAAATAGCAACGGAATAGAAAGGACCATTTTCAACATCAAATAATTTATGATCAGCACCTTTACGCACCATATTTTTGAAGCAAAAAAAAGTGAGAAAACAGGCAGCGAGTTACTGCTGTTGGATAGTGAACTTAGAAGGAAATAAGACTGTAGACTGCGAAAGCGTAGCATAATCACTGAGCTAAAGATGTTGGAAAGTGCCGTCTGAGGTATCCTCCATTGTAGGATTCCTGTGTTCAATAGCCAACCAAATCAGGCGAGGATGAAGGCAATAAGAAAAGGAAATCAACCCAGTCCCCAAAGGGGACCAGGGTGAAACCGACATTCCAGTTGAAACCTAGCGATATTCAGAATATGGCTCATACCATGGTTAGAGTAAATAGATATCAAAGCGTAAAAACGCCAGGAAACCCCTCTAGCTCGACATCAATGTCGAGGGTGTAAAATGAGTAAAGTAGACACTGACCTAAAGATGGTGTCTATAATCTCCTGGTCAAAGCAGTGTCTAAAGGATGCCGGAACCTAAAATATCCACCGAGCAAAGATTTTAACAGCATCACATTAGTCAAAGAAAACCATCACTTCTTGAACGAGGCTATATATTAAAAAATAAATTCTCGAATGGAGCTAACCAGAGTTCAATAATAGGTATTCTTTATAAAGGAAGACTTTAAACATAGCAGAAATTATCATTAGTATCATTACGCGCGATATGTTTGAAGGGAAGGAAAACAGAATTGAGACTCAATCATCCATCCACTGACACGAATACTCGAACAAGTGATTTCCATAAAGCACACACGCGCCCATTTCGATCGTATACAACACCTTAATAAAAACCAATCACCAGAATCAACACCAAAAAAGAGAACAGATACATTGCGCAGCAGGATATCAACGTTTTAATTATACAAAAAGCAGATTATGTTCAGCACATTACGAACGGTGGAACAAACATAATTCAAAGAGCAAACAAGGAAGTGAACCACTGTTGTTAAACAAAGTCGAGTTCGTAATTGGGGAAGTCGAAATTAGTGAAGCAGACGAAAAACTGAGCTAAAGTTAGCGCCGCGTGATTGGTGAGAGAAGCCTACGTTTCAAACACGATGTTAGCAGCACATATACGGTTTTGAATGACGAATCGAACTCTGTTTTCAAAGATGACGTGAACAGAACATGAATATGGACTGCTAAGGATGTTTCTCATGACGGGCTTGCATTTCCTTGCATTAGCATTGCAAGGAAATGCAAATACAAGGATTATTCTGCAGTGAACAATTTGACAAACGTCCCTACATGGTTGAGTATCGGAGTCACACAGAAGTTTTAACATTGTACCGATAAGTTGTAACTTGTATTCATGTAATCGAAGGGTGTTTTTGGATAGAGCAAATTTGAGCCATATTTCTCTGAACTGCTTGTGCAATTATCTCTTTACGAAAGATTATTGGGACTTTTGCCCGACTCTAAGACGTTTACCTACAAATTCCCAATCACTGCACTTCGCTGTATAATCACGTGAAATGCTCTGAGAGGTCCCGGCGAGTTGTTAAAGCGATATATCAGATATCAAATGTTTATCAATAGGTAATGATGAGTTTCCCATTTTAGAGACATTCGAGCTTTAAGGGGTGTAAAGTGCAATGATTGGCTTGAGTCTCGTTGTGTCGCTGTCTACCAATAAGGGGCATAAAGCCGCTGGAGATCCACCAATCCCCCCGCAACACCGCGCACAATGCACTGTCAGCCGGAGAGAAGGCTTCCTGGGTTTCAATCGCAAATCGGAGCCATCTTTTCCAAATCGCCTTCAAACTAGTCAATGTTTGTATTATTTCAAGATTTTCCTAAAAATCTAATGCGGATGCAATCAATTATCGGAGTTTATATTACCGAAATCCTGGTATTATATTGGAGAAGACGAAATAACAAATAGAAACCGATCTCGTACGGTAGGAATGAACGCTTTGTCTTATGTTGCTGTCTTTTGTATCTTGGGTCTGGCGTTTGGAGAAATTCGTTATTCTATTCCCGAGGAATTGAATAACGATGCTTTTGTTGGAAATATAGCTAATGATCTGGGTTTGAATGTTGAATCTCTATCGAAAAGAAGGTTTCGGATAGTCTCTGTCGTCAGGAAGCAGTATCTGGGGGTGAATTTACAAAATGGAGTTCTGTTTGTGAATGCAAGGATAGACAGAGAACAGCTGTGTGGAGCCAACGCCGCTTGTTTTCTGCGTTTGGAAGCGGTGATCGAAAACCCTTTGGAATCATTTCAAATAGAAGTGGAAATTCTTGATATAAATGATAATGCTCCCGGTTTCGAACGGAGCGAACAGCACATAGAAATCCCTGAGACGGCAGCACCGGGGACTCGCTTTCTGCTGGACAGCGCGCAAGACCCTGACGTCGGTACAAATTCTCTTAATACATACCTGCTTAGTCCGAATGATTATTTCTCGCTGGATGTACAGACTGGGAGTGATCATGGCAAATTAGCCGAATTGGTTCTCAAAACAAATCTAGACAGGGAAAAACAAGCCGCCTACAAACTGGTCCTGACAGCGTTAGACGGTGGTTCCCCGGTTCTATCAGGGACCACATTGATCAAAATTACCGTGTTAGATAGTAACGACAATATGCCTATTTTTGACCACACTATCTACAGGGTCAGTGTACTGGAAAACGTTCTTAAAGGAACATTGATTATCAGACTCAACGCTACAGATGCAGATGAAGGTGCAAATGGCGAGGTCATGTACAACTTCCGCAGGCGCACTCCTAAGAAAGTCCTTGAGCTCTTTAAGTTAGAACCCAACACGGGAGAGATTCGAGTCCAAGGAGTGATTGATTTTGAAGAAAATAACGTTTATGAGATGATCGTAGAAGCTAAGGATAAAGGTGCATCTGCAGTTCCAGTACATTGCAAGGTCGTGGTCACAGTCTTAGATATGAATGATAATGCACCCCAAGTCATTCTTACCTCATTATCCAGCCCAATCCCTGAAGATGCCCCACCGGGAACAGTGGTGGCTCTGATCACTGTAACAGACCAAGAATCAGAAGAAAATGGCGAAGTTCGTTGTCAGATTCAACACGATGTCCCCTTCCAATTGAATTCTTCCTCAAAGAACTCCTACACATTAGTCACCCGCTATTCCCTGGACAGAGAAGCATCATCCCATTACAGCGTTGTAATCTCATGCAGGGATTTAGGGCTGCCTCCTCTGGTAACCAACAAAACCATCCAGGTGGAGGTGTCAGATATCAACGACAACGCGCCACATTTTGCGCATCGTTCATTTACAGCGTATGTAACAGAGAACAACCCACCTGGTTCATCTATATTCTCAGTGACTGCTTTTGACCTCGACAAGCACCGGAATGCGCACCTGTCTTACTCTATTCAACACACCGAGGTGAAGGGTGCTCCTGTTTTCGATTACGTCTCCATTAATTCGGAGAGCGGAATTATCTTTTCACAGAATTCTTTTGACTATGAACAACTCAAGAATTTTCAGGTTGGTGTTCAAGTACAGGATGGCGGCGACCCCCCACTCACAGCCAACGTTACAGTAAACGTAGTTATCTTGGATCAGAATGATAACGCGCCTCTCATTGTGTCGCCCATACCAATGGATGGCTTTGACGCAATTATTTCTCCATCTGTGGATCCGGGGTACCAGGTGACAAAAATCATCGCCACGGATGCTGATTCGGGGCAAAATGCCCGCCTTTCATACCAGTTACTAGACGCCACACAGCCAGGTGTGTTCAATGTGATATCGAACTCTGGAGAAATCAGGACTACTCGGCGTTTGGATGACCTGAAAGACACTGTGCATCGCCTTGTTATTATGGTGAAAGACAGTGGCCATCCATCACTCTCAGCCACAGGTACCGTTAGTCTTTCCATTATTGATGGTGGTGCAGAAATGTTATCTGACTTCAGTGGGAACGTCCCCAAATCGACGGATTCTTCAGATTTGGCCTTTTATATTATTATATCGTTAGGATCTATTTCATGTGTTCTTCTGGTGACTATTATTGCCCTTGTAACCACCATATGTCATAACGACAGTCGTTCCTCCTCTGTCTGTTGCTTCAGACAGAGGAATCTGAGTGACACCTTCCAGAATTCTCATATCAATCTCCAGCGAGCGCATAATTCCGAATTGGTTTCAAACTTCATGGAAGTTCGAGGTACCGGTTCGCTCTCCCGCACCTATTGTTATAAAGTTCATTCGGCTTCTGAATCGGGCAAAGGCGATTTGACATTGCAGGAATCGGCTCCAGCGACTCTCGCAACCCATGAGAAAACATCGGCAATCACCAAAGCAGAATGGAATGGAAAAGCTGCAGGCAATTGGATCAAGATACCTATCCAGGTGAGTTGAATCAATCTCTAAAATTCCTGTCAAACTTTCGCTGCGGCAAATGTAATTGTAAATATAATTTTAAGGGAACCCGTTTGCCTATTCCAAAATTACGCATTTTCGTAATTTCCGAATTAAAACTGCAATTTAACTACAATAAGCTAAATTCCATCGTGCTTCCTTACAATTATTCATACCCAGCATAAAATTATTGGACAACTTTACTTTCAAAGCTCACTGCTTATCGGCATATCAACAGCTCAGTGAGAGGAGAAAAAAATGATAAGGTCTGTATTGTAATTTAATATTTTTTTGCATAGTATTCTTCATGAACAGGTCTTGTTAGGTTTTAATTACAACAATGAACCGTTGTGCCATGTTGTGACATTTTCAAATGAGAAAAGTAATCAATTAGTTTAAACAGTTTGTTGGACATGTGTTTAGTTTGGAACTAAACTGCAAATCAATGGTAAGAGAGATAGTTGGTCTGCAAACTTTTCAAAAAACTTTTTTTTTCAAGTGAAGCAACGACGTTGCTGTGCAAGCATGGAAAACAGGCTGATGTTGCTGAGATTGCTTCGAGTTCATTGCAAACCAGTGAACATATGTTTGGAACGCCAGATGTCCTTGCTCATACCCCCATAATGCATCCACTAACCAATTTTTTAAAAAAAGAAGTGTAGTGGGGCTTTAAGAGGTTGCCATGTTCTGCTCAATGCAGTTATTGGTTGAGACACTTTGTGTCGCTGTCTACCAATCAGGTAGTGTTTGGTAGCTCCAAAACGGAGCTCCGGATCCCCAACCCTTCCCCCACACCGTGATGTCGGAGAGGGAGGGAGGCGCAACCTCCATTGTTTATACTCACAACTAAGGAGCCATTTTATTTCCACACCAGGATGTTGGAGCACAAGATGCCTTTCTTTTGTACCTAAGATCGAATGCCCACAGATTTTTGGAAATGACAATTTTTTTGAAGCAGAAATGGCAAACCGAGATGGACACTGTGTGCTAAGTTTTCGAGCAATATTTCTTGCTTTCTTCCTTTATCGCTGGGATTCAGCTTGCGGGCAGATTCGATATTCTGTCTCTGAAGAACAGAAGCACGGGACTTTCGTTGGAAATATCGCTAACGATTTGGGCTTATATGTGGGAAATTTATCCACCGAAGGTTGCGGATGGTCTCTTCTGCTCGGCAGCAATATTTCAAGGTAGATTTACAAACTGGTATTTTGTTTGTGGATAAACAAATTGACAGAGAACGGCTGTGTGCGCAGAGCCTGGCCTGTTCGCTTACACTAGAGCTTGTGGTTGAAAATCCGTTAGAAGTATTTCATGCAAAATAAAAATTTTAGATATAAATGATAATGCTCCTAGTTTCGTGAATAATGAACAACATTTGGAAATTCTGGAATCAGCAGTCCCTGGAACTCGATATTTGCTGGAGAGTGCGCATGACCTTGATGTGGGCAGCAACTCTCTCCGGACCTATGTACTCAGTTCCACCGAGTACTTCACTTTGGATGTCCAGTCCAGCATTGATAACAAGAAGTTTGCAGAATTGGTCCTTGAGAAGCATCTGGACCGAGAAAAGAATGCGGTTTATGATTTAATATTGACGGCCATTGATGGCGGGACCCCGGAAAGATCTGGAACCGCCCGAATAGTTATTACTGTACTGGATGTAAACGATAATGTCCCTGTTTTTGACAAAACAATTTACGAAGTGACTTTGGTGGAAAATTCCCCAGTGGGTACACTTGTAATTAAACTGGATGCTACCGATATCGATGAAGGTAGGAATGGCGACATTGTTTATAACTTGCACAGTCACACCTCCGAGAAAGTGCGTAAATTGTTCAGCATAGAGCCCCAGACTGGAGAGATCAGAGTGAAAGGAGTTGTTGATTTCGAAGAAGCAGCTTTTGTAGAAATTAACATAGAAGCAAAAGATAAGGGCCCTTATCCAGTTCCTGTACGTTGTAAAGTAATTGTCAATATAGTGAATGTTAATGATAATGCTCCTGAGTTTACAGTGAGCTTATTTTCCAGCCCAGTTCCCGAGGATGCGCCACTTGGCACAATGATAGCTCTCATTAGTCTGAAAGATCAAGAATCGGAGGAAAATGGAGAAATTCACTGTTATATTGCAGACAGAACTCCATTCATACTTAACCTATCTTCGAAGAATTCGTATACGTTAGTTACGCATCAGTTGTTGGACAGGGAGACTACTCCGCAGTATAAATTTGTAGTCATATGCAGAGACTCGGGGTCTCCTCCTCTATCCTCTAACAAAACGTTTTTGGTGGAGGTTTCAGACAGAAATGACAATGCACCACATTTTACACAGTCATCCTATACAACACATGTGATGGAGAACAGCGCTCCAGGCTCCTCCATCTGCGCTTTGACTGCCTTTGATGCTGACTTGGACGCCAATGCTTATCTGTCCTATTCTATACTGGAGAGCCATATTCAAGGAATGCCCGTGTCTACCTATGTCTCCATCGGTTCAGACAGTGGCATTATATTTTCCAATATGCCTTTTGACTACGAGCAAATAAAGAGCTTTCAATTCATAGTTCAGGCCACGGACGCCGGAGTCCCACCGCTTAGCGACAACGTTACTGTGAATGTAATTATTCTCGATCAGAACGATAACTCCCCGGAAATCATATCGCCGCTCACGATGAAGGGTTTGGAAGTCACAGTTCCCCGTTCTGCTGATCCTGGATATTTAGTCACGAAAGTAATTGCTGTCGATGCCGATTCTGGGCAGAATGCGCGTCTGTCCTACCAGTTGCCGGAAGTGAAAGAGACGGAGCTGTTTCAAGTTGGGTTGAACTCCGGAGAAATCAGGACTGCTCGACGTCTGCGTGACAGAGATGCAACTGTTCACCGTTTGGTTGTGTTGGTAAAAGACCAAGGCCACCCATCACTTTCTGCCAGTGTAACTATCAACCTATCTTTACTGGAGGACTTTGCGCAAAACGTTTCTGATGTAAACCTATTGATCCGAAAATCTGAGTACAGCTCTGATATAGCGTTTTACTTAATCATATTCTTGGGGACACTGTCTTCGGTTCTTTTTGTGGCTATTATCTTCTTAGTTTTTACCATCTGCCAAGCTGACAGAAATACTACCCACGGATCCTTCAACACCTCATTCATTGCGCGGAGATATACAAATGACCTGTTTCTGGATTCCAATGTTAACCTCCATACAGTGCCTGATTCTAAGCAGCTGACAAATGTGGTTGAGGTTCGTGGGACCGGATCCCTTTCTCGCACCTACTGTTATCAAGTTCACTCAACCCCTGACTCCGCCCAAACTAAAGTCATGATCCCATCTTCAAGAAATTCAACTGTATCTAGAATGTATAACAAGGAAACCGATCAGCACGAGATAGAGTGGAATGTGAGGAGGGAAAACGGCAAAACCGAGTGGCCAGTTAAGGTGAGTTTCCAAAGTCTGAGGTTTGCATTATATTTAAGAGTTTGAAGGTCTTGCAATGAACAACGTGAAACCAATTGTTCAAATGTGAAAGAATTCTCAAAACAATGGGATATTGGTGTTTCAGGAATTAATAACCTAACCAGATGACTTGCCTATGATAGAAACCATAAGATGGTTTGTTGAATGTACTAACATATATTATTATATTTGAGATTTACCTTCACTGTCATAGTCATAAGGCGAATTACTATTTCAAAACTCCCCGAGCAGGCTTACATATGTGGATCATTAATGCGCCAAAATACTGCACCAAAGAGTGGTTTGCTTTTGTTTGAGTCAGTACTTTCCACCACATTGGGAAACTGAATGCATCTGAGCAACATTTTCCATTTTGAAATGAGTGAAATTGGAGAACAAATCAATTTGCATAATTGACAAGTGGCATCGTCCACCCAGTTGGTCAAAGAATGGCATTTTACAGAGAACTTGTACAATTGCAATGAAAAATATATTCGGCATTGATGTGTGAAAGATAAATTAATTACATAATAATGCTTTATTCTGTCCTGTATTATATTTAATTGGTTGAGTTCAGGACCTGACTGACGCTCAACCTAAATCTGTTCAGGAATCAGTTTCTGAATTAAGTTACCATGTCCTGTGGACTGAACATGTGAACAAGGCTAATTATATCATTTTTTCCCCAGAAAGCTAACCAGTACAGTATATCAAGGTCTTCTTAATCTACCTTTCCTGACAATAAAATAACTGGAAAGCAATTAATTTACATTGTATGATTCCACATTGTATAAACAATTGGATCCAGATGGGTTACATTTCTTCAGTTATTTTATTGTTACTTGTGCAGTTCATTGAAACCTTATTTTCCCTTTGAGACTGGATAGGCATTTTTTTGTGTGGGTTTCTGGAATTGTCCAGGTTGTAATATCTGGTCCATTCTACACAAATTTTCAGTTACGTTGGAGTTTTGTAATGTTGCTGTACATTCATTATGTTTCCAGTAGTACAAGGAATACACATGTATCCTTGAAGTTGACTCTATGTTTAAGCATTTGATGGAGTCGTCAATTCACCGCCGTCCCACTGAAACATTCCTGATGTCAATACCATATTTTTTTAATTTTGTGCCTCTGCAACTGTCGTGCGTCCTAATCTCATATATTTCTCAATTTTGCTACTATTTATTGGCAATAGACACCGGGTGTTGCACAAATCCCGGCATAGTATTCATATTTAACAGGAAAACGCAAGCAAATCTATGTTACAATAACCTTCCCATGTTGCAACAATGCTTTTAAAATTAACGTGAAACCTTTGATTTTGGCAATGGTGCGTTCAGTCATCCCGAATTATGAGCCCCAAACAGCTTCATATTAAGGTGTTTTTTTTTCCTCATCATAATCCTGTCAAAAAAGTTTAAACATTGTTTTGGCTTCCGTGAGGTTTCATCAACTTTCACATCGATTTGGTTAAATGGGATGGAGCAGATTTCTTTTCACTGTTTGATGACGCATCTCATCAAAATGTTGGAGCGCTTGTTCTGGCCACTGCGCATGCACATTATCCATGCTTGATTTTTTTCTAATCGCTTAGGGATTTCTGCGATACTTTATTTTCATGAGCTATTTCACAGCAAACAAGAAGGAAAGTATATTTAACTCGACGACGGCTCTCAATTTTTTTTTTGGGGGGGGGGGGTGGTTTGGCTAATACATGTTGTACATTTATCTGTATGTATTGCAAATGATGGAAAGAGATCTATCATTTGTATTGCACTGCTAATATTATTTATACCTCACAGCTACGATTCACTCGTCATTTTGAGATGCTTCGGGCATTATTTTTATTTCCAAATTTAAAAAATGATAATTTGGTCACTCAATCCACGACTGTTTTTTGGGACACTGGTGTGCGCAATTAGCTGCCACATTTCGCCCGCAAACTATACCGTAAACCCTGCGAAGCGCTTTGAGACGTCCCAATGACATGATAAGCCTCTATATCAATTGCACGGATTGTTCTTTTTATATTATTACTATTTATCGACCATTCGGTAACTCTTAACTAGTAACCAGAAGCTCTCTACTAACCTTATAAGCACTGTTAAAATATGTTAAGTTGAACCTTTCACTTTAAGAAGGACCCATTGCAATGTTGGGCTGAAACACTTTGTGTCGCTGTCTACCAATAAGGGTCTGAAATTCGACTGGAGATCCACTACCCATTCCTCTTTGCGCGGAGGAAGGACGCACAGAGCTTATTTTCTGTATTCAGAGTTCGGAGCCATTCTTGCATAGCGCTTCGCCGTGAATGAGCAACAGGACTGAACGGTATTTGCAATGATTTGGATTCAAATATCAGGGTGATTTGTCAGGGTGTGATCCAGTGTGTAATCATGGTAAATTCAGGAAGACTTTACAGAATGAGAAAACGAGGTTTGTCGTCCATTTTATTGCTTTGTGTCTGGGATATCGCGTTTGGGCAGGTTCGTTATTCGATTCCAGAAGAAACGGGGAGCGGTGCCTTCGTAGGGAATATCGCTCATGATTTAGGCTTAGAGCTCAAAGAACTGTCAGCTCGAAGATTCCGAATTGTCTCCGGTTCTCGGCCGCAGTATTTTGGAGTTAATCTACAAACCGGAATTCTGTTTGTGAACAAAAGAATCGACAGGGAAAAGCTGTGTGGACAGAGCCACGACTGTGTCCTTCCTCTGGAGGTAGTTACCGAAAACCCTGTCAATCTGCACCGTGTAGAAGTAGAAATCCAAGATATAAATGACAATTCTCCAATTTTCCCGAAGAGTGAAATTCGTTTGGAGATTTTCGAATCAGCTTCACCTGGGACTCGCTTCCTGTTGGAGGGCGCGCAAGATTCCGACGTAGGTACCAATTCAATACGAACCTATGAGCTCAGTACAAATAAATACTTTAGTTTGAACATACAGACTCGCGGAGAACGTAAATTAGCTGAACTGGTGCTCGAAAAATCGCTGGACAGAGAACAAGAGTCCTTGCATAATATCTTGTTGACAGCCATTGATGGTGGAACGCCAGAGAGATCCGGCACCGCTTATACCACCGTTGTGGTCCTGGATGCAAATGACAACTCGCCAGTTTTCCAGCAATCTTTGTACAAGGTCAGTGTACGTGAAAATGCAGCAGTGGGAACTTTGGTAATCGCGCTGAACGCAACTGATTTGGACGAAGGATTTAACAGTGACATAGAATATTCTTTCAGTGACTACAATTCTGATAGAGTGGGCGAACTTTTCAGTCTGGATTCAAAAACAGGAAAACTGAGTGTGAAAGAAGTGCTGGATTTCGAAGAAGCCGATATGTATGAGATTAATATTGAAGCAAAGGATAAAGGTTTTTATGCAGTTCCTGGGCATTGCACAGTTGTGGTGAATATTGATGATGTCAATGACAACGTGCCGGAGTTGACTTTCGTCTCGCTGTCCAACACAATTCGAGAAGATTCTCCCCCGGGAACTGTGATCGCCCTGATCAGCGTTACGGATTATGATTCGGGTGATAATAGCCGGACCAGTTGTCAGATTCCCAACACACTTCCATTTGAACTCAAATCTTCGTTTAAGGGAACGTACACTTTAAAAACAAAGGCTGCACTGGACAGGGAAACAGCCCCCGAATATAAAATTAACATCACATGCAGAGATGATGGATCCCCTGCCCTTTCCAGCCATAAAATCATGGTGGTCAAGATTACAGACATAAATGACAACGCACCCAAGTTTGAAAGCCGTTCCTATACGCCTATGTGATGGAGAACAGCGCACCGGGGTCTTCGATTTGTTCAGTAACTGCGTTGGACTCAGACTCGGACGAAAACTCCCACCTATCCTACTCTATACTAGAATCGCAATTGAAAGGTATTCCTATATCGTCTTACCTCTCCATTAATTCGGAAAGCGGTATCATATACTCGCAACGTTCGTTTGACTATGAGCAGTTTAAAAACCTCCTGTTCCACGTTCAAGCCCGAGATGGCGGCGTCCCGTCATTGGGTACGAATATTACTGTCAACATGATTATCTTGGATCAGAATGACAACGCACCAGAAATCTTGTCCCCGCTGCCAAAAAGGGACCCTAAGATAACAGTTCCGCCATCCGCAGATCCAGGTTATCTGGTAACCAAGGTCAGCGCAACCGATGCTGATTCCGGCCAGAACGCAAGGCTCTCATATCAGCTGGTCCAAGCTACAGACCCAAGTCTTTTCAAGGTGGGACTCAGTTCTGGGCAAATCAGAACGACTCGCCGTGTTGCAGATCATGATTTAAGAGTACAACGGCTTGTCATTATGGTGCGGGATAACGGGCATCCGCCTCTGTCAGTGTCAACGAATATCGAGGTTTCGATAGTGGATAATAATCCGGAAACGCGTTCTGATTTTAGGGATGTACCCAACCCCCCTGAACGTTCATCTAACTTCGCTATGTATATTATAATTTCTCTCGGGGCTCTCACGTTTATACTTATGTTAGCCGTAATTGGTCTAGTTTATTTCATGTGCCACTCTCACCGAAACGGTTGCCACTTGGGAAGAAAGAACGAGAAACATAGGTTCACGAATTCTCATCTGAACTTTCAAATTGCGACAGACTCCAAGCTAATTTCTAATTATGTGGAGGTTCGAGGAACGGGGACTTTGAGCCAAACTCACAGCTACAAAGTGCCTTCAGACGTTATGGTTTTCAAGCCCTGCAGCCCGCCAGGATACAGGCATTCGGTCCAGAAAATTGAGCCTTTTTCTTCAGAGTGGAGTGGGGAGGCAACAGATAATTTGACCGGTGTAATTAATGAGGTAAGTTTGATGGACTATAAGAATCAATATATATTCCTTACCCTACACTGAATTATTTATCCCGCGCCGTGTTGTGTAAGCGATTTTTTTTTTTTGCAGTTTGTCTTACTTAAAGTTAAAAAGGGCAAATAACTATTGGAAAAGCTTTGCAAGTTATATGGCTATATATATATAGTTGTATAGATTGTACAAATGATCAACCATCTATCCAATAGGATAGATTATTTGCTGCATAGCCTATGAGTACGTTTTCTGGGAGATTTCTGAGTTGCAAACAATTGGGGTTCTGCACAAAGATTGAACATTTAGGAGAGCATCTTGACGTTTTTCTTAATCATCCTGAGTTATAGGCTGAGACAGAAATTTAAAGTTCTTTCTGAGTGCTAAATTTTGTTGCTCATTTGTTTATTTGGGGAATGTAGAATAGTACCAATTATGCATGGTTTGTTGGAAGGGGTAGAACAAATAACGTAATAGACAATCTGGTTCTCCAGGATGTTGTCCCATCGTTTTATTCCTAATTATGAACATGTTTTAGGTGAAAGATTATAAAAGAGAATTGTATGTACAAATACCCAAAGGTATACGTTTTGATTGGTTGCTATTTCCCCTCACCCCTACTCCTACCCCCTCAACATAACCTAATTCGTATTTTGCAGAAACATCATTTACTGATACTTGGTGCTGTACTGATACATAAAGTGCAACCATGGGCCCAATATTCTTGGCGAACTTTAACTAAAAAGTAAACACAAAAGCAGATATATAGAGAAGGGTTATCAATTTTACATTCAATATTTACCATGTGTTACAGGAAGTCTTCACCATATACAATAAATATGTTTATATACACAGAGTGTGATGTCCAGGACTCCTAGAATATACAACAACCATAATTTTCCATATGAACTTGAAATTAAGTAGTCCATAATGATCTGAACACATCAAACAAGAATACAATTGAAAATGGTTTTGGGGTCTTGTTGCATTGTTGGAGATGCTATCCTTCCGATGAGACACTAAACCGAAATCCCATCTGGCTGTTCAGGTGGATGGTAAAGATCCCACAGCACTATTCGAGAAGAGAAGTAAGTTTATCTCGAAACACAAAATACTGGTGATGCTGGAAATCTGAAACAAAAACAGAAGTCGCGGGGAAATTCAGCAGTCCAGGCAGCATCTATGGAGAAAGATGCTCCATAGATTTTCTTCATAGATGCTGCCTGACCTGAGTGTTCCCAGTGATTTTTGAGGAAGGTTATCCAGTTGTCCTGGCCAACAGATTCCCCAAATAAAATTGGTCACTAACTTTATCGCTGTTTGTGGAACATTGTGGTGCGCAAACTTCCTGCCGAGTTTCACCCCCAAAACACACAGAATAAAAAACACTTGCCAATGTATCTTGTGAAGCGCCTTGAGACGTCTCGATGGTGTATTACGGCGCTATATCAAATGCAAGGATTATTATTATTTATTCATAATGAATTATAATGTTTGATATATTAAAACGTATACAAGTCATGGTCAAAAAGTTGTGACCCTGACTTTTTTGGGTGAAACCTAGCTTTAATATGATCTCAGTGCAGTTATAGGCTGAGACTCTTTGCGTCGCTGTCTACCAATAAGGTGATTAAATCCAGCGGGAGAGATCCACCCCCACCCCCAACACCAGAGAGAAGGAAGCAGCCATACTAGCGGTCATGTTGATATTCATGTACTGAGCCTTTACGCAACGCCTCTCATCATACGAAAGAAGATATTCAAAGGTATGATTTTCTTTGGATCAAGTGCGAGATAGTAAGACGGGTGAGAAGAATTTACAGTTCAGAATTGCTTGTGTTACCCCCCAAAACATGAGAGATTCAGTCAGCCCGTGTACGCTGAGAAAGCAAATGTTATCGTCCATTTTTCTCCTTTGTGTCTCGAATCTGGTTTCTGGACAGATTCGTTACTCGGTTCCCGAAGAACTGGAGCCGGGAGCCTTCGTAGGGAATATCGCTAACGATTTGGGATTCAATGTGGAAGACCTTTCTGATCGCGGATTGAGGATTATATCTGACACGCAGACACAATATTTGGATGTTAATCTACAAAGTGGAATACTGTTTGTAAGCAAACGAATTGACAGGGAACAGCTCTGTGGAGAGAATCCTACCTGCTTCCTCGCTTTGGAAGTAGTGATTGAAAAACCCATGGAACAGTATCATGTTGAAGTTGAAATTCTGGATATAAATGATAATTCACCCAGTTTCTCCAGCAGAGAAATCCGGTTGGAAATTGTTGAGTCTGTACTGCCTGGAGCTCGCTTTCTGTTGAAAAGCGCAAAGGACCCGGACGTAGGTTTAAATTCCATTCGTACGTATCAACTGACTCCAAATGAATATTTCATTTTGGATGTACAAACTCGTGGGGAATGGAAACTGGCCGAGTTGGTGCTAGAGAAACCTCTGGACCGAGAAAAACAATCCAGTCACCAGTTATTGCTCACAGCCATTGACGGAGGATCCCCCGAAAAGTCAGGTACAACTCTCATAATTATTACTGTTCTGGACATTAACGACAATGCACCTATTTTTCATCAATCGTTGTATACTGTGAGTTTGGTGGAAAATATCCCTGTGGGTACTTTGGTGATTAAACTTAATGCCACTGATTTGGATGATGGATCTAATGGTGATATAGTGTATTCGTTCAGCAATTACGGCAAGGACAGAGTGCGTGAACTATTCAATGTTGATCCCCACACTGGGGAAATCAGAGTAAAGGGAAAGTTGGACTTTGAAGAAGCGAATGTTTATGAGATTAACGTGGAAGCCAGAGACAGGGGTCCGCATCCAGTTCCTGTACACTGCACAGTGCTTGTGGACATCAGAGACGTGAATGACAATGCACCCGATTTGACGTTAATTTCAACGTCCGACACAGTGCGTGAGGACGCTCTGCCTGGAACCATGGTGGCTCTGATCAGTGTATTGACAGGGATTCGGAAGAAAACGGAAAAACCAAGTGTGAGATTGAAAAACACCTCCCCTTTGACATCAAGTCATCCTTTAAGAATTCCTACAGAATTGTTACCACCGACCCACTGGACCGGGAATCCATCTCCGAATACAAAATAACTATTATGTGCGAGGACTCGGGATCGCCGCCGCTGTCCGCCAACAAAACTATCCTTGTACATATTTCGGATATCAACGACAACGCGCCATATTTTCCCCAGAATTCCTATACAGCCTACATCATGGAGAACAACGTGCCTGGCACATCCATCTACTCAGTGACAGCAATGGACCCTGACCTGACCGACAGCTCACACATTCATTACTCAATACTTGAGACCTGGATTAAGGGGTTGCCAGTGTCTTCCTTTGCTTCCATCGACTCGGGTAATGGTATCATATTTTCACAGACCTCTTTTGACTACGAGCAGCTGAAGAACTTCCAGATTCAGGTTCAGGCTCAAGATGATGGATCTCCGCCGCTTTGTGGCAACGTGACAGTGAACGTAATTATTCTCGACCAGAACGATAACCCTCCTGTCGTGACCTCTCCAAGGGCAAGGAACCCTTCTGAGATGTTGGTGCCTCTGTCTGCGCCTCCGGGTTATTTGGTGACGAAGGTGACTGCCACTGATGCCGATTCTGGCCAGAACGCGCGCCTCTCCTACCGGCTTGTCCAGGCGACCGACCCGAGTATCTTTACATTGACGCACGGCTCAGGCGAAATCAGAACGGCTCGCCGCTTGGAAGACAAGGATGCTTTGAAACAAACTCTAATCATCCTCGTGCGGGACAGCGGACACCCACCTCTCTCATCAACGGTGACCATTGCGTTATCGGTCGTACAGAATATTGCAGAAGTTCTTTCCGATTACAGTGATGCGCCACCGAAAAACGAGCATTCCTTGAATTTAGCCTTTTATATCATAGTGTCTTTGGGTATATTATCATCCATACTTCTGGTGACTATAATTGCCCTTGTTGTAACTATATGTCACAATGCTCGAGGCAACTCACTTTCTCTTCAGGCGTGCTGTGCAAGAGAGAACAAATCAAACGACAGATTCCAACATTCAAATTTCAACCTTCAGATGGTACCGGAGTCCAAGTTAATCACAAATTATGTTGAAGTTCGTGGATCTGGCTCCCGTTCTGAAACTCTCTGTTACAAAGTACAGTCAGCCCCAGAACACGATAATGTGGACTTCATGCTGTTTACACCGTACAGTCCCGAAACACACCAAAGCAATACCACCGATCCCGAAAACCACGCAACGGAATATATCAGGAAATCACTGAATAATAGGTCTGGGATGCTCAATGGGGTGAGTAAAATGTACAGTTTTAAATTAACCAGAAATCAGGGTGGTTCTGTTTGTGACCCTGTGGCGTTTTAATCGTTTACCAATTTCATCCAGGCTAATTTAGGTAATCTAGTTATCAGAAGAATGTCAATATCGTGGTCAATTATGGTGCAATAGAACACTTGGCAAATTTGATTACGTATTAGTTAAATCACACTTGAAGGTTACTAACGTATGAGAGATATCTCTCACCCATCTCTGGTTTGTTTGGGCATGATCTTGGAAACAGCAGCATCGCACTTTTGTACACATTTCAAAGAAGCAAATGTATACCAGTAGCCGAAAATGTATGCGGGTTATTTACAGTGGGATATCTATTGCACGTTAATAATAAAACAAATTCAGAGTAAGTCAGAAACCGAGAATTGTTTTGAAAAATTAAAGCGCCGTGTTTCTTCATATGTCTATTCAATTGGTTACATTCAGCAATGACCAACTCTACATTATGTGCTTTTTGCATAAAATTTGCTGGAGTACTGCTCTGACTATGGTATCCATTGGCTACTCATTGCCTCATTCTGAAGCCATTTTTCATGTTAGAATTCAAACTGGGCTCCAGTTCAACTGTGTGACATAGAATCTTCTGGTTCCAGGGGAGTTAAGTCTGTTGCCAGTGTCAGTATTTTTACCGTCCATC